TTAGCCATGTTGTTCTCCTACTGGTGGGTATTTAGTCTTGTTATTCTCCTATTGGTTGATATTTGGTCATATCATTCTCCTATTGGCAGTGTTTTTTGCCATTTTGATGTACTAGTAGATTTTTAGCCATGTCATTCTCCTATTGTTGATTTTTAGCCATGGTGGATATTAAACCATATTGTTCTTCTATTGGCAGACTAGCCTCCAAAATCTGACACTGGCTGGAGGTTGTTGTTAGGCATCTTTAGTCACAAAGGGACTAAATCAGTTGCCGTCATGCAATGTCCCATTAACTTCTAACTAAACCAGTTTTAACTCACCTCCAAAATATTCTTTCATGAGTTTTGGCTTTTATGCATGACAGCAATATTGTGGCCAGAACAGTGGAGTGTATACCTGCCTAAAGCAGGGCAGCGCATTTCCCTTTTCAAATGATCACAGTGAGCAAGCTGAGAAATTAGATGCACAAACAAATGTGGTAACAATTTGAATCTTTTTGCCTGACAGTACAAAACATAACCTTGAGAAAATAAAAATCCAAGGGAAATATTTTAGCCACCGCAGGCTGAACACACAGATTTTCGTATGAGGAGGAAGCTTAAGTAATGAAAGGCTTTAAATGAGCTAATGAGCGAACAGTGCTAATACTAGAGCTAACCAGTGAAATGGTTCGTGGGACTCCATGTCCTTTACATGATATTTTCCTCTTTGACTGAATGATGTGCCAACATGTTGGCTTTTCTAGGTAAAAAGGAGAACAAAGAAGTATCTTTCCACTGTTTTTGGTCCTAGTTAGCATCTGTCACAACTAGCTGCAGATGCAATCTCACATTTTTCAATCCCATCCTTGGCAATACGCTCAAAATAAGGTGTTTCGTTGTAACAAAGGAGCATAATTTACAGAAATAATATTCAAATAGAAAAAAATAAAATTACACTGTAAGAGTTGTGACTGGTAGGTAATGTTTTGGTCACTAATTCGGCAAAACAAGGTCTGAATGATAGCAGTGTTTCAATGTTTATTCACATCAAATATTTTTGTCAGCATGATTAAAACTGTTTCACTGTACACAATGCTGGACTTAAGAGGCACCAATGCACAGCGTGTTTAAGCAGTTAGCGTGAAGTCTTGGGCTAATCGGCTAGTCTTCACTATAAAGCCGCACTGTAGGCCTCAAGCAGCTTAGTGTCGTGTAGGAGGCCCTACAGCCGGGGCTTGAACGCTAGTCAGTTTAAAGAATGTTGATCCTAACTGTGTTTTGTTTGAGTGTTTTGTGTGACGTGCTGGCCTTGGGTTCCTCTATCTGAACAGGGTTAGGCAGGCCTTGTTCTCTTTAGAGAAGAACCGAAGGTGCTTTGATTTTTTTGCCCCAAGCCTGAAACTTAAGATAAAATTCTCAGATAAAGAGAGCTGATCTGGTATCAGTGTAGGCCTCACATCCTAATGCAAACGGCTGAGAAACACACCAAAAAAATGGCAAAAATCTACACCAGACAGAAATAATTCAGAATAAAATCCAAGCCAAAGTAAATAATAGTGACTCACAGTGACTTCTGAAGGTGAAGCTGTTCTTATTCTTAGATCTTCCCAAATCTAGACTACACCCTATTACAACAACTGGGTGGAAGCAGGATGACCTCAGAACAAACCCATGGCCAGGCTGGCACATATAAAACAACTGGGAAGGTTAGGCATAAACGGAAACAACAGCCAGCAGCAGATTCACATGGAGCATTTCTTTTTTTTAAAGACTAACAGACCGTTGTTGAAAAATGCCTATTTTATGTGACAGAGTGACTCTGTGTCAATGATTTCATCGCCAGTGCAGGGTGTGATCACTGTGCCTCATGAATAAAGCTCTGGAAATAGAATCAAGGCGCTTTGTGAGACCCAACGTAGACAGGCAATAAGTACAAATGAAGAAATTCAGTGCCATCTACTGGGAAACCTTTAAATGAGTTGCAGCTTCAGAGGAATTCAAGTGATTTTCCCCCAAAATTCCACATAATGCAGCTCTTGAGATGAAGTCATTCAGAGTGCAATGCAAAAATAACACCTTGGCAAGTGAAATGATCTTAAATCTAGTCGATATAGCTAATATTTCTCATGTTGAGATGGTTGTAAGCTTATTATTTAAGGGTAATTAACTTAGTTCCAGACTGAAAAACCTTGTCAAATGTCTCAGACATCAGGCAGAGTATTGATAACGTACTCCTCTTGTCCAATCACTTTCATAGCATGAACTTTTGTGTATAACTGTAGCATCTTTGACGTCTCCGAAAGCGCAAAAAGTAATCTTTGAGTGGCATTTAACTCTTCAGACCTGGTTCCTGTCACCACCACTGTGAGGTTCCTCTAGAGCAGAGCATTTCACACCAAACCACTCTGAATGACTTTGCATCTTAACCATTTAATTACGCTGAAATTCCAATTTTAATGCAGTGGTTTTCTGGCCCAAACCTGAGGGTTTCATTCGTCATACATTCATTCTTCCCACGATCAAGTATATCATCAAGGCTTTGGTAAGGACCTGCATATTCGAAACAGCAAGGAATGCCACGAATTGTGCAGGACAACGGTTCCCCAAATATGCTAACATGACTAACAACAAATGGAAGCTAGTAACCACCAATTTTCACCTGAACTATTTATTTAATTTCAATATAAATCTCACTACATACATTTCCCACCCCTGTATCAACATCAGTACAGATTTGGATTGGTGCATCGACACCAAAGGCAATGATGATGCAATTCCATCGAATGAAGACTTTAGAGAGAAACTCGGACGGCAAGAGTAACAAAACTAATGGATCCTCGATCAAATCGAGCCTCACCCCTCACTCGAAGCGGGGTAACCAAACTGAATCTCTTATTCTGGACACATTATGAGAAGAACCAGTTCACTGGAAAAGACAATTCTGCTTGGAACAGCTGAAGGTAAAAGAGGAAGAGCATGACCAGCAACAAGATGGATGGACAAGCCAATACGAAGCCTGAGATCTCAAAGAGAAGACAGGACATTTCGGAGGAACACTGCCCATATGGTCACCAGGAGCTGTTAATGAGTTGAGTGGTTGGATCAGGTGTGTTGGGAGCAGGACAGTGGGCCTCCAGGAGGTCCATAAGCTCCTCTCTGGCTTTTCTACCAGGTCCAATCTGAAGGGTATGGACTGTGTGGGCTGTATTCACTAGTTAGTGAGCAGACGTCGATATTAAAAGAGCCCCCTTAAAAAAATCTACATAATTGGAAAAGATGTAAACAAAGTCACTCAGACTGGTTTGGTGCGAAATGCCTCGCTCTAGAGAAACTAGTAGAGTCAGAATGGTTCACAGTGAAAATAATAACGAGAAAGTTTTCCATAATTATGACTTACTTTCTCGTAATGACTCATGACTTACTATGTCATGATTATAACTTGTTATCTCACAATATTGAGATTCTCTCAATGACTCAGTAAGTCATACTAATGACTTAATATCTCATAATACTTGCTCTCAGATATTACGTCATAATTATGAGATAGGATTTCATTGTTATGACATAGCAAGTAAAATGAGACATTGAGTCATGATTAAGAGGTAGAATCTCATTATGAGACAGCAAGTCAAAATTATGAAATATTAAGTCATAATTATGAGATAGGAGTTCATTATTATGAGATAGCAAGTCATAATTATGAAATATTAAGTCATAATTAAGAGACATAATCTGATTATTATGAGATAGCAGGCCATATTTATGAGATATTGTCCTGATTGACATGATTTCATTATTATGGGATGGAAAGTCATAAGTATGAAATACTGAGTCATAATTCAAAGATTTCATTAATATGAGATAACAAGTCAAAATTATGAGATACTAAGTCTTAATTAAGAGATAGCACCTTAAATGGTGCAGCTTCAGGCACCAGAAAGTGACTGCTGTACTATTTAAGGTGGAACTGGAAAACTCAAACAAGAAGCTGGAGACTAGGAAGCCAACTTTAGCTTCGTCCTTAAGTGTATAAAGATTAGAAGCGATTCACAAACTGATGGATTTGCTGATTGAGTTTCTACCAGAGCACTACCGAGGGCAGTCAGTGCAGCCTAGATTAATCTGTGTCTGAGGATTATAACAAGACAAATTTGGTGAAAATCAGTTGAGTAATAAGGAAGTTGTGGCTGATTTAATCCTGAGACTCATCGCCTCTCAATACAAGTGAATTTGTTCACAAGCAGATCTTGACCTCTCCAACATGGCGGACGCCAGAACAGGCAACGTGGCATCTATGTATGTATATCTATGGTGTTGATCGCCCTGAGGAAAGGTTTACTTGCCTTAAACACTGCTGTGTGACTGTCTCAGCGTAAACAAAGTGGAAATGTTCAAGAAACGACTGAAAGTGACCGGAATAGTCCGTCCTAAAAATGACAGTACGGCTAAGCCAGCACAGTGGATGAGCTTCCCAGTCCACGCTGTTGGTACTATGTCCTGTTACGCATAAATGAGCAATGAGCGTCCCAATGTTTCCCTTTTTAGGGCCCGAGCCAAAGCCCGAATTCATGTACTGATTCAGAACATACAGAACTAGTGAGCAAATCAAGACAAAGCCTAAGACACTTATTTACCATAGTTTTGGCCTAAAAGTTTTGACCTAAAATATATTTGAAGCCATTTATCTACTACACTCAAGTTGGACAAATACATGAAGGGTGTCGTGAGGCAAACTACTCCCTAAATAAACCTTTTTTTTCTGATTTCCCACTATTTTACCATCATCAACACTCAGAAGACACGTGTAGTTTCACTGGTGGTTCTGGGTAGTAAATAAAGCGACTATATTTGTGCTGTAGACATGGGGACACCTGGTTCCCATCACCACCACTGTAAAGAAATCAGTGTCTGTAGGTGTCTCTGCAACTGAACCACTTCACACGAAACCGCTCCGAACGACTGTTCACCCCTCGACCGCTGAATCACGCAGACATTTTTTTGAAAACTCGGTGGAGCTGCCCTTTAATGAGTGAGAGTTGCTGAGAGAGGACGTGGCGGTACAAACAGCGCGGCTAGCCTGGCTGTTTTCCCCCATTAGCCACGTTTATCTGCCGTGGTCTGCGACTGAAACCCGCCCGGTACGGCGAGTGGACTTCGTCGCGGTATAGTCAGATACAGGAGTGAAGGCTGGGGAGTTCTGGTAAACCCAGACTGGACTGAGCTGCGCTGTCGGAACCGCTCAGTTCGCTCAGCTTGTTCACCACGTTAGCTATGCTAAGCTAATCACAGACTGGTTATTTTTCGCGTGTTTACCTTTTTATCAGATCCGCGCGGACTTCATGTCTCGTGTGTGTGGGAAAAGCAGGTACGCTGTCTGGCCCGGAGTCAGCAGGTCAGCCGGGCTTACTCCTCCATGGGGCGACAGCGGAATGAACACGGTTAGCCTAGCCTAGCCTAGCCTAGCCTAGCTTAGCTAGCCTGTTCTTCTGTTCTGCTGGTGGCGGTCGAAGCCAAACTGAACGCTGCTGCTCCCCTTGTGTTCAACTAAAGGATTGTTCTCAAACATATGTGGACGTGGGACGAATTTAATGACCAAAAAGGGCCGAAAAAGGTATTATTTACAGAAAAAACGCTGATATTTGTTTATGAGATTTTGCTTCTGTTAACTTTGGTACTGCAAGGCCAGCAGCACCAAGACTACTAACACTGTTTAGCTCTACAGTTACAGACTGTAGTCCATCTGTTTCTCTGCATACTTTGTTAGCCCCCTTTTACCCTGTTCTTCAGTGGTCAGGACCCCCATGGACCCTCACAGAGCAGGTACTATTTGGGTGGTGGATCATTCTCAGCACTGCAGTAACACTGACGTGGTGGTGGTGGTGTTAGTGTGTGTTGCGCTGGTCTGAGTGGATCAGACACAGCAGTGCTGCTGGAGTTTTTAAACACCTCAGTGTCACTAAAAACATTGTGTCCTGTGGGCAGGAACATCATAATGTCTAACTTGAATCATGATTCAGTGCCGTACAGTGTTTACTGAAGTAGCCTAGTAGGTATATCAGCATCTTATACAGTCAACAACTGAATATCAAATCAAATAAAGTCCAATTCAGTCATATTTCAACTATATTTATGTCAGTTTTCTCTTTTTAGAGAACGCCATGTGAAATAACTTCCCTCTGACTCACTTTCTTCTCCGACTGCTGTTTCTCGCCTCGTCCCTCCCCTGTGTGAGCGTCAGTCACTCAAGTCTCAGTGCTCATCGTAATGCACAGATCTGATTTACAACACATGCGATTGGTCTGTGAGTCTCCCGGCCGCTAAAGCTACCGTAAAGGCTAGAAAAGCTACGGCAATTAAAACAGGACCACCCGGTCAAAATTAAACAATTCTCCATAGTTTATCGGTTATAGATCCAGGTCCACATAGGACAGCGTCTGGGACCGGACTCGGACCTCGGTCCGCCTATTAGTGACCTCTGGACTAGAGGGTGACCAACACAAAACTGTGCAGCAGCAGATGAGCTATCGTCTCTGACTTTAGATCTACAAGGTGGACCGACAAGGTAGGCGTGTCTAATAGAGTGGACAGTGAGTGGACACAGTGTTTAAAAACTCCAGCAGCAAATGTCAGAAACATAGCACGTCAAACACATGTTCTTTTATTAAACATGCACCACCACTAGTGCTACTGAACAGCCCTGAAGCAGGGCAGGTCACCTTCAGCCACACATATCCAGTCCCATGGTGACCACTAAACCTACACAACCAGCCCACAACAGCAACTGTTTATATGTTTAAGCCTCTCACCGCTGCCACGGCAGCACCCATGATGCTCCACACTTGCCACTATACATGGCCACGCCTCCTGCACATTCACGTTCACATGAGCTGGTAGCTGTACGCTACTACATATATTTACACACACACACAATTCCCAGGGTCCCTGTATTATACAGCAGGAAGTGAGGCTGTATCCCTGTCCCTCATGGCCACATGGTGAGCAGTTAGATCCCATTGTTTTGAAGTAAATGAGTCCCAGAGTTTGAAAATCAGTGTGGAACAATAAGAATTGTCGCCACCGAAACATGTTTACTGCGGTTAAGTAAACGTTTTTGTGTTTTAATGAAAAACCTGACGATTTTATGTGTGTAAACTGTCCAAGGCTGTGTTTGCTGGTCTTGTACTGGCTAGTGTTTTTGAGTTCTGCTCAAAATGAGACATTTGGTAAAGTTTCTGTAGTGTTGTGATTGTTTTTGTAGTAAAAAATGGACTAATCAGTCATTAGTTTTGATAAATTAAACATTAAAGTACACGGTCAGAAATACTTTAAGCAAAAAAGGACTTATAAAGGGATTTTAGTCTAAAGGCCAAGATCAATTAAAGGTCCCAAATGTGTTTTTTAGCTTTTTGAAATTAAGTGGAATGATTTGGAAAATGGAAAATTCTGGTTCCATTGATTTACATTAAAAGTAAAGTAGGTTTTTTTCCTTATCCTGTAAATAAATAAATAAATAAATAAATAAATATATATATATATATATATATATATAATCATATATTAGAGTATCGTGAATCCAGCTACTTTAAGGTGCCCTCATTGCTGACACAGGTGTTCAATAGCGCGGCTTGTATAATCTCCATACACAAACATTGGCCGATAGAATGGGAATGGCTCTGGAGCTGCCGCACATGAGCCTACGGCCACCCTGCCCAGTGCCAAGCGTGGGCTAGAGGGGTATAAAGACCCCCTGCATTGGTTTTTTTCTCTGGAATGATGGAGCTCCATCCACTACCTTTGGGTCGAGTTGAGTGATCCAGAACTGACCATCCAACATCAATACCTGATGCTCTTGTGGCTGAATGCAATTAAATCCTCTGCACAGCAATGTTCGAACATCTAATGTGAAGCCCTCCCCGAAGAGTAGAGGATGTTACTGCAGCAAAGGTGGACAAACTCCCAATTAATACCCTTCATTTCAGAAGAAATTCTGTGATATGCGTGTAATGTGGAATGTATACAGCTAATGTTGTGGGCAGTGGTGCGGCCAGTGGCTCCTGAGTGACCTGAAAACCAACAGGCTGCACAAATTCAACAGATTAGACGAGCAGCATCAGCAGAAACGCTCTCACGCACGAGCGTCTTTTGCTGACGAACACAAACCAGTCATTAAACTGACGGATGTGTGGAGATGGGGTGGGAGAGAGAGAGAGAGAGAGAGAGAGAGAGAGAGAGGGAGAGAGAGAGAGACCCGCACACTGTTTGCCAATTCCAGCGGCAGTGCGGCGCCTCAGCTTTCCTGCTGCATTGCAGTGCTGCATTCGGGGAAAAAAAAAGTGGAGTGGGGCTTGCATAAGTGCTGCTGGGGCTCACGAGACGAGAGAGAGGAGGGGAGAGACTTTGAAAAATCCGACTTAAAACTTAAAGAAATGTCGTTCGGAGTGAGGAGAACGAAAACAGGCTGAAATGCTGCGAGTCGCCCTGGCAATCCTGAAAGAATCGTTTAAAAGTCAGAGGCATCAGGTTGGGACTTTCTCACGTCACAAGTCGTTCCGTATTAATGTCACATGCACAGGCTCAAAAACGAGGCCCGGCTCGATGATTACGTCTCACATGATCTCAAAATCAACACCCTACTGATGGAGATAAGATGGCAGTGGTGGATGTGAAGGGGGGAGTTTGAGGACAAGCTTTAAGTTGGCTTGACGAAGCTGTTTCTGTGAAATTCCGGGTGGTTGCTAAGATGTTTCTAGGTCATTGCTATGGAATCTCAGGTGGTTGCTAATGTGTTGCTAGGCCATTGTTATGGAATTCCAGGTGCGTTACTAGGTCATGGCTATGGAATCTCAAGTGGTTGCTAAGATGTTGGTAGGTCACTGCTATGGAATCCCTGGTGGTTGTTAATGTGTTGGTAGGTAATTGCTATGAAATCTCAAGTGGTTGCTAAGATGTTGCTAGGCCTTTGCTATGGAATCCTAGGTGGTTGTTAATGTGTTGCTAGGTCATTGCTATGGAATCTCAGGTGGTTGCTAAGATGTTGCTGGGCCTTTGCTATGGAATCCTAGGTGGTTGTTAATGTGTTGGTAGGTAATTGCTATGAAATCTCAAGTGGTTGCTAAGATGTTGCTAGGCCTTTGCTATGGAATCCTAGGTGGTTGCTAATGTGTTGCTAGGTCATAGCTATGGAATCTCAGGTGGTTGCTAAGATGTTGGTATGTCATTACTGTGGAATCCCTGGTGGTTGTTCATGTGTTGGTAGGTAATTACTATGGAATCTCAGGTGGTTGCTAAGATGTTGGTAGGTCACTGATATGGAATCCTAGGTGGTTGCTATTGTGTTCCCAGGTCATTGCTATGGAATCTCAGGTGGTTGCTAAGATGTTGGTACGTCATTACTGTGGAATCCCTGGTGGTTGTTCATGTGTTGGTAGGTAATTGTTATGGAATCTCAGGTGGTTGCTAAGATGTTGGTAGGTCACTGATATGGAATCCTAGGTGGTTGCTAATGTGTTCCTAGGTCATAGCTATGGAATCTCAGGTGGTTGCTAAGATGTTGCTAGGTCATTGCTATCCCAGATCGTTACTATATATGTATGAACACTGTTATGCGCTAGATTTTGACTCTTTTGCCTGGAAACAGAAAGTGCCATTTTCCACCAATTTCAGCCAGAAATTCTGGCGCATCCCTAATCTCAATATTTAATATTGTAAGAGGTAAAACTGATTTTACTGCATGTTAACTGTTCTCTGCACACGCGACTCACATCTACATGTTTAATTGGAGTTTATTTGGGGGTCTTTTCAGCAATGCTAACTTGCGCTACATCCATGTGCAAACGACAAGCTTGCTGTCAGTCAATGTTGATGAGCGTACCAGCGCCCCCTACTGTGATATCCACCTTCAAGAGGAGTTGGATTGGTTTCGAAATTGATTTGTTTCTACCCTAACGAGTCTATGCTCACACCCACATGTTGACCTGCAAGACTAAGGTTTGAGCATTTGGAACACAGAAAAAGCCTCAGTAGTGCCAAATTTTAAAACACCTCTTTCTGCAGAACCCCTAGCAGCTATTCTGCTGGATAAGAGTTGACTGAATATATTGTTTTTAAATTAATATAATCAAATAAAATATTTATTCCCCCATTTTCAGATGAACTTATACACTGCTGTGTATAAATTGTTATGACTTTGTGTTGAGCTGCTAGAGAGCAATGAGGTGCAAAAGGGGAGGTGTGAGAACCCACTGCAAACCTTTCAACAAACCTTTCAACAAACTGCCCCACAAAAAATAGCATTTAAATACAATAAGATCACTTTTGTTGACATGTTTGCTCACCTATGACCACGAAAATCCAGTTCACTTCTGGTTTTATAAATCAAACACATTTCCATCAAATACAGAGTTCAAAAATGATCACAAGCTACAGAGAAAATGGGCCTCCTAACAACCACCTGGAAGACCTGGTCGACACCAAAACTGCCCCCATCAGATAAACAGCACTTAAAGCTTTCATCTCTGAGAGAGAGGAGAAAATCAAGCTGCTTCAGATCTGAAAACATCCACAGGTGTTTCTGTCCATCCTTCCACTGTGAGAAGGCGACTCAGCGCTGTGGGTCTGAAAGGATGTGTAGCTGATCAAGAAGAACCTCACTGAGAAAAGGAGACGGACACATCAAACAAAGAAGCTGAACGATGGACTGACCACCCCAGAGTCCAGACCTCAACACCACTGAATGTGTTTGATTACTTTAGAAAGTGATCGACCAACTTCTAAGACTGAACTTTGGAGGTGAGTCTGCAGATTCTTTGAGGAACTGAAAGTGAGTCTCCTGAGAAGAATGGAAGCTGTAGTGAAGGTAAAGAGTGACTCACTGAACACTCAAACATCTAATATTAGATTTAGCTGTTGAGGCTTCCGGGTAATTTTCTGTTACACAGACGTTGAAAGATGGATAACTTGTACTTAATGGTCACTCTGACTGGGAATTAAATAAACGAGTGGGGGGGTCTGACTTCTGTGCATTCATGTCTTATTAGGTTTCCTATTATTTTCAAAGTATCCAAGTGTGGTAAAGAAGAAGAAGAGAAGAATTTCTTTTTCTCTCTTCAGCCTCCGGTCTTCCCTCTTTCTCTCCTCTGTTAGCTGGACGCTGGTCAGAGGACAGTAATGCTGATCGAGCTGAAATCTCTCTCTCTCTCTCTCTCTCTCTCTCTCTCTCTCTATCACTCTCTCTCTCTGCTGTATTGATATGCTGGCGTGATCAATAGCTCCTCATCATCATCTGGATTCTTTCCCCTCTCCCATCATCAGAAAGACAGCTAGAGAGAGAGAAAGAGAGAGTCCTGCAGTAAAGAGGACTGAGAGGTGACTGAGGAGAAAGGAAAACCAACTGAATGTTAAACACTGCTCTCTCTCTCTTTCTATTACTCTCTCTCTTACTCTCTCTCTCTCTCTCTTTCTCTCTCTCTGCAGCAGGTGAGTAACCCACAGCGCACTGCAGTGATGAGAGGTGTGAAGGTGATAATGCTCATATGATAATTACCCTTTTCTTTTCCTCACTATATATACATACATATACACATGAGTCAGACAGCAATCCGATCAACGTGTTTACATGCACTTGAGTAATCAGATAATGGGGAAACTCAGGGTCTACATGAGTCAGACAGCAATCCGATCAACGCGTTTACATGCACTTGAGTAATCAGATAATGGTAGACAGTGATCAGATTTCTGCTTTGCAGATGGCCAATAAACTCGCAGAAGAAGACGTGATGTAAACATAACGTAAAACTCGAACTCCATGCCGCTGCTTTTTTTCAACATCGAGTCACTTCACTGAAACACATCATCTAGAAGAACATTTAAATCCTTCATTTCGTGTTTGGTTTCAGTGTCACTCCAAAAGTGTTTTGCAGTGTCTCGCGACATCCACCGTCTGATCTCGCGCATGTACAGACTGAGAAATCCAATAGAAATCCGAGTACGAGTATACATGCACTGAGAAATCTGATTACTGAGCTAAAATCCAGCCGTCTTTATCGGATTTCTTAATCGGATTTCTAGATCGAAGTATGGTGTTTACATGACCATTTGAATAATTGGATAACTGCATAAATCTGTGATTATGATCGGATTACTGAGTGCATGTAAACGCACTCAGTGACACATTAGATCGTTATTTTCACTGTGCTGCTAGTAAAGTTCCCACCGCAGGTCAAAGCAGCTGTTTAGATTTTCTCACAGTCACTTGTGGGGGCCCCCTGGTGGCTCGGGCCCTGGGCACGCACCCATAAAGATCAGGCCAGAGGCATTTTATAAACAAGTGCTGTGGACTGATGGTCTGGCCCTGGGAGAGAGAGAGAGAGAGAGAGAGAGAGAGTGGGGTAAAGAATACTCCATCTTCTGTCCAGGCCAGGCCAGTGGAAAGAACAGAGAACTCCAACGTCCGTCCTATAACAGTGTGAGCAATAGGGACAGTATGTGTGCGAATAAACGATCAGTTTCTTTTTCCTACAGCTGTAAATGTGAAAGTAGATCCATCTACTAAGTCCAGCCACTTTGGCCAGTGTGGAACCCAGAGATACCATTACAGACCTGTTTTAAATGCAGTCCTTTATTATCATGATAAATGTGTTTCTAATAAAGTGGCCAGTTAGTAGTAGCGCAAGGTAGGTGTTTCTAATAAAGTGGCCAGTTAGTAGAAGCACAAGGTAGGTGTTTCTAATAAAGTGGCCAGTTAGTAGAAGTACAAGGTAGGTGTTTCTAATAAAGTGGCCAGTTAGTAGAAGCACAAGGTAGGTGTTTCTAATAAAGTGGCCAGTCAGTAGAAGCACAAGGTAGGTGTTTCTAATAAAGTGGCCAGTCAGTAGAAGTACAAGGGAGGTGTTTCTAATAAAGTGGCCAGTTAGTGGAAGACCAAAGTAGGTGTTTCTAATAAAGTGGCCAGTCAGTAGAAGCACAAGGTAGGTGTTTCTAATAAAGTGGCCAGTTAGTAGAAGCAAAGGTGCACAAGGTAGGTGTTTCTAATAAAGTGGCCAGTTAGTATCGGTATTGAACCTTCAACGTGATGGATGCTGATGCTCACAGTGCTCGAGCCCCCAAAATGAGCAGCAGGCGCAAACCTCACGAGAGACCCCGTTTGGCGCGAGGGGAGGAAGGAGAAGGGGGCGGAGCCTCGTGCTCTGTTTTTTCCCATAAACCCAGAGACCCTGAGGAAGTCCCGTTAGGCTGGGTCACGTGGTCGAGTCCCAACGAGGAGGAGAGACTCCGTCTCGCGCTCGGACTGCAGCACTTCTACTTTTCCATCGACACATTCAGCGCGAGTAGGAATGAAACGGCAGCCTACTGCTTCACGCGCCTAGAAAGAGGAAGAGGAGGGACGCACGAGGCGAGTCACGCACGCACACGCACGCACACACACACACACACACGCAGAGCAAGAGACGATGCTGAAGTTGGCTTCTTATTCGAATTACCCGTTCCACCTTAAAGGCGCCAGAATGTAACTGCTGCACCATTTAAGGTGGAACGGACAGTTCGAATTACAGGCCAAGCTCAGCCTCGTGAGCCGCCAGCGTGAGCATCTCACGCACACGCGTTTTTATCACGCACTGCATCACGGCTCCGTGGAGCTGTCCGCGCGCCGCGGTGCTGAACGGGGTTCGTTTGAGGTAATGCGCCACGCTGCGGGAGATTAAACACCTCACACGCGCTCACCACGGCAACGCACAGCGCGCACACCGGGGGGACGGAGCAGAAGCGAAAGAGAAAAGGAAGAGCCGGAGCGGGAACTTTCTCTCCGGAGGAGGACAGCGGCGCGCGGTCTGGGTTTGGCGCTGAATTGCTGCAGGTAGCGCTGCGCTTTGTTTCAACGCTGCGGCGAACAAACCGGACTGTTAGCGGCAGTGTTTATTTTTGGCTTGACACGCCGGAATTTGCGGTAGCGGCGTTCGCGTCTGCGCTAGTATTTGTTAGCTTTTGCGTCAGTCTTTGCGGCTGTCACGTTGGTATTCGCGCTGGTTGCGTTAGCGCTGTTCTCGTTGGTGTTTGCGCCAGTTGCGTGAGCGTTTGCGCACGGCTTTAAGGACGTTTCTGCGGCTTTGACCTTTAACGTCCTTTACTACTGCAGCTGACTTTACCACAGCACAGGGAGAGAGAGAGAGGGGGGTGAAAGAGAGTGGGATAGAGGAAGGGGGGAGGGGGGAGAGAGGAGAGAGAAAAAGAAGTGAAAGAGAGTGAGATAGAGGAAGAGAGAAGGAGAGAGAGAGAGGAAGATGGGGAAGTCAGAAGGGCACGAGAGAGTGAGATAGAGGAAGAGAGAAGGAGAGAGACAGAGAAGAAGAGAGAGAGGAGAGAAAAGAGACAGAGGAAGAGAGAGAGAAAGGGGTGAGTGAGATGGAGGGGAGAGAGAGAAGTCAGAAGGGCAAAAGAGAGAAAGAGAGAGAGGTAGAAGAAGAGAGAGTAAGGGAGAGAGAGAAGAAGAGAGATGAGAGAGCAAAGAGTAAAAAAGAGTGAGATAGAGGAAGAGAGAGAAGGAGAGAGTGAGAGAGAGGGTTGAAAGAGGAAAGGAGAGAGGGGGAAATGGGAAAGAGAGAGGGAGAGAAAGAGTAAGAGAGAGAGATGCCGAGAGCAGTAAATAGGGGATGAGAGAGAAAGGGAGAGACGGGAAGAAAAGAGGATGATAGAAAGAGAGAAAGGAGAGTGAGAGAGAGGAGAGAGGAAGGGCAAAAGAGTGAGAGAGGAGGAGAAGATAGAGAGCGAGAAAGAAAGAGAGAAGGGAACAGAAACAGTAAGCAGAGTAAAAGGGGAACAGAGAGAGGAAGAGCGAAGGCAAAAGAGACCGAGAGAGTGGAAGAGAGAAAGAAGGGAAAGAGTGAGAAGAGGGGGAGAGATAGTGAGAGAGGAAGAGAGGGGGAAGAGAGGAAAAAGAAAGACTGAAAGAGAGAGATAGACAGAGGATGGGATACAGAGGAAGCGAGAGAAAGTGAGGGAGGAGGAGAAGAGAGAGAGAGAGAGAGTTTACTGAAGTGCAGTGTCTGTGTTTGTCTGCAGGAACACCGGAGACCCTGTGAGTGAGCGAAGAGGAGCCGCAGAGCAGACATGAACTTCGTGATGAAAGCCGCTCTGGGAGGTGAGTGCAGGAGGCGCTGGTGTCTGTATGTAGGTGATAAAAGTGGAGCCGAATGATTTGACTCAGCAGTTCGGAGCTGCAGCGGCGCCGAGAGCGCAGAGCGAGTGTTAGTGTACTGGAGGAAATGACCGCAGTGGGTTCATCACACAGAGCCTGATTATCTCACTGAGCAAACGCACTGAATGTCCAAACCTGCCGCCCCTATCACTCAGCTCTCTGTTCTGCATGGTCATGTCTAGTGGTAGGGGGTCCTGATTCTTGTTGAGATAGAGGGGTGAGGTGAAGTGCACTACATGACCCTCCAAACGGAGGTTTTTCAGACTCCAAACGGAGTGAAAAATGGCAAGACGGCTGAACAAGAGGCCAAAGAAACCCACAAATGTGGGAATTTTCTCTGTTAAAAATTACGATAAACACTGTTTTATCTTAGTTTAACGTCGTTTCAGTGTATTTTGGTCGTTTTCTTCACAACAAGCATAAAAAATCGCTAACAGTATGCTAATGCCTCGGTAGCTAGCTAGCTAACTTTCCCGTTCCACCTTAAATAGTCCAGCAGTTCTGACGCCTGAAGCGACAGAATGTAGCTGCTGCACCATTTAAGGTGGAACGGGAAAGTTTGAACGAGAAGCTGGTGAATATCTGACTTCAGCTTCATATCACTGAAGAATTAGGGGTGGGTGATAATAAATAATTGCCCCCCTCTTTGAAGTCATATGATTCCCTAAGTGTAACTAAAGCCCAGCAGTGAGGAGCTGAACTTTACCCTCCTCTGCTGTCACTGCAGACTGGCAGGGTCGCCTACAGAGCAGCGCTAGTAGCTGTTAATGAAGTAAAGCTCTTTTTATTTGAGGGTCTCATTTCATAGAGGAAGATTTTAACCACTACTGCTTGTGACTCAGTTCCAACGAGTTAGGGTGACACTCGAAAACAAGGGGTAGGGGGTAAAAAGTCTTAGTAATCTGTCTGTGACTTAATTATCTTGTTCTCATGCCTAAGTAAGTTGTGTCTACAACTTAATCAAGCTTTCCTATGTTGTCTACAACTTAATTATCTTGTTCCCATGCCTTACTGTGTTGTGTCTACGACTAAATTATCTCATCCTCGCCTTAGTAAGTCATTTCTACAACTTAATTATCTCGTTCCCACGCCTTAGTAAGTCATGTCTACAACTTATCTCATTCCCATGACTTAGTAAGTCATATCCGTGACTTAAATATCTTGTTCCCATGCATTAGCAAGTCATATCTGTGACTTTATCTCATTCTCATGCCATTGTAAGTTGTGTCTGACTGAATTATCTCATTCTCATGCCTTAGTAAGTCATGTCTCTGACTTAATTATCTCATTCCCATGCCTAAGTAAGTTGTGTTTATGACTTAATCATCTTGTTCCCACCGTCTTAGTAAGTCATGTCTACGACTTATCTTGTTCACATGCCTTAGTAAGTCGTATCTGACTTAATTATCTCATTTTCATGCCTCAGTAAGTCATGTCTGACTTCTCATTTTCATGCCTTAGTAAATCGTGCCTATGACTTAAATATCTCATTCTCACGCCTTGGTAAGTCATGTCTACAACATATCTCATTCCCACACCTTAGTAGGTTGTGTCTGTGACCAAATTATCTCGTTCTCGTGCCTTAGTAAGTCGTGTCTACAGTTTTATTCTCATTTTCATGCCTCAGCAAGTCGTGTCTACAACTTATCTCATTCCCACATCTTAGTAAATTGTGTCTATGCTTTAATTATCTCATTCTCATGCCTTAGTAAGTCATGTCTCTGACTTAATTATCTCATTCCCATGCCTAAGTAAGTTGTGTTTATGACTTAATCATCTTGTTCCCACCGTCTTAGTAAGTTGTGTTTATGACTTAATCATCTTGTTCCCACCGTCTTAGTAAGTCATGTCTATGACTTACCTTGTTCACATGCCTTAGTAAGTCGTGTCTGACTTAATTATCTCATTTTCATGCCTCAGTAAGTCATGTCTGACTTCTCATTTTCATGCCTTAGTAAATCGTGTCTATGACTTAAATATCTCATTCTCTTGCCTTAGTAAGTCATATCTGTGATTTAATTATCTTGTTCTCATGCCTTGGTAAGTCATGTCTACAACATATCTCGTTCTCGTGCCTTAGTAAGTCATGTCTATGACTTCTCATTTCCATGCCTTAGTAAAGTGTGCCTATGACTTAAGTATCTCATTCTCTTGCCTTAGTAAGTTGCATCTACAAATGATCTCGTTTCCTAGTCTTACTAAGTCGTGTGTTTGACTATTTAGTTCTTGCCTTATGTTGCCTTACTGGACTGAAAGCCTTATAACGTTAGATTAACTACCAACATAGAATTGTCAGAAGATGCAGCCAATCACATTAATTTACAGCGAGTGTCTGTGCTAATCGACTGTAGCATTACTCTAAGTTATCCATCTCTGCTGTGAGATCCTGCTTTGTGAAATAAGACCCCTCGCCGCAGTCATCTCTGCGTGGGAAAGCCCACTGAACTGACCTGCTCTCAGGGGGAAATTCAATACAGTCTCTAATGAGCAGCGGTCAGCATGCCGCCACCCAAACACTGCACACATGCGGTATTAGTGGCTCTGCTTTGCTGATGAATTATAAATTAAGGGGCCCAAATCCAAAAGGCTGTCTTGTATTTAATTAGTCCAGAAATGTGTCAGTGTGTGTCGTAATTCACTATCGCATGACCGTTTTCCATCATCTCTTCATCCCTTAGAATTAAACAGGCTGTTTTTGTTATTGGGCCTTCAAGGCTGATGTATGCAGATGACCTCTGTGTACTGTGCCTCATTCAAAAGCAGTCCCGGCTGAAGCACAAGGGCTGAGCTAAACTGCAGTAGGTAGAGATGTATGTAAATGCAGTCATGGTTGTGACATCACAAAAAGTGTGTAGTGAAAGAGTGCGTAGTGAAACAATGTTATCTCCAAGGTTTGATAAAGGTTAAAAACCTTGAGAAATAGACCCCTCAGCACTGTCGCTTGGTGAGTAGTTCAGTTTAAGGTTAAAATTTGATGCTGTGTCTGTTTGCTAGCTGTACGTTTCAGGCACTCGCAATCGTTGCGAATGTTTACCCAGGCTGAGTGGGAAGAATTAAACCTGCTGGACTGCAATAATGCCGAGTGATGTCAGGTTGCAGGATACGCTCCGCCGTCTGAATGCAGCCCAAAGATTTACGCTATCAAATGCATTATTTACCGCACGGCACAGATATCTGCCACAGCATCCTCCATTTACCGCTGCGGTACACGTGCAGCAGCATTCAGAGTTCAAATGTTTCCAAATTTTGCACGACGCATTTCGGCCAAGCCCAGCTAGCCTTGCATCCATGTTGGAGGAAACTGCCAGACACAGCAACTGCTCTCCTTTCTGCCGTGCTGAGGCTGAAGAAGGATCCTTGAGGGAGGCTGAAATCCGACCCTCCATTGCTGCTCTGTAAAACGGTGCAAGTGCAAGTTCAATAACGCTACTATTTACAGCCAGACGTGATGATGCAGTGACTGAGAGAGGTCTATAGAGGATCCAGCTGAACTGTGTGGTCATAGGTCTGTGTATCCATGAGTATTTTAGCATGTAGCTCAGCCGGTCAGATTTTAGAGCTCATACGATCTGTTTGATAAAGAAACATTTACAGTGGTCATTCGATTGGTTAGGCACTGTTTACTTTTCTAAGCCAATGAAGGGAAATTTAACCTACCCACAAAATGAATGTCTAAGTTGACTTGATCTGCAATAAAGCATGGCCGCCATTCGGACCAACCCAGTTAGTGAAAGTGACCACCATCAGTCAGCCATCATCAACAAAGTAATGATGGACACATGATGGACAGATTTAGTTGGTACAGAGAAAAATCATCACTTTTTATGTCATTTTAATACAGTAACACTTTTTTATTTACAGCCACCCCTATAAAATCCCAGTGTCTGACCCGGCCACCTCCTTCTAAAAGTTCTAGCTATGCTCTTGTCTGTCATCAGTGTGCGTTAGAACATGAGTGCATGTGTATATTTACACTGCGTCACAGGCCAGCATGGTTCCGAGCGGCTCTGCAGTTTAAACGTTCTCCTCAGCACTTTACTGTACCTTTCCACAAGGGCGTGTGTGTGTGTTTGCGTATGTATTTATGTCTTCGTGGGGTCTAAATGTCGTTATGGGGACATTAGTCTACTTGCCACGAAGAAAAATACTTTCTTTGCCCCAAAAAGTGCAGCTGCAGAAAAAGAGGCCAAAGCTTTTGGCTGTTGAGGTTGAAGTTAGTTGAAGTTAGAGTCTCACACACACACAACAATACACACTGTGTGTGAGACGTCACTGCTGGCTCTGCGCCAGTGAGCAGAGTGCTGCAGTGACCTGAACTAACGAGGCCAACACATGTTCGTCCTTCAGGGAACGTTTGGACTCGAATGATAGAAAGAGCATATACTGATAAATTAATAATAATAATGACATAGTAACATATACTATATGTATATTAATAAATGTATACTGTATGCATACTTATAAATCAGCATCGTAATAGCAGCGTATATTAATAAATCAGCACTATAATAGCAGTGTACACTAATAAATCAGCATTTCAAAAACTTAAGGCTTAACTGAGACTCACACTTTAAAGACTTGAGACTTGGACTCGTACCTCAAAGACTCGAGACTCAGACTTGAAACTTGGATGTAGGAGACTCAACACTTTGACCCCAGAAATTTGATACTTTGACCTCAGAGACTCGAGACCTGCCTCAGAGATTCGAGACTTTGACCTCAGAGATTTGAGACTTTGACCTCACACATTCGAGATTTGCCTCAGAGATTCGAGACTTTGACCTCAGAGATTCGATACTTGCCTCAGAAATTTGAGACTTTGACCTCAGAGATTTGAGACTTCAAACCTCAGAGATTTGAGACTTTGACCTCAGAGATTTGAGAATTTGACCTCAGAGATTCGAGATTTGCCTCAGAGATTTGAGACTTTGACCTCAGAGATTTGAGTCTTTGACCTCAGAGATTCGAGACTTTGACCTCAGAGATTTGAGACTTTGATCTCAGAGATTCGAGACTTTGATCTCAGAGATTCGAGACTTTGACCTCAGAGATTCGAGACTTTGACCTCAGAGATTTGAGACTTTGACCTCAGAGACTCGAGACCTGCTTCAAAGATTCGAGACTTGCCTCAGATTTGCATGAAGTGTCTTCTGAACATCTTTGTTTCCAGCCCTAGTTGGATCTAAAGGCTATATGAAGGTGTTCAAAGTGATGAACTGAATAATGGTTGTTAGATTAAGAAGATCGAAACGATCCAAAATCAGAAATGTTCCACTGAAGTCCAGTTCTGGATGCTGGACTCAAACAGCAGAGCAACGAGCAATCAAACCGAAACACTCCACACATTTATCTTGTCGGATCTAATCAGCTGACCTAGGGAATACGTCCAACACCGCTGCTGACAGCAATGATTTGTGAGCGAGTGCTTTCTGCTGAGCCTTGCGGATCAATATGAACACGGGTTGAGGTTAGTTACGTTTCTCCACCTTCAGTGGAGAAGGAACTGGTGCTCACATTTAGGGAATGAGACTGTATATCAGTTGCAGGCCTTTGTTTTCCAGAAAATAAAAAGCACCGAGGCCTGACGGAGCCTTTATTCTTTGTTGGGTGGAGGCAGCTGCTCAGATCAGGCCAGAAATCAATCAGACAGCTGCTGTATTCCTCAGTGAAACTGTACTGGATGTCTCTGCAGAACTCACAAAACAGTACCGCGCTGAAAATACGCCTGAATTTGTAACTTTACCAGGGAAGACTAGCTTTAATAGAAGTTAATGAAAAAGATTTTGCTCCAAGAAATTTTAGGTCATTTCTACTGGACAAATGAAAATGATCATACAGTATTAAAGGCAGCAGAAGTTCTCAAATGGTGTTTAAAAACAAAAAAAAGGAACTGTGACGTTTTCATTAACAGTAAGCTCTAGTAACAACAGTAGTGTCAATATTTAAAAATAGGGCTGGCTGATTGAATGATACGATCTTGTTATTATTAGTAAGATAAATTATATCAAGATACCCTTCTGGGCGAGTGATGGGAGTGGTCAGTACTTCTAGAACACTGCACATAAAAAGACAGATTTAGACTGATTAAAGAGAGCCTGTAAACGACGGCAACCAATGCAGAGTGACGTCATAACCTGAAAGCAACAGATAGCTGACTGGATGTCAGTGTAAGCCGCCGGCTGCCAGCAGATGGCGATGGTGGTGAGGTGCCATAAGTTCAGGGAACTCCAATTCCCAGAAGCCCTCGGGCTGATTAGGCCCAACCTGGCACACCTGTGGACTCCTCTACTTAAGGCTGTGGCAAACAGCAGGCCTGTGTCACACCTTTGTAGAGGGGTGACCGGTACGGTACGGTACGGTACGCAGCCCAGGTGGGTATTTCAACAAAAGTTAAAGAAAAGGAAAAAGAAAACAAAAGAAAAGTAAAGAGGGCTGGAAAAAGCAAAAGAGTGAAACTGCCTCAAAACTACTTAACACCTTGAGCCTTGAGCTACAAACGGCTCCAAGCCATACTAAAGGTGTTTGCTCCGCTAAGAGCAAACAGGTGAAACATAAAGTCAACCTTCCTCTCAGAATCACAGAGGAAGTAATTTTTGTTTTCTGATTATCTTTACTTTCACTTTTCTATCTCAGCCTTTGTTTGATCACGCTGACTTCTGCAGTTATCTGATTATTAAAATGTTCATGTAAACAGCGCACTCTGATTTCTTAGATCGGAATATGGTCTAGAAATCCGATTAAGAAATCTGCTAAAGAGGCTGGATTTTAGCTCAGTAATCAGATTTCTCAGTGCATGTAAACTCTTACTCTGATTTCTTTCGGATTTCTCAGTCTGAGCATGTGCGAAAACAGACCGCGGAAATAAGCGAGCAGCGTCGCCATGAGACGCAGCAAAACAGTTTTGGAATGGTGCTGAAACCGACAACATGAAGGATTTAAATATTCTTCATCTTCTAGGTGACGTGTGTTCATATTTTCAGTGAAGTGACTCGATGTTTAAAAAAAAAGCTGCAGCATGAAGTTTGAGTTTTACGTTACGTTTACATCACGTCTTCTTCTGTGAGTTTATTGGCTGGTTGCAAAGCAGAAATCTGATTACTGCCTGACTCATGCAGACCCGGAGTTTCCCCATTATCTGATTACTCAAGTGCACATACACGTTGATTGGATTACTGACAAAATCTGATTTTCCTCAGTTATCGGATTATTAAGTGCATGTAAACACACTCGTTTTTTCTTCCTGTTCCTTCTTTGAAAACTCATCATTCAGCCTTTTATCAAATGTATCACTACTCTTTGGTGCTGCACTCCGACCTGTTCATAAAAGGTAGAAAAAAAAGGTTGTGAAAAAGTATTTGCCCCCTCCTGATTTGCTGTTTGTGTCATACTAAGTGGTTTCAGATCTGCATACAAAATGTAATATAAGACAAAGAGCCCACGAGGAAACACAAAACACGTTTTGTTTTTAAGGAAAAACGTTTGAAAAACCTGCATCACCCAGCGCTTTCAACCAAATAAACAGGGGCGTAGCAGCCGTTTTAAAAGTGAGGGGGCGCTGTTCTCAGTAAGTAGCAAAGAATCAACACCGACTCCCAGTCGCAACAGTACAGAGCCCTGCTGGTGACATTGTACAAATAAAAATAAAGCGTGGGTAAATAATAATTTACTAATAAGTAATTAGTAAGGTGTGGGAACAAGATAAATAAACTGTGGCCATGACTTAAGATATGGGAATGGGATAATTAAGCCTTGGCCACAGCTTAACAAAGCATGATCTCCTTTCCCACTTTACTAAGTCGTGGCCATGGCTTAATTATCTCATTCTTACGCCTTACTAAGTTGTGGCCACGCACTAGGATCCTGTTCCCACGTGTTAATACGTCATGGCCACACATTATATTTATTTAAATAGGATATCACCAGTAGAAGAATTGACTCTTTTGGAGTCGACACTTCCTCGCTAGTGATGTTTACATTTAACAGGGCTGGCGATTTTTTTTCTTAATGACTAACTGTTACGTGTGCTGTGTTTGTGTGAAGGGGGTCCCCCTGATGTGGGGAAGATGCTGGGAGGAGAGGAGGATAAAGACCCCGAGGCGGAGAAAGAGAAAGAGGAGGAGAGGCAGGAGGCTCTAAGGCAGCAGGAGGAGGAGCGGAAAGCCAAATATGCCAAGATGGAGGCCGAGCGGGAGGTGATGAGGCAGGGCATCAGAGACAAGGTGAGAAGTTCCACTTACGCACCTAAATAAGGTTCCAGATAAAAGGGGAATTCGACTCATTTCTCAAAATAACAAAATACGTGGGGTGTAAACAGAGTCAGAGTGGTTTGGTGTGAAATGGTTCAGATGTCTTCACAGTGGTGGTGATGGGAACCAGGCGTCGCCATGACTACAACACAAATATAGACATTTATTTACCATCCAAAACCAGCAGTGAACCTACAGAGTCTTCATTCTGCTTATCCACTTTATAAGCACTTCAGTCTGAAGAGTCATTTTACTAAAACGTCATTCTGCACATTAATTTATTAGAAGTTTATTTTAGGTATTAATTATAATATTATTGTAAACTCTACTGTACATGAGGCAGTAAAGCTTCATTATGGATATTTATTTTATTAAAACTTTAATTTCATTAGAACCTCATTCTGGATGTTAATTTTATCAAGAACGTCGTTCTGGGTATCAATTTTTATTAGAGCCTCATTTTAGATGCTAATTTTATCTAGAATGTCATTCTGGATGATAATTTTTTAGAACTTCATTCTGGATGTAAATTGTATTAAAATTTCATTCTGGATGTTAATTTTATTTGAACCACATTCTGGATGATAATTTTTTAGAACCTCGTTCTGGATGTAAATTTTATCTAGAACGTCATTCTGGATATTTATTTTATTAGAACTTCATTCTGGATATCAATTTTTATTAGAACTTTGTCTTTGATATAAATGAGCAGTTCCCGCTGATCATCTAAACTGGACTCCTGGACTCATTATATGCATTTCAGTGCTGTTGACATTGTTGTGGGCAGTTATTGTTGTGGTCAGCTCATGTGGCGTTTTGTGTGACAGTACGGTCTAAAGAAGAAGGAGGAAGCCGAGGCCGAAGCGCAGGCGGCCATGGACGCGGCCAGCGAGGGCAGCCTGACGCGTCCGAAGAAGGCCGTGCCGTCCGGGTGCGGAGACGACGACGAGGAAGAGGAGAGCATCATGGACACGGTGATGAAGTACCTGCCGGGGCCGCTGCAGGACATGCTGAAGAAGTAACACGTTGTCGACATGGCGACACAGCTTTACGTACTATTAATATTCTTCTTCTTATTAATATTATTACAATTGTAATGCGTGCTTCCGCTTTCAAACAGCAGAGGGCGCACTAGAGCAAGAGAGCAACACGACATTACAAAAAACACCATCGTTGTTTCGCAGAGGTTTTGTAAATAGAATTTAGCTGTTCTAGGTAAGAAGGAAGGGCAGTACGTTTCAAAATATAAGCCATATTTTATCTTTAACGGGAAATGCTGAATCCTAAGTTCCGATATTGTTTCTTATTAAACACAAACGAAAAACACGTAGGCTACGATGTTTGCATGAAATGTAGCTTGAAAAATCGACTTCCACCGTTTTGTACTGTCAACCAGCAATTTTCCTCGATTTATTAGCTGTGTATTAGCTAAAAGAGCTAGCTACGTACTAGCTAAACATCTTTAGTCTAACGCGAAACATCGCAATCACTAGCGGAAACGTCTCATCTATGCATGTATCCATCACGTAGACTGTGTGCTTAACCACATCTTTGGTGCAAAGGCTAAAATAACATAGAAGGCAATAAATTTTTAGCTTAGTCGATGCGCATTTGCTGAACATACCAAAACTCAGTCGATCTCGAAGCTAAACTCTCTCAGCGGACCGACCTATAGAGCACAGGTTTGAGTCACATGAGGCCTCAACACATTCTTAACAGTGCAGAAAAGACATAGGTTCATTTAAAGTCCTTTTTAGTGTGATATAATAACACAATACACACTTCAGGTACAGGATCCACGAAAGAATTCGCACCACTGACTTCAGAGTTGGCTTAGAATTGACTGTAACACGGAGGGTCAGCATCGAATCCGTTCGTTCGGACTTTCTTTCGGACCGTTTTCTGGAACTTTCTTAGCAATAACAGTTTCTTCTGTTTGCTTAGCTTGTGAGAAACCAATGATAAACACAATCTGAGTGAATGACGAATGTAACGTTAATCGGAGAGACTGTGTCTGGGGCGAAATACGCAAAGAGAAATAATGGGCATTATAGCAATATAATGATCAATCATGTGCTGTCATTTGTTGCATTTCAGGCTTTTTGTTTGCTCGCCTTAAACTGATGCCTTTATTAACGATTATGATCAACGGAAATGTATTGTACTGTCACTTAAAACCATTAAAAACACTACTAAAAACCTCTTTCACAAATGGCATGCTCTTCAATCAACCTCATTTTGAGCGTTCAGCTGTGCCACTTGCAAATCTCTGCAGCTGCCACAAGGTGTCGCTGTTTGACGCTGCCTGGAGCATCGCTTCAGCCAAATGGAGTGTTGCGCTCACACAATCCAAAAACCACACTGACTTACCTTAATAGGTAGCAGTTATCACCTGTGATCACAAACGCATGGGGCCACTTTATATGAGTTTTTGGTAACACTTTATTTGGATGGTCCACTTTAGATGCTTTGTAGATACGTTCAAGTTAAATGCAACTAGTTTCTTTAAATCTAAACCTAATCCTAACCTTAACCCAAAACCTAAAGCCAACCCTCACCCTGCTCCTAGCCCTAATTCTGGTCCACATCCTAACCCATAACCCCACCACTGTTTAGAATCAGTTTCAACAGGTAGTTCTTTTACAATTTATCTGTAGATAATCTATAGTGAACCATCCAAATAAAGTGAGACCGAATTATTTGAGTCGTTTATTATTTGAAACAAGTTAAGAAAATATGTGGAAAATACTGTTTCTGAGCTTTCAATCCACATTTGTATTTATAAGTAGACATTTTATGATCTGAATTTGATGAAAAGTTATAACTATGTGTATGTTGGGGTGGCGATCACAATACTTTTCCAGAGATTAATACTGGAGCTATGAGGCTAATATAGCTAATAAGCAGTTGGAGGCTTATAGCCCACCAATCCGCGATCTAACTGCCCAATCATGCAGTTCGGGTGTCCGTTGGAACCAATAAAGAACTCTGGTAGTGCCACTTTTGTTGATTTTTATTCACCATTTCACACACTGTGCTGCACTAAATCCAATTAAACAAGACTAACTGTACTCTTTATAAGAGAAAAGCATACAGAGAAGTAATGGAATTTACCACAATGTTAAATATTCTCCTGATTTGTGGACGAAAAAAAATATGCTTTTACATTTTTGACACGTTTTGCCTACAAAGTCGTGGAATGGGAATGTTAATCATATAACTGTAGAATTAAGTATGTAATTATATCTAATTTATGTAACGTGAACTGAATGTGCAGCAAAACAGACACAAAAATGCAAATATATACACACAGTAATTCCAATCTTTATTAACCAAAAAACAAACAACAAAATAACAAACGTCAGTAAGGTGAACTAACGCGACCGTACGACGGGAGATAAACTGCGATTCCCTGTATGTCCTCCTCCACACTAACAGCTGACTGAGGAGAAAACAGCACGGCCCAGTGTAGACAGGCTCAGTACGGTGCTGTAGTGGAGTACGACTGAGAATCATTCAGAACAGAAACATACATACGATTTTCCATCGGACAGTGCAGTGAAGTATGGGACGGTCACTAATCACGCAGTTTCTCGTCATTTCTGATGCCGGGTGACCCATTACGTTTGAGTCCCTGTGTTGAGTTTGGTTACCCTGTCTATCACGGTACCAAGCATACTGAGACTGGACTTATGGGTGAAGCTTTAAACAGTGTAGTCCACTGATTGGTCAAATGTAGTCGTCACATATCACGAGTGGATTTACATCGACTTGGTTTTAAATTTTTGCTGGAATCAGAAATGCGGAACTTCATATTTAGTTCAACTTCGGTTGACATGGGAATTTGTGTCCTCGACCCTCGACGCCACTGCTTTGGTGCTACTCCATTGGCTGACCTCTAAAGGGGCGGGGCTTTGCGCAGCAGCACTGATAATCCAAAATGGACGAAGCACTAAAGACTCAAGAGTGACTGCTGGATGCGCAGTCAGCCAGGAGACTCTATTAGATGGTAGATGGTAGACGAGTTGGCTAACCTCAAGTAGATAACCAAGACTACCATCACCAGTCATCTACATTTCTTAATGTTTTCCAATTTTCTCCCCAATTCCGCCCTCTAGTTAGGACTCCCCCAATCACACGATACCACCAGTGCTAGGAAGGCGAAAGCTACCACAGGCTTCCTCTGAGACCTGTCAAGGGCCACCGCACCTTTTTGAACTGCTGGTGACACAACGTCACTGGACAGCTGAACTTCGTGGAAAGCGTCAACCGCCAGATCTGTTACGTCAGCTAACAGACCCACCCAGAGAGAGCAAGGCCAGTTGTGCTGTCTTGGACTCCCGGCCATGGATGGCCGTAGCATCACCAGGGATCGAACGCAGTAGTTATCTAGATCCAAGCTTCCAATCTTTGGTCACGCACATTTCGCAAGGCAACGTGAGCTGCCAGTGTCACGTGCGACTGCGCTTTAAAGGTAATTTGAAGTCAAGGTTGCTACTGTTGAGGTCAGCATTAACACTAGCATTGTGTGTGAAATCAAGTGACCACCACACAACCTCCAGACAACACTGCCTACTTTCACAAGTATCGTTAAGCGATCTTTATGGAAACTGGACACAGGTACTCAAGCAGGGTTCTGGGTTTGGATCAGTAACCGTACTTTGTTGAGCTGCACTGCCTGACGGACAAACGCCTCGAGCAGTATAGCCGAGCCGGGACGGAGTAAAGTGGAGTACTGTGGCGAGAGGACTGGATGCCGACTGAGTACAGTGGAGTATAGCCTGAGTTTAAACTACTCACCCAGCAAACCATGCAAAGCTAACCGCAACCTGATCTCCATCAACCTTCTCAACCTGATCTCCATCAGTCTTACCTGTAGTTTACTGTCCTTTACCGCAATTTCAGTTCATCCCTAGAAGTCAATAGGCAATTACTGAATTCCTCAAGCAACATTTCCTGTGTGAGACGTCACTCAGTTATCTGTAAATGAACCTGTGTACGCGGTTCTTTCAGAGGTGGAACTGCGGTTCCAGAGGGAAGAATTTCTGGCCATTCATTACCAGCGTAGTCGTGAGGGTGGAGTTCTCACAGGGTCCGCCTGATCGCCACGGATATCAGGAAAACCCTCGGGAAAGTGAAAGGAGCCCCATGTGGAAATCCCAGTAGAAAACCAATGGGAAAACCCTACTCTTTCCTAGTTTAGTCACAATGACTCAAACCAGTAGAACCCCTTCTACCGATGCCTACAGGTGTGGAAATTCCTGTAGAGACCAGTCGTGTCCAGTTGACTCACTCCAGGTGAATATTCAACTGGTTTTTCACCCAGAAACTGGAACACTTGTGTGGTCTCTCCTGGCGCCAGAACTACTTTCTTACTTAGTTGCTCCGGTGTTGGAAAGTTCCAAATTGGATAAAACTTCCAAAGAACAGCTTTAAGACATTCTCCAACACCTGGAACAGGTGTAGTTTAAATTTGGGTTATTTGGAGACACATTTCGATCAATTTGTTGAGAGAATTCAGCAACGGCCCATTCGCTTCTATTATGAGTGAGTTTTGAGTCAACAGGTTTTTCTGTAGGCCTCACAATTATTTATTTAAGCTAAATTTCACTGGGTGAGTTTTTCTGATTTGGGCCAAGGCAAACCGGCTGACTGACCGGTGCTATAACACCTTTACAGGGGGGCGGCGAGTAATGTTTGTTTATTTGAGCTCAAGCTGTTTCTGTCAGAGAACAACACAGTGGCCACTAGTATTCTAATACAATTTAACTGCCTTTAGAAAACAAAAAAAATGAAATTGTACTTTGAATCGAACTCGAAAATGACCGTCATTGGTAATCGACAGAACGCAGACGACCGAGGGGAGGCTGAAAACCCGGAATTATTCCTCAAGTCTGTTCTGAAACAACCCACACCTCCCAGCGAGTGCATTTAACAAGGATTTACTTTAGCATATTACTACTTACAATATTACGGTATGAGCTTATACCTGAGAAAGAGAGAGAGAGAGAGAGAAGACTGAAGGAGAGAGAGCGAAAAAGGAAAGGCACGCTGAAACGCCAGAAGCACATAAATAAGTAGGTAAATGCAGAGATACAGTGTAGATGTGCAATACTGTGCCTACGTCACGTCTTCAAACAAAACTGAAGTGACTCCATACACAGGTTAAAGGCATAATAACTAATAATAACAACAACACATTCATGTTACAACAGAACAAACCTTCAGTACATTCTAGTACATGTATGTGTGTTTGTGTATTGGGGGTGTAACAATTCACAAAATTCGTAATTCCGTATGATACGATACGATACTGTGCTGTTTCAATTCAGTTCGTTCTCTAATACGGCAAAAACTCCCGAAAATGTGCGTTATGTTTACATACACCGATCAGGCATAACATTATGACCACCTCCTTGTTTCTACGCCCATTGCACTATGTAAGTGTGCGAGTGCAATTCGGATCGGTCAGCGCTTACTGTTGCTTTGTTTAATCAAAAATTAAAGAGTAAAGATTAAGCGACTGACATTCCTATTCATGTGTTTTCTTACATTTACGGCATTTAGCAGACGCCCTTATCCAGAGTGACTTGCTGAAGATCATTTTACACAGGTAGGCGAAGGCAGTGTTAGGAGTCTTGCCCAAGGACTCTTATTGGTATAGTGTATGTATTGAACCCCAGTCTGCAGCGTAGGAGGCAGAGGTTGTACCCACTACACTACACCACACCAACCACCACCGGACACCTTGTTCAATAAGCGTTTTTTTAGACGCAAAAATCTGGCTTTGTTGTCTTTACATATCAAATAAATGCAACAGCATCATTCAGAAATCATGGAGTTTAGCCTGACCAGTTTAGGCTTAAGTTGCGCTTTGTGACGAACTGAAAACAAAATAGAATAAAATCAAATCTGGTGGGGTGAGAGAAAGCTTAGCTTACCAACCACTGCACTAATTCTCCTCTTAGCCCAGCGTGCTAGCCACGGTACAACACAAGACATTGTATTGTTACACCCCCAATGTGAATATCTATGTGTAGCTGTGGTGCTATAACTGTGAGGAGCGCTCTGAAGTACAACAAAGCTCCTTTCTTCAGGGTAAGGTTTGGGGCTATTCTGCCCCACAGTACCAGAACAATCCTCACAAGTATAGCAGTCCAAGTAAGTGTACTTGTGTTTGCCTGTGAATCTCTGACAGGCTTCCTTTGCTGGTTCAGGAATCAGCTGATCACAGACATCAGAACCACAATAAACCATAATATCCAAAAAATAATAATAATCTAATTATTTACAGTAGCAGTTGACAGAAGAGAATGCTGGTGGTAAATCGTCTTCAACGCGGCAGTCTCGGCAATCTCAGGCTTATTACTGTTCGACGTCTCCGAGCTCCACTGCAGATTCTATCAAAATGTCTTTGACTCTTAAATATTTATATATTATAGCAAAATCCTTCTGATGAAATCTCCTTCCTGTACCTTTAACTCTAACAGCAGAATTCTTTCTGCAGTTACATTCGATATTCAGGCCATAAAGGACGGATTGTGTTGTGTAGGGATCTCTGCAGTGGTGCACAGTGAGACAAGAGGACACTACGAAAACCAGCATTACAAATCTAAGACGAAAAAAAAAAAGAGGCTAGAAATAAGAGACGTAGGCTGCCGCAGACCTCCAGGCCACAAGAGGGCGCCGTCACTGCTGCTGCTGCTGCCACTGCTACACGTTTGTCCGACATTTAGGGAAGATGGGGCCACTTTCAAGCCTTCTCTTTCTTACTGCAGAGAGACAGAGAGAGAAAAAGATTGTCATTAAACAATGAAGATGTGTCCTCATGCCCAAATAAGGACTTTGGAGCCTAAACGGTTTTTCTCTATGGGGGAAAAAATGAACAGCGTTTTAGAAAACGGCGATTTACGGCCCCTGATAAATAAAACTGTTTTTGTCCTGTATACGTTTCCACCCTGAGCTTGTCAACTACACTATACACCGATCAGGCGCAACATTATGACCACCTCCTTGTTTCTGTGCTCATTGTCCATTTTATCAGCTCCACTTACTATATAGGTGCACTTTGTAGTTCTACAGTTACAGACTGTAGTCCATCTGTTTCTCTGCATACTTTGTTAGCCCCCTTTTACCCTGTTCTTCAGTGGTCAGGACCCCCATGGACCCTCACAGAGCAGGTACTATTTGGGTGGTGGATCATTCTCAGCACTGCAGTAACACTGACGTGGTGGTGGTGTGTTAGTGTGTGTTGCGCTGGTCTGAGTGGATCAGACACAGCAGTGCTGCTGGAGTTTTTAAACACCTCAGTGTCACTGCTGGACTGAGAATAGTCCACCAACCAAAAATATCCAGCCAACAGCATCGTGTGGGCAGCGTCCTGTGACCACTGATGAAGGACTAGAGGATGACCAACACAAACTGTGCAGCAGCAGATGAGCTATCGTCTCTGACTTTACATCTACAAGGTGGACCGACAAGGTAGGAGTGTCTAATAGAGTGGACAGTGAGTGGACACAGTGTTTAAAAACTCCAGCAGCACTGCTGTGTCTGATCCACTCAGACCAGCAAAGCCATATCTGTTTTGCGACAGCTGAAACAGTGGATGCCGTAAAGTGTTTTCCTGCACACATGGTACACAGTCTGCCATGGAGGCTGTGGCCGAGCTGTGGACGGCACTTATACTTCCTTCCATTCCATTTTTATGCCACAAAACAGCCCAAAAAATGTCTAGAAATGGACTCAATCTTACAATATTCTTCCCACAATCTCAAAATTTAGAAATATTAAGTTCGTCCACTCGATTTGAGTTTATTTCACTTGCCAGTATATTTTTTTGCAGTGTAGGCGGCTCGAAGTCTAAACTAATTTTAAAATGTGCAACCCCCTTTGTTTTGACCCAGAGCCCCACAATGACTAAATCCGCCCTTGCTGGCACATCACATGAAGTTTGTGTCGTGAGAAAAAAATGTACGACTTTCACTTCAAAGCAGCACGAAACTGCCAAACTCCCACAGTGGACGACGCTTACTGGTTTGTGTGGGTTGATATGGTGAGGTTGTCAACCTTATATTTGGACTCAACAACCTCGTTATTCAGAGAATCCAGTGGCTCTGAAAAAAACGACAAATTTCATAATGTATGTGACACAAACGTACACAAGCTCACCCCATAGAGAAAACCAGTTCAGACTTGTAGTTTCTTTTCTGGGCAGGTTGCTGACCACAAAACGAGACTTCCTCAGAGGTCTAAAGAAGACCTAATGGTCTATCCATGCACTGCCCACTGTGTTCTTTCGCAGCTACGGTTATTAAAGATTTACAGGACGCTGGTTGAAATGAAAGACAGTCTCTGTGATTCACACTGAGTCATATTCTACAGTTTCAGTCTGATTCAATCATTAGACTGAATGAGTAACTGACTCTAAAAGTAGGTACTGTGATATAAACACTACAGTTTCTCTTCAGGCCTAATGGTCTGTAAAGCTTGTCTAATGTAGCAACAGCAGCTATTAAAGAGCACATTCGTAGGCAGGGCATGCATGGGTCAAAATCAGAGGAAGAATAAAGAAACTGGAAACAAAATCACTGCGGATTTTCAGAAAGAAAGCCGAACGTTCTGCTCTGAAAGCGTGAAAGTGACAGGGAAGCACATTTCAGGAATCGGGCCCAGCAGAGCTGGAACCTCAAAGCAGCGGCACCTTCAGAGCGAAGGCCAAAAAGCTCTCAGACAATAAAAACGTCAGCAAAGGAGTCACGCGCTTGCGGAATGCTTTACGCAGGAGGGAAAAGTCCAGAAGCGGCAAAAGAGAGCGAGAGAAGCGGAGAGTCTGGCAAGGAACTCAAACCCCAGACACGGAAAAGAGCAGGAGGAGCGGTGCTGGAGGAATGAAGGAGCAAGGTAAAAGGCCCCATTTCAGAAGGAAGTGCCTTCTTTTACTTGGGTTTAGCGGAGAACTTGAACTTTTTACAGAAGGCTCTCTCCAGCTCGGGGACGGACAGGGTGAAGGTGATGGCTCCGTCCGAGTCTGTCCGAACTACACGCACTGCAATAAATACAACATTTACTAAATACGACATCTGAACATACAAAAACAGAATCAGGGTACTTAAATTGATTGGCTGAATTTTCAGTTTTTCCCCTCTTACTCCATATTTAGTCCATCAGCCAAGACATGTTTGGTATCTGAAGTTTGCTTCTTTAGTTTTACAGTGCAAAGAGGAAAACTATTCCTGACCAGTTAGCACTGTGCAAAATGGCTATAAAAATGGATGAAAATGTGGATAAAATTCAGGCTTTATCCATGTTTACAGATAACAGTGCATCATACAGTGTCAGAAACCACATAATCAAACCTATTAGATATACCGAACATCTCCACACAGTCTCAGGTGAGCGTGTGATGATTTAGGCCCGAGGTCTTCAAATCCAGACCACGAATCTAGTTTCTGGTCTTGGATTAAAGTGGCAAATTAGTTACAGCAACAGTTCAACTACATGTAGATACAGAATCCAGGACCGGATACTGGAAACAAGGTCTGGATTTGAAGACCTCTGATTTACGCAATCAGTTTGCATGAGGGCAGCTGGTGGTATAAACTTCTAGTACTTGCTAGCTACATTAGACTTATAGCTCCAGTGCAAACTGAAGCAAATTTCAGACGCCAAACATGCCTTCGCTCAAAAATCACATTTGGGGTAGTAGGAGAAAACGAGGTACATCAGATTTTTTTGCTGAACCACTTTAAGCTGAATTAAGTGTGGGATCATGCATGTGTGTACAGTAAAAGGAAAAAAAATAGTATCTTGTCAAGTAAATTATCTTAAATATAGTCAAGAAATCTGATTTTCTCCTGTTGAGATTGTTGTAAACTTAATTTAAGATTATTTAACTTATTTTTAGACCTTTTTTTTACTTGTTTTAAGTAATTTTATCAAGTAAAGTTCTCACTCTATTGGTGGATTTTGATTGTTTCAAGAAATGTGCCAGTATAGGGAGATAATTTTACTTAATAAAATGACCTAAAACAAGTAAAAAATTCTGGAAATAAGCTAGAAAACCTCATAATAAGTGCACAACCATCTCAAAATGGGAAATTTTTTTTTTTTTACTTTTTTTTTGCAGTGCTGAACACTCCAGATGTTTTATTCATGTTCTAAGTAAGAATAAGTCAACACATTCTCTACAGACACATAAATATTGATCTGCAAATTTTTGTGCACAATTTCTATTTATTTGCATAGTTTAACATATTCGAAAAAACAATATATATATATATGCACACACATCTAAAATGTGCCATAACTTTGCAAAGGCCATATTTAGTTTTATTCGTCTTCCCAATATGTTAAATTCAGCAAATAAACACACTTCTGCTTTAAATTTGTGCAGAAGTCTGTTCTCTGTAAAAGATGTGTTCACCTATTTTCACTCAGAAAATCAACATTTGTTGTAATTTGATGAGTTATTATAAGCTATCATAAGTTGTCGTGGTTTGCCGTGGCGTGTAAGCTTTACCCAGGTCGTTGTTGTTCATCATGGCGTTGGAGCAGCGTAGGCGTGGGCCCTGCTGGGTGAAGTGGTATCCAAACTTCAGCAGAGTGCTGTTCTTCTCCAACATGCTGGCGATCTCCATCTCCACCTTATTTCCCAGGGGCTGACTCTGTTACACACACATAAAAAAAGCATGTACATGAACACCATGCAGCATTTATTAACAAACTACGATGAAATATTTCATTTAAAAAGTGCTCATATGATCCACACAGTCATTCTGACAGACTGTAATACACTACAGGAAGTGTAGGGGGCGATATGGCTTCTACTGTTTCATTTAAAAAGCCTCTATAATGTTCATATGATCCACACAGTCATTCTGACAGACTGTAATACACTACAGGAAGTGTAGGGGGCGATATGGCTTCTACTGTTTCATTTAAAAAGCCTCTATAATGTTCATATGATCCACACAGTCACTCTGACAGACTGTAATACACTACAGGAAGCGTAGGGGGCGATATGGCTTCTACTGTTTCATTTAAAAAGCCTCTATAATGTTCATATGATCCACACAGTCACTCTGACAGACTGTAATACACTACAGGAAGCGTAGGGGGCGATATGGCTTCTACTGTTTCATTTAAAAAGCCTCTATAATGTTCATATGATCCACACAGTCACTCTGACAGACTGTAATATACTACAGGAAGTGTAGGGGGCGATATGGCTTCTACTGTTTCATGTAAAAAGCTCTATAATGTTCATATGATCCACACAGTCACTCTGACAGACTGTAATACACTACAGGAAGTGTAGGGGGCGATATGGCTTCTACTGTTTCATTTAAAAAGCACTCTATAATGTTCATATGAATTACCAGATTCATAGGGGGGCATTAAGGCCTCAGTTTCTTCATTAAAAGAAGACCATAAAAGAAGAAATCACTTGTCACACAGATGGAAAGTGAACGATTGTGGCACTGAAGGGATCTTATAAACACGTTTGTGTACCTGGTTGTCGATTTTGAGCTCCTGCAGGGTGGTGTTGTGCTGCAGCGCGTCTACCAGAGCTATTATTCCAGCACCAGTGATGAAATTTGACTCGACGTTAAGGCTCCTCAGAGTGGCGTTCACGTGCAGCATGTCTGCTAATGCCTAAAACAAAGCACACACACACAAACATCATCCAGAGCGCACAGAACGAATCCAACCAAACAATAACACAACTTTACAGCCTCCTAATAAACCAGGTTTGAAAAATAAACCATTCAGGAACTGAGTTTATCATAAACCTTGGTTAGATATGCAGTCAGAGTGTATATACATTTAAGTCTGAAGAGTTTGGGAATTGTTGGGATTGTTTAAGATTGTTGGGTAACACTTTCTATGAATGTCACATTTGTAAGCATCTATAAACACATTCATAACATGTTATAATGCATTCATAAGGCATCATAAACATAGCTATAAATATTTAGAAAAATGCATTAAACGTTATAGCCATGCCTATTATGCATTATGAATCGTTAACATAATACATTATAAGTACTGTTCATAACAAATTATAAGAGCTCATAAGTCGTATTTGTCCGCTCTAAGTAAAGTGAAGCATACTGTACTAAAGCCTCCTCCAGTGTTCAGAGTGAGGCTTCAAGTTGAAGTATTTACTGAAGGATTTACTGAAACACTAAAACATACACAGTAAAGCACATTACAGGCTTCAAATGTCAGAGTTTAAACTAGAGCTGCCATCAGTGTTTTTACCCAATGTGGGAAAGTCAATGTACACCACCGTTAGCTTGGCACTAACTTAACACTGCATATCCAATAGAATGTTAGGAGAGATTAGCATTACTGTACTGTAGTGTAGTGTTACAGAGTGAAGGGTTCTAGCGCTTGACGTTAGAACCAGTGAGGGAACAAATTACAGTGACAGCGCTCTACTATCACACCTCTCCCTCTCCAGGCCTTCACTTCACAGTGACTTCACGCTCAGTGTGATGTCAGAGGGGGTTCAGGGGAGGGGCTGATGGGTACTTGGTTTGCTGTGATGTAATGTAACATGTAAAGCGAGACGCTGGGTAAGAAAAGCACATTGTAGCAGTAATTCTAGGCTGGACAGCCTGTTTGGAGCATCTGAGTATTCAGGACTGCAGCCCTGAAGATGCAGTTTTAACAGCACCAGCGGCAAGAAATATAATACTGGAAATCTCAGGACGTAAATAAACTTCGTATTTGTCTTTACTTTACGCTCTCCAAGCTGGGACTGACCTCTTTGGAACTATAACATATTATGAATACTACTTATAATGCATTATATTAACAATTCATAATGTATAAAAAACATGGCTATAAAGTGTAATTCATTTTTATAAATATTTATAACCATGTTTATAATGCCTTATGAATGCATTATAACGTGTTTATAGATGCTTACAAACGTGACATTCATAGAAAGTGTTGTATTGTGATTGCAGTGTAAACATGACTTTTCTATAAATCTTTTCCCCCAGAAATGCCAGCACATCCACTTTTTTCAGACTTTTCGCTGTATGTAGGGTACCAAACCGCCAGTTCAGCATTATTAGTTAAGCATCCCCCACTTAAAACTTGTTTAGACAACACTATAAATGTAGGATATAATTAAAATTACATCTTATGCGATTTGGAAACGGCCCTCTTTAAAATTGTGATTTAAATATAATACGTTATATATGTTATATAACGTTACATATATATACACACGTGTACATAAGTGTGAATGTGTGAGACTCACATGGGCTACAGGATCATTGCTTCGTGTTCCCACGATGCTCAGGCGTTCCACCACTGTGTTGTTTTTCAGGGCCTCTGCATAGGCTTTCAGAGTGGCAATGGGAATATTCTGCAAAACAACAGCACAAACTGGCTGACCTACTTAGAGCAGGCAAAGTACATCAGCTTTATTAATGTACTTAAGCAGCATTAGGAAAAATCTGTGCTTTACTTGAGTATTTCTGGTAATACAAACCCTTTTTATGGGGAAAAAAAAAATGCAGTATATGCTTTTATACTGAAACAATTCTGCTCACCAGGTCACAGCAGGTCAGTAAACTCATACCGACATGGTGCAAAATAGTACAAACATTATGTTAAGACTGATTAAATGGTAGATAAAATCTCCTGAAATCATAACAGGAGAACCTTGATGTTCCAGGAGCTCAGCTTCGATCACTTGGTGTTTTTGTGGTTGACTTGTAGAAGGTAGAGTATGTTTATATGCTGAAGAAGTACCCTAATGTTGTTGAGGTTGACCTCCACGAGTTCAGGGTCGTTGCTTTTAATCCTCAGGAGTGTCTCCTCCACATCAGTGTCATTGGGCTGCTCGTCTGGAACCGGCTTATACTGCGTACACTGGATCACACCTGACCGATCACAACACATTACATTATATCTGACGAATGACAGCACATCACACCTGACCAATCAGGTGTGGACCAACACATTACATCACAGCTGATCAATCACACTGCATTGCATTACACCTGATCAGTTACGTTACATCTGACCAATCACAACGTTACACTGAAAATGATCACATTACATTATACCTGACCGATCACAACGAGATCACTCACATCACATTACTTTAAATGTGACCAATCATATCACATCTGAAAAATGCATCACATTTCTCCTGCTCAATCACATGGCGTTGTAGCCGACCGATCACAATCAGATCATCCATTGAAGTGCCCTTGACCAATCACATTACATCACACCTGACCAATTACACTGCATCACACCTGACCAATCACATTACATTTTTATCACACTTACTTAAAGACACATTACATGTGACCAATCAAAACATTACAACTGACCAATCAAAGCATTATACCTGGCCAATCACATCACTTTACATGTAACCATCACATCGCAACTGACTAATAACATTACGGTACACCTGCCCATTCACAACATTCCGCCTGACCACTGATACATCACATCTAGGCTATCACACCTGATCAACATTCAACATCTAATGAGTCACTAAATTACACTTCAACTGCATGATATTACACCTGATCCATCACAACACTTGGCCAATAACATCACATACATATATAACTATTTACATTTAAATTAGTGACCTACATTACACCGGACCACCCCCCCCAATACGATCCACATGATCAATCACATTAAAATATTACACATGGTAAATAACATCATATTACTCTCACAAATAACATTACATCACACTGATTAAACACTACTCTATTACACTTGACCAACCACTATAATACATTACACGACTCATCACATCAGATAAATAACATTGCATTACCCCTGCAATACGCGTGCCTAATCACATCGCTACACTACCCACGTTATAGTGCACCTCACCAATGACATCACATCACACATGGCCAACCACATCAACACAGTGTACTCAGATTATAGTACACCTCACCAATGACATCACATGGCCAATCACATCAACACAGTGTACTCAGATTACACCTCACCAATGACATCACATCACACATGGCCAATCACATCAACACAGTGTACTCAGATTATAGTACACCTCACCAATGACATCACATGGCCAATCACATCAACACAGTGTACTCAGATTATAGTACACCTGACCAGTGACATCACATCACACATGGCCAATCACATCATTAGACTATAATCTCATTATAGAACATTTCACCAATGACATGTTACAGATGGCCATTGAGTTCCTATCACAGTCTCTGATCTGTAAAGGCCAGTGAGCTGAGTAGACAGAGAGCCGGAGAAAGAGTGAGAAAGAGTGAGAGAGAGCAAGATGGAGCGATAGAGAGAGAGAGAGAGAGAGAGAGAGAGAGAGAGAGAGAGCGCAAGATACTCACTGTTTAAGCCCTGTTTGTTAACGATGGTACTGCTGGCGAGGGCTTCGTAATACTGCTGATTACTCATCAGAGTGTGCATGCCCAGGATAGCTGTACAGAGAGAGAGAGAGAGAGAGAGAGAGAGAGAGAGAGAGAGAGAGAGAGAGAGAGAGAGAGAGAACACAGGGGAGACTGTTTAGACAAAGTGGGCTCCCAGAAGAAAAGAAAAAGCTCTAAATCACCCAAACGTTCACGTCCAGCAGTGACGTGAGCAGAGCACATGCAGAGCCTTTCAGCACAAACAGTCCTCAGAGTGTCGCACTACAGTCTACGTCTCTCTATAAACTTCCACTCTATAAACTCGCCAGACCTGCACGGCTCCTGCTCTCATCTCAAGTCTCCAAGCACACAAACACGTGTGTGAGAAAAAACAGGGGAGTATTTTTTTGTTTTGATTCGATTCTGGTTCTTCAGGAAACTATAACTATTGCATGATACTAAAATCAAATGTTATATTTACCACCAAGACAAGTTCGAATGAAAAAGACAAGATGGAAACATAATAAAACATGGCTATAAATCCGCTGATCAGACCTGTCTGAGAACGGTGTGGGCGTGGCCTAACATTCTAAAGACTGACGTGATTGACAGCCCTCTGTTGAGTTCTCTCGGCTCCTACATAACTGAAGCAGAACTAAACATCAGTGAGAGTAAAGCAGGGAAAAACGAGTGAAACAGGCTGTACATATATAAGTGGCATATATAACCCCATTCCCAAAAAGTTGGGACGCTGCGCAAAATGTATATAAAAACAAAATGCAATGATGTGCAAATGATTTAAACCCTATATTAAATTAAAAATAGACAACATATCAAATGTTGAAACTGAGAAATTTTATTGTTTTTTGAAAAATATATACCCATTTTGAATTTGCCAACATGTTAGAAGGGCAACAAAAGGCTGGTAAAGTTGTGTAATGCTAAAAAAAAAACAAACAAAAAAAAACCTGGTGGTTAATTGGCAACAGATCGGTAACATGACTGGGTATAAAAAGAGCATCTCAGAGAGGCGGAGTCTCTCAGAAGTAAAGATGAGGAGGGGTTCACCACTCTGTGAAACACTGCACGATCAAATAGTGCAACAATTCAATAATAACGTTTCTCAATGTAAAGTAGCAAAGGACCTTTGCTTTTCATCATCTACGGTACATAATAACATTAAAACATTCAGAGAATCTGGAGACATCTCTGAATGTAAGGGGCAAGACCAAAAAACAATATCGGCTGGCTGTGATCTTTGGGTCCACAGGTGGCACTGCATTAAAAACAGACATGATTCTGTAGTGAAAATCACTGCATGGGCTCAGAAACACTTCTGAAAACCACTGTCTGTGAAAACAGTTCATCGCTGCATCCACAAATGCAAGTTAAAACTCTAAAACCCAAAGAAAAAACCATATATAACCAGGATCCAGAAATGCTGCCACCTTCTCTGGGCCCGAGCTCATTTAAAATGGACTGAGGGGAAGTGGAAACGTGTCCTGCAGTCAAATCAACATTTGAAATTCTTTTAGGAAATCATGGACGCTGTGTCCTCCGGGCTAAAGACCACTCAGCTTGTTATCACAGTTCAAAAGCCAGTATTCATGATGGTATAGGGGTGCATTAGTGCACATGGCATGGGTGACTGGCACATTTGTGAAGGCACCTTTAATGCTGAACGATATATACGTTTTGGCAACATATGCTGCCATCCAGATGACGTCCACAGAGAGGCAGTATGGGAATAGTTTTTTTAAAGCTGTGTGGGCAGGACAATCCATGTTAGCCTTGTGATTGGTGAGGATACTGCTTACTTACACAATACCCGAGATTACAAATCAGTTTACATTGAAACAGGAGAATTTTGGCAAAATTCCTCAGCCATTTATTAGACACAGCACATACTTTGTATGCATACTGTGCGCCCACAAAGGCAAGATTAACCTGCTTAGAAAGAAAAGACAGATTTAGGTTCCCCAGTGGGCGACTGATTTAGAACTGACAATCATGTTAAACAGTCAGTAAAGCACGGTTTAAATAAAACTACCAGAATGTGTTTCATTTTAATATTTTATACTTATTTATTTTGGCCGACATTGGTTCATATTGGTTATCAGCTCCTTAAAACTGGTATCAGATAACATTTACATACTGGGGCCTAAGTCTACACACTTAAAGATGGTTCTTCAAGGGTTCTTTATAGAACCACGAAGACTCCAAGAACCCTTTGCATGATTAAGGAGTTCTTTGCTTCATGAAAATGTTCTTCAGATTGATGGAGAATGTGCTGTAGGTGGTCCTACATAGCACCTTTTTGAGAAGGGTTCTGTGTAGCACCAAAAAGGGTTCTTCTATTGTTACAAGCTTGACATCGTAACTACAGCAGAACCCTTTTTGATGCCACATAGAACCCTTATCACAAAGATGCTACAGATAGAACCATCTACAGCACATTCTCCATCAATCTGAAGAACCCTTTTCTTCATCATGCGAAGGGTTCTCTATAGAGAACTACATTTTCTTTACTAAAGAACCCTTAAAGAACCATATTTAAGAGTGTAACATTGCAGACTTCATCCAGCTGTATTTCCACCTTCAATGCATAACGCATGTTACATCTATGCATTTTTACAGCCTTAGTGAAGCCACTGCTGTGAGTCCACTAATTCATGTTTTTAATGAATGTTCTGAATGTTTCGACGTGAACCCAAAAGGGGGAAAAATACCCCGTGACCCAATTTCTATGACAACAGCAGCTCTTGGTCATGCAGGAGGAGGGTGTGCTTTTTTGGCCGACTGAAAAACTTTGTTCCCCTTTTTTGGTAGCCATGCGTCTTTGCAGCAAAGCAATGAGTCATCGCTGCAAAAAGAGAGCACTCAATGAACCACTACAGCAGAGGAACAGGCCCGCGGGGGATTTCACCAGTCTCAACATGGCAACCGTCATCCCCACGGACACACGCTCACTCGCACACTACTACCGTTAAAGGAATAGTTTGGTGAAAAATCTGATTTGCATAATTTCCCAACCTTACCCCAAAAAGAAAATCACATAAACGTGATGTTTACACAAACCGTAAGGCTTTTTTTACTTCTTTAGTTTGGCAACTGGAGTTATGAGGCTAATCCAGCTAGCAAGAAGTGGAAACTCACACCTCACAAATTAGCATCGTGCTAACTGAGTCTCTAAACCATTATACACATGCTAATGTTTTCAGTTATGCTAATGTACTTTTCTCCATGTTTACACACTGATCAGGCATAACATTATGACCACCTCCTTGTTTCTACGCTCATTGTCCATTTTATCAGCTCCACTTACTATATAGGTGCACTTTGTAGTTCTACAGTTACAGACTGTAGTCCATCTGTTTCTCTGATACTTTGTTAGCCCCCTTTTACCCTGTTTTTCAGTGGTCAGGACCCCCATGGACCCTCACGGAGCAGGTACTAGTTTTTAAACACCTCAGTGTCGCTGCTGGACTGAGAATAGTCCACGAAGGTCTGAGAATAGTCCAAGGAGGTGGTCATAATGTTATGCCTGATCGATGTATAATCGGTTGCGGAGAGCTAATCATCTGCTACGCGGCAGATTTAGCCGGCTGCAGTAGCCTTTCTGTGCTTCCTTCTTTGGACTAAATAGATCGGAAACCTTGCCCACAACGCACGACGGAGGTTCTACGCTGCCGTGCACTGTGCTATATTAAATCCAGACCTCAAATCTGTTGGAGGTTAAAATTTACACACAGAAAGGGGTCAAACTAAGGTCGTTCAGATAAACAGACAAATGCTAATTGCCTGTCACCTCAGCTGACACATCGCATTTCACCTTTTAATTAGAAAACTGACCGTTATGAAGAGTTAGTTAGTGGATACCATCCAATAAGTTCAATAATGATGCTGAAACTTGTATTCCATTATACACAGAGTGTTAAACGAGCTTGGGCTTGCTGTTAGCCAGCACTGTTCTGCAAAGCGCCCCTACCTGCTACAGCTCTGTTACCATCGACAGCACAGAGCGTCTCGCCCAGTGCGTAGCAGCCTTTAGCTGTATTAAACCCAAACCACAAATCTGCATTTACATGTAGATTCAATTTTACATACAGAAAGATGTTAATCTAGAGTCTTGCTAATGCTAATCGGATGTTATCTCAGCTGATGTTATTAGCCTAACCGAACTGTATTTCACCTCATACCTGTTAGCTGGAAAACAGTGAGTTTGGGAGGAGTGTTTTTTTTTTGTTTGTTTGTTTTTTTTTAAGTAAATAGATAAGAAACTTTAACCAAAACATGTAAGACGCAGGGTCTACACTGGTCTCGGGATGGAGGACAGAGTTCAGGCATCTCACCGTTCTTCAATATGAGACGCGCAGCGTTAGAAAAGCTAATTTCCATGTAAAAAAATCACAATTTACGATACAATCTGTTTAATTTTGAAGTCTATATGAAATTACTTAACGACTCGCCACAGTTTGAGTCCAGTCATGCAGTTAGCATGACGCTAATTATTGTTCACAAGCCTCTAATACTTGCTAGCCACATTAGCTTTCGTAGCTCCAGTGCTAAAACTTCACAAAAAGATAATAAATAAATACAAACATAAATAAATAAATAAGTAAACTAACTTCACCCAAACTGACACCAAACATGTCTTGGCTAACCTACATTTGAGGTATGACAGGAAAAAGTGCCCCTCCCCCCCACCCCACCCCAAACTATTCCTTTAGCAGCTAGGCTAAGGCCGAGTCAGTGGAGAGGTTAGCATAGCGTGCAGCGTTAGTTTAACATGCAGAATGACCTGCTGAAATACTCCATGGCTTAGAAGGAGGTGAACCAGAGTGGCAGAGAGAGAACGAGGGAATAGAGGGATGGAAAATGGAGGGATGGAGAGGGCTGGAAAGCAGAAAATGAGAGTGAAAAAGGGTAACAGTGAAGTTACAAGTGTGATTATTAGAGGACGACGACACAAACGAACCTGAATGGTTATTTATCTGAACTATTAAACAGAGCAGCAGCTGATGGAAAAGAAAGACGTGACGTTATGGGGTTAAACCGAGTAGAAGACTAGTGTATTAAAGGATTTTTGGGTAAATGCTCAAACAAATTACATAAGAATTATCAAATCGGAATCAATGAATATGCAAAATAACACACAAATGATAAGTACAGTGCTGTGCAAAACCTTCCCTCTTATTATTTAATATCCAGTCAAAATGGCCATAAAGTTACTCATTTTCAGCACCAGAAAAATCAGAAAGTTACACAGACGCCTCCAGAACTAAATACAATATTATTGTAGTATTTACTGAGTCCACTCTCTACATTCATTACAGCGTCTGTTCTTTTCAGGAGACTCACTTTCAGTTTCTCACAGAAATCTGATGTTTTTAGTATTTTTACTGCGAATGTTTTTCTTCTGTGTCTATTTCCTTTTATCAGTGAGGGCTTCTTAACAGCTACACAGCCTTTCAGACCCATAAATGTGGATGTTTTCAGATCTGAAGCAGCTTGATTTTCTCCTCTCTTAAAGACGACAGCTCTAAGCGCTCTTTATCTGATGGGGGGCAGTTTTGGTGTCTACCAGGTGTTCCAGGTGGTTGTTAGGAGTCTCATTGTCTCTGTAGCTTTTAATCTTTTTTTGATTTCCTCCTTCCTACAAGTGGATTATCTTACATCTAATCTCCTCAAATATCTCCTGAAAAATGAATAACTTGTACTTAGTAGCTGTTTTGACTGGAAATTATATAAATGAACTAAATAAATAAATCTGTGAACAGGTGTACCTGCTATATCACACAGTTCTGCATCAGTAGCGTTAGCCAAGGCCTCTTCCAGCTCCGGCTCGAGGGTGACGTCCTCCAGAATCGGATCCACAACCTTCGTCTTTGGTACCCAAGGCTTCCCTTCAAAAAAGTATCACGTTTAAGTTTATTTATAGTCTTATAGATTTTTGTGTTTGTCATTGAAAGAAATTTTATTTTAGTATTTTTCAGCATTTTGGTAACGGTGACCTTGATATTCATGTGTTCTTTCTAAAATGGCTTAAAAGAGGGATTTCTCAACGGGAAGAGGCATAATTTAGATTTAATTAAGCAGAAGAACACGAGAGGGAGTGTGTTATTCGCGATAACACACAACCTCAAGGTGTTCTGTTGCTTTTATACAACAGTTAAATAAATAAAGTAATAAATTAATAAACTGGGCCGTGAACGCGGCGTTTAATATGTTTTAATGTTCGCAGTTCCTTCACCAAATTATAGTTCCTTAACAAGCAGCTTGTTGCTGCGTCAGAGTAACGAGCTCCGCCCACTCGCTGCACAGCCGGCAGTTCGTTCTCCAGCTCCTTACACTAAATTCCCAAACTGTCATCACCACTGAGCAGCTTTTCAGTCGGCAGCTGAGACAGAAGAACAGCTAAACAACCTGGAATCAGCCAGAAATTAACCGAATACCATTCCCATTTAGTTTGGCGAATGGTGTTGGGTTCATTTCTGGCTGATTCCAGGTTGTTCAGCTGTTCTTCTGTCACAGCTGCCGACTGAAAAGCTGCTCAGTGGTGATGACAGTTTGGGAATTTAGTGTCGTCTCATCTTCAGAGTCTGACCAAATCGGCTGTCGGTCAAATGTGATCTTAAAAGTGTCCGTTTTCTGTTTGTGGCAAAGTAAGAAGTAAAAACTTTCAAATGGCTTGAGCGTCTCCTACAGCTGTCAAAGTCATTGCTTAGCAACAGCATCTTAGTGGAGTGATACAGTGTTTGTGAAAAAGAAACAGTTAGAAGGCTTCTCAACCAATCAGCTTGCGTGGCCAGAACCACCTGTTGTATAGCAGCATTTATTAAAAGCAGTGAGAACTGAAATTGTGAAGAACATTCGCAATGTTTACTGCTATATTAACTAAAATGAGTGAAGAAAAGAAACTGAAAGAATCAAGGCTTGTTTTTCCCAAATGAGGAATGGTATACAGTCATGTTTCTCTTGTACTCCAGGGGGCGCTGTTTAAGGTGGTGATGGAGGGTTTTTAGTACAACTTCCACTCAGAAGGGTGTCACTCCAGCGTTACACAAGGAGAGGAGGGAACAGCGAGGAGCGGACTTCTCGGCTGGAACATTCTCGCCCTCCGCTAGGTTGTGCTGACTGACTAGCCACGCAAACTTAGTGATGCAAAACATTTGAGAAGTTTGAATGTAACGTCCATATAATTTGTGAATAACTGGTTTGTTTGGCTGTTAAGTTTTTGTTTTAAACTGAAGTGCAGTGTCTTCATTTTTGTTGTTGCTGGCTGTTTATTACAGTAGTCAGAGGTTACATTAGCAGTCTTGTTTAACAGATGGCAGAATTTGCTGCAGACTGAACATAAACTGGATATTAGTCAGTTTGGAAACATTGTTTTACAGTTTTGCTGTTATTATTGCCTATCAGCAGATTTGTGCACCACGTCTTGGCAGGGTTTGAAACAGATTCAGACTGTCAGATTTATAATGATTTCTGGGCAAGTTCTACACTTGTGTTCACAATGGACCATCTAACAAACGTCACTTTAGCTAACAAAGTAACACAATTTGGTACGTTTTGAATTTTTTCTTTGGCGGGAAACCATAAAAAGAAATCTGGCAACCCGGCCTTCTGGCACAAGTTCAGAGGATAAAGTGCAAAGTTGAATAACAGTCACTGGACGGACAATTCGCAGAAGTACAACAGCAACATTAAACAGATTTCCAGAAGAATAACTAAATATTTAGTTTATTATTTTGAACTGTTCAGCCAGCAGCCTGGACACACTGATATCAGTGTAACATCAATACCAGTACAGACAACATATCACCCAGCACTGGATGTGCCAACACAACACTTGACACATATTGACACACAGTTAGTCACAGAGCAGAGATCTGATGATGTAACTGTAAACATACTCATCAAGGTTGTCTGATCGTGTCACCCATCACACCCCACAGTTTAGCTGCGTTTGGTGTTTGACAGGTGTTCGTTTCGTTGGACTTACCTCTCTTCTCACCCGTGTAGGGCACCAGGTCGTCCCGGTCTGGATGCTCTTTGGCCTGTTTCTCCAGGTGTGCCAGCAGGTTGTCCCTGTGAAATGTTCCAGTCGGAGCTTTTTTCGTCTGGTCTCTCTGCCTCAGGCCCGCAGGCAACAGAGCATTCTGAAAAACGGGCACATATACAGAACGATACTGATGACTGCAACACTAACTTCACTTTTTCAGCACTTCCATACTGAATTTACAATATAACTTTTATGTTATAAAAGTTTTTGTCTTTATTTTTGCACTAGACATAAAAGGCTAACAAGTAATGGTGGTCTGTGTACTTAGCACAGTGCTAACCATGTCGAGGAGTTTCTATCACTAACAGACTTGCTAAAGTGGTTTTTGACACTGTGTGTAAAAGTGGCCGATATGACAAAATGTAATCTCCTGATACATTAAGTGATTCTTACACCACAGGAACCATTTAAAATATTTAGTAGTGCAACATTTAAAAAAAAAAAGATTTTTATTCAACATTTCACATTGCGCTGCACTAAATACAGTTAACCCCTGCAAATGGGCTATTCTTAGGTTACAGAGGTGTATAATAAAACTTTGTGGCAGCCGGTGGCCATTTATGATATCCACAATACACTCAGAAAAGCAAACTGTGACACCATGTATCACCATATGGCCCAGCTTTACCTGCATGACATATGGTTATCTATAAAAATGGACAAAATTAATACAAAAGTGCTGTGTGTGTGTGTATATATATATATATATATATATATATATATATATATATATATATATATATATATATATATATATATATTAGGGGTGCGGGAAAAACTCGATTCTTAGATGCATCGAGATGCGGACGTGAACGATTCTGAATCGATTCACAAATGTCAAAAATCGATTTTCTAAATATTTAATTTATAACGTAATGTTGACGGAACGTAAAAGGCGGAACTGGAAGTGGGTAAGTGCAGCGCCCGGACAGTCTGTGACGGCACACAACAAAAACACAAGTGGATGAGCGAGAAATCCGACCGGCTCCCTCTGCATTAAAGCCAGGTTAGGTCAGGAGTCACAACACAAATGATAAGAAGAGACATTTTGCCTTTCAACAAAGTCAAACCACCTTGGGAGCCACAACATTTAATGTCCAGTATGTCTCAGTGTGTGTTAATGTCCTAGTATGGGCTAAAAATATAAACGAGAGCGCAGATTTACTTCGCTCTGCTTTAAGCTTTAGCTATAGCCGCTTTCCTCCCATCTCCACCAGAAAACTTTTCTTCAAAACTAGAAGAGTTTCCTGTAAAATGTCTCAGCGTCCGGCTGTTTTACGAGGCTGAAGTCGCTTCTCATTTGCCAGCTTCTCGTTCTAATTTTCCCGTTCCACCTTAAATTCTGCCTTAGGCGCCGAATGTAACTGCTGCACCATTTAAGGTGGAACGGGAAAATTCGAAAGAGAAGCGAGTTCATTTTCGCAACTTTTTAGAGAAAGACAGTCTCTCAGCAGATTTAACCAACCGCGCTGCTTATAAATGCGAATAAGTCTCCAAATGTTCGTCTTAATCTGTTTTTTCGTTCGCTACTGGCGAGGCCAGACCCGGGGCTATGTGACCTGCTGTCTGTTCTCAGTCGTTGAGAACCAGGGCTTTCGCGCTATGCTGCACACTTTGGAGCCGAGATTCAGCATCCAGTCTCGAAAATACCCCCCCCCCTTAATATAATAATAATAATTATTATTATTATTATTATATTAAGAATTATAACACTACAAACTTTTAAACGCTATTTGTATTCCAGTTATTTGCTATTTGTAAGTCCAGTTCACAGGGCAGCTCGTTCTGCCTGGCACCACAGCATGCCGAGAGCAAGTGCTCATGGGAAAATATGTACAGCCCTTCACTACAAATCACACATGATCAGCATAATAAACACGTCATCCGTAACTCAGAGCAGCACAGACAGACTATCACAAAGCAAAGCTCGCTCCCATAATGGACGATATGATTTGCAGCGTCGTACGCTGTAGACTGCTGAAGGAGGCACTTGAAGAATTACTCCAGTGCGCAATAACGCAGGCAGTAAGAGCATGAGGGGGGCACTAACATATGCAGGATCTACACTCTGCTTTAATAATAGACCCTACAGCTGGACCCCATCAGTGCCACAGACTCTGCTATCTAAAGCAGAGACGACAGTGTGGAGAGACAGGCCGGGTATGTGACGGTGGACAGACTGCAGAACCCACTGCGGTACCAGCACTACCAGCCTTATCAGATGCTCCAGCTGTTTATCTTTACACCAGTCAGAGCCAAGAAGGAAAAGAAAGTACACTAATGGCAATAACCAACCAGTCACTGCACACATCAGCAACTGCTCTACCAATCACACACTGACCAGTTACCAGTCAGCCATTAACTTCACTGACCCATGACCAGTAATACCACAAACCAATAACCAACCAATCACAGCACCCACATCGCACCAACCAACCTATCACCAACTACTAATTCACCTTACTTCCTAACCAGCCAATCACAACACAGACTACTGATTAAATCACACATCACACCAATAACCAACCAATTATTCATTCACTTCACTTACCAATGATATAACTCACCAACAGCTGACCAAGACTGCCAATTCACTTCACTCAGTGCTGAACTAACCAATCACAACACACACCAAAACCTACTGAACCACACATTGCCGGTCATCACAATGCACTAATAACCAGTCATACTACACAACAACGAATCACGGCAGATTAATAACAAAACAAAACAAAAAAACAATCATAATATTCACCAAAAGTCAACCGATTCTAAAATTCACAAAAAAAAAAAAAATTAAAAAATCTAATCACACTTTGGCCCAAAAACTAACCAGCTATTTACATAGTGGTCCAAAAATCTACTAGTTATTTACACAGTGGCCCGATAACTAACCAGCCAATCACATAGTGGCTCTAAAACTAAGCCAATCACAGTGGTCCAATGACTGACCAGACATTTACAGAGTGGCCCAATAACTGACCAGCCAATCATGTAATGGCCCAAAAACTAACCAGCCAACCACACAGTGGCCCAATAACTGACCAGCCAATCACATAATGGCCCAAAAACTAACCAGCCAACCACACAGTGCCCCAATAACTGACCAGCCAATCACACAGTGCCCCCAAATCTAACCAGCTATTTACTCAGTGGTCCAGTAATAAATCAGCCAACCACACAGTGCCCCAATAACTGACCAGCCAATCACACAATGGCTCAATAACTAACCAGCCAATCACACAGTGCCCCAAAATCTAACCAGCTATTTACTCAGTGGTCCAGTAATAAACCAGCCAATCATACAGTGACCCAAAAACCAACGAGTCAGCCACTCGCATCCCGCAGTAGTGACAGTTAAGGAGTCCACTGCTCAGATTCACTGTGCTAGAGAGGATTTTCCTCAGAGAGGAGTTATAGTTATGGTGACTCTGTGACCGTGTAACTGCGCTGGACGGTCCAAAAACAGTATTTATGGTCAGCTTCGTCCGGCACCTCTAGCTTTCTCACTCTGTTTGGGTCAGAGTTTTCTAATTCTCTCTCTCTCAGCTGATCATTAATCCTGCCTCGTTGGCATTTGAATGTCGGCTCGTCCAGATAAATGCCCAGAGAACTGGAGCTCTACCAGAGTAACTCTCTTAGCTCGGAGAAAACGGTTCACTGTCGGAGAAAAACCCAAACATGCACTTTAGAAACACAAAATACAGCCAACGTCTCAGAACACGTACTAGCACACTTTCAGAACCCCCAATGATTTTCAGCTACTTTTTAAAAAACAACCATCAACACCACAGATGTATTTTACAATTTGAAAAATCATTCTGTCAGCACTAAAACTAATGAAGTTAGGTTTTTTTAGCTATGTATTAAAACACAACCGAGGCAAACAGTGCATATTAGTGCTCAGGCCATGAACATCACGACTCGGTCACGAACAAGGGAAAAACTAAAACTCCATAATAATGTTTTCCATTCCGAGCAACTAACCAAAACCTGGCTACACTACGGCCTGTATTCACTGTCAGTGACGCATCTAGAACTTCCAGAAGGCCTAGAGTGGCGTTCTGCCACACAAAATTGGTCCCATTGTAAATCAAAGCGTGATTAGTTGATTCCTCTGTCACGCCCTAATTATGTTAGTTAATCTAATGTGTAAGGCCTTCAGTCCAGCTCCTGAAGTCCTAACCAACAGGAGAGCTCGTTTTGCTGTATCTACCTAGCCCAGAGGTCAGCAACATGCGGCTCTTTTACTGCCCTGTTGTGGCTCCACAGCAGAATCAGATTTTTCGGTAAAATACACGTTTGCAGTAAAATAAAGCTCTGCTAATCATTCTAACACAGTTTTAACAATAAACAGCCTTAAATGCTGGAGTTAATGCATAACTGCTAATTCACCCTTTAACCATGAAGACTGGCGTGCAGACAACAATCTCGCCTAGCTAGTAACTAACGAAAAGCCAAAAAGAGAGATTTAAGATGAACAATTTGGAGACGAATGGGCTTTTATTAGCTCTCCAGGTGGTTTTCTGATGTTTAATCTGCAATGAGAAACCGTCAAACACTAAAAAGTCACAAAGGTGTGGTCAGCTTCTTGTTCGAATTGTCACGTTCCGCCTTAAATGGTGCAGCAGTTACATTCTGGCACCCCAGGCACCATTCAAGGTTAACGGGAGAATTCAAACAACAAGCTGGTGAATAAGAAGCTGATTTCGGGGTCAGTAAAAAAATCGAAAGCCGAGCAACATTTTACAAGAAACTGTTCAACTTTTGGGGAAAAGTTTCCTGCCGGAGATGTGAGAAACGCTTGAGCTAAAGCTTAAAGTGTAGTGAAGTCTGTGTTTTCATTCATGTTATATTTTGAGCCTGTACCAGTCCATCAGCACATACTGAGACACATTTACAGCCAAGATGGTAAAATGAACATAAAACGTTGTAACACTAAAGAGAAAACAATCCTGATTAGAGAACTAGAAGGACCTGAGGCTTCCTCACTGCCATATAAATAGTGAAATTTGGTGTCTTGGTTAGCTACAGTGAGCTGCTGCCAACAATAACATCAGCTGTTGCCATAAAGAACTTAATTTTGTTGCCTCAAATGCTAAGCAGGCTATCTAAGAATTACTGCTATGCTGCGTGTATGAACATGTGCAAATAATGAGACTGAAAACAACCCCAGGATGTGAATCTCTAGTATTATCATTAGCTAGTTTTTTGTGCTTTTTTGGTTTCTATTTATATATGTCCGGAGCAGAGAGATGTGCCCCCCATAGAGACCCCCCCAACTGTTTTTCCATTCTGAAACCATTATGTTCTGGTCAGTGCACGCAGTACTAAAATTACATTTTTAATGACTGTGTAAACGTTTCAAGTACCGGTTCAAACAAGACATCTAAATTTGTAAAGGCAGATATAACAGCAGATGACTTTAGCCATTCCCGACATGACCAAGAGATTTCGTCATGACTGAAGTTCCTCCACACAGAAACTTAGCTCAGCTGGATCAAGTCAAGGTTCCCTCTTGACTGTTCCAGGACATTTTCCATGATTTATAATTAAAATGGCTGACAGGACGATCGCCTACCGTGACGAACCAGCTTTTCTCACTATATTATGGATACAGTCAGAACCTGGGACAAAAACGACGACATCTGCTGTAAACATGCTTACTTGTATCTTATGGTGGTGTTGTAGCCTCCACAGTAAGATCTTTCCAGTTTAAAGACTAGGACAACACACCTGATGATGCATCTCGAAGGTCGGAGGAACGTCTGAACAACTACAACAGCTTTGGGGTTGAATATATTATTGCAGCCATAGAACCGTCTTCAAATCATCATTACAATTGAGTGAGTGCATTACTCAAAAAACAGATATGACTCGTCAGATGAGGACAAGCTAAAAGCTAAAGTTAGCCTGCCTATTTAGATATCTAACCTCAGTTTGGCTCCTTTTCTCTTTTTTTTTTCGTGACTTGGTTCAATGACAGAGTTAAACTAATGCTAACTCGCTTGTATTTATTAGCCTACAGATCAGTAGCTAGGCTGGCAGTGAGAACTGGCCGACACCATAGGGATTCCCAATGTTTGTGCGATATATTTGCATTATGATTGCTTTTGTATTGTGAATTCCGTCAAACCGATGAGGCTGAAGGACAGTTTAGCTACAGAAAATTGCAATTACATGGGTTTATTTACTGACTGTATGAACTGCAGACTAATAAAGAAGCTCCAATGTTAAATAACATGTATATTTCATGTAATTCAGAGGGCCAATCAGCAGGGTAGATTTTGGAGTATTGCTATTGGCTTATTCCTACTGATATTCAGTCAATATCACAAAGGTCTGAATTTGGACACTCAACCCTCATGTTATTATTTCCATATATAACCCTAATGTTATATATTTTCCATACATTCTCTTCCTCTAAACATCTGATGCAGCTCATAAAGGGCTTGATAATTAGCTAATGCGCTGGATCGGGTGGGTTCTGATGGGGAATTGTTGAAAACTTGTGTAACAAGGGGTCTGCAAGCCTGGAGATGGACCCACTGATCATAATGAAGTAAATGGGGTGGTGGAATCTGAGGCCCACGGATGCAACATTCACGAAGTTTGTCCTCAAATATGTGTATCTTATAATTATTTGTTGTAAATATTTTAGCATTAAAGACCAAAAGGGGGAAAAAACAAAACAAAACAAAAAAAAAAAAACACAGATCAAATATTTACTTGGAGGATTTGCTCCAAAAAGCAGGAGGGGGACGCGTTGTTTGATTTTGAAATGCTGTGAAATTTGGAATATTACAGTTTTTACTCCACAAACGATGCTGTTCCTGCTTTTAGGTGTAAGTAGGGCGGCGGTTTTCTCTGAGGAGGAACTTGTTCACCCAACATGTCAGTTTATGTGAGAGACAAGCAGAAGACTGAGGTTCTTCAGTGGTCAGGACCCCCATGGACCCTCACAGAGCAGGTACTATTTGGGTGGTGGATCATTCTCAGCACTGCAGTAACACTGACGTGGTGGTGGTGTGTTAGTGTGTGTTGTGCTGGTCTGAGGGTAGCGGTGGGCAGCGTCCTGAGACCACTGATGAAGGACTAGAGATGACCAGCACAAACTGTGCAGCAGCAGATGAGCTATCGTCTCTGACTTTACACCTACAAGCTGGACTGACGAGGTAGGAGTGTCTAATAGAGTGGACAGTGAGTGGACACAGTGTTTAAAAACTCCAGCAGCACTGCTGTGTCTGATCCACTCGTACCAGCACAACACACACTAACACACCACCACCAGAGAATGATCCACCAGCCAAACAGTACCTGCTCTGTGAGGGTCCATGGGGGTCCTGACCACTGAAGAACAGGGTAAAAGGGGGCTAACAAAGTATGCAGAGAAACAGATGGACTACAGTCTGTAACTGTAGAACTACAAAGTGCACTTATATAGTAAGTGGAGCTGATAAAATGGACAATGAGTGTAGAAACAAGGAGGTGGTCAGAATGTTATGCCTGATCGTTGTATTCATACAGTTTACTGGCTTGCTTTCCATTCTTTCTGTCCTCCCCTGTGAGGAAAAAAGTACTGACATCTCAGCCAATTCGTGCTGGATTGACAATTTCAATGTATCCGTCTATCTACGTTGTGGTGCCTCCTGATGGGAAACTTGTTTTTCAAACAAAACAGAGCACTTGAAAGCAGCATTAGTTACAGTTTCAAGTGTGGACTGCTGTGAAATGCAGTTTTAGTGACATTTAGGCAGAAGTTGGCATAAACAGTGCAACAAGAGGGTCTCTGAGGGTTGATACTACACTATGACACACACACTCGTGATCCGTAGCCTTGATTTCCAGCCAGTTGCATCATCAGGAAAAATAAACTGAGGTCAGCAGCCCTCCTCTGGGAAAACAGACGATACTTCACATTCACCTCCCTCAGCTTCCACTCACAGCTACTCAGATGCAGCCCCAAGCCCATCATTAGACTTCAGACCACCGCGCTGCCCTCGCTCTGTTAGAGTACACGGCCACATCATCAATACTGCACTCATCTTCAAGAAGGTGCACTGGATCTCCACAGCAGTGGGGGCGGCAATCACAAGAGTACGTGAGCCAAAAACTGTGTGGACACCTGGTCATCACACCTATATGAGCTTGTTGGACATCCCATTCTAAAAGCATGGGCATTAATATGGAGTTGCCACCCTCTGCATCTATACCAGCCTTCACTCTTCTGGGAAGCTTTCCACAAATTTTGGAGTGTGTCTGTGGGAATTTGTGCCCATTCAGTCAAAAGAGCATCGAGAAGGGGTTGAGGTCAGGGCTCTGTGCAGACCACTGGAGTTCCTCCACACCAAACTCATCACACCGTGTCTTTATGGGGCTCGCTTTGTGCACAGGGGCTCAGTGATGCTGGAACAGGAAAGGCTCTTCCCCAAACTGCTGCTACAAAGTTGGAAGTATATAATTGTCTAAAATGTCTTTGTGTGCTGTAGCATTAACATTACCCTACACTGGAACTGAGGGGCCCAAACCCTGAAAAACAGCCCCAGCCCATCATCCCTCCTCCACCAAACTTTACTGTTGGCACTATGCATTCTGGTAGATATCGTTCTCCTGGCATCCACCAAACCCAGATGCTTCCATCAGTCTGCCAGATAGTGAAGCTATGCTTAATAGCAGCAACAACAGTGCTGGAGAATGCCTTCAGCAGACTACACTGGACAGTTCTCACGGGAGAATTACAGATAAATCAATGAGCAGCAAACTAACAAAAGCAACAGCAAAGTTGAGCTCCAGTTTCTCTCTCTCAGATATAACATAGCAGAAAGAAAGCCAGAGGCCACAATCGTGAGGGAGCTGACACAAGCTGCTCTCACTGGACATCAGTGATGAAAACTGGAAACTGCATTTAACCTTATTGTCAAGTTTTCCCAGCAATCACAAGATTTTATGTTCAGGTTTATGTTGACTTATTAAAGGTAATAAATGCACTGCTTTTTAAAGGGAATTATCTTTAAGAGTCAAATTTGAGCAAATGCAATTAATCACAATTGACTATAACTATTGTGATTAATAGCGATTATTTTTTTTCTTAGTTGGCAGCCCTACCAAATACACACCAAAAAAAATGGATTAAAAATATCCATAGAAAAATACATGGATACATGGAAAGACTATCTTATTTTAGATTACCTAACTAGACAGTTTAAATCAAGCAGGCATGCTAATTGGTGGGGTATAATCTTCCATTTCTTGTTAGCATTAGCCTTGTGGCTTCAGTGCTAAAACTAAAGAGGCAAACTTACTTACATGCCTTGGCTGATTGAGTACATTTGGGGTAAGGGGGGAAATCTGACCCTCATATGGGTTTACATAAGACTCTTATAATAGAAGAAGACTTAAGGTTTAACACTGACATCAGACGCTAAATTTGCTCATACAGCACTTCTATGATGGTTATAGAGCTCTTACGTCAGGGTCGAGCTCCTCCAGCTCGTCCTCCAGCCTCCTCAGTTCTTCCTCACTGAGTTTCTGGAGCAGCTCGTCTTCATCCACATCCCGATACTTCTCCATCTCCTTACGGAACGACATGATGAACGGGGTGGGGTGTGGGAGGGAAGGAGGGGAATGAAAGAAGAAAGGGGAAAAAAAGAGGAAAGGAAAGGAAAGGAAAGGAAAGGAAAGGAAGGAGGGGCTGGCACAAAAACTCAGGCGGCTAACTTCCCCCTCCAACCCTCAGGACCTGGAGGAGAAAAGACGGACTCGGTTTAATGACCGATTAATAATAAGCAAGCAAAACGTCAAACAAAGCAGAAACAAAAAGAAATCAAAGAAAAATATGGAATCACTGAGAAACAAAACATCACATAAAACGTACCATTCTAAAACAACTAGGGCTGCTAATCATTAAAGTAATTGTGATGAAGCGCAAATATTTTGTCTAGTTAATCGCAATTAAATCACATCTGTCTTATAGACAGATTCTAAATGCATGAACGACATTAAAATGTGCAGTTAATAATTTAGCGCAGTGTTACACTGAATGTGTTGAACTTAACAGCCTGAAATGAAACTAAATTGATCATTAACGTTTAAAAAATTATCAAAAGCAAAATTGTCCACATGTAAAGAAAAAAAAGTGTGAATGTTCAACAAAACTTCACAAAAAAATTACAAAATTAAGGAAAAACTCTTAACCTAAAAAAAACATTAACAAAATACACAACACAAAACATAACATCACTAAACTGTTCAGCAACATGAAAAAAGTTCATGAACAAATTTTAAGGTCTGACAAAACTGTTGCTATGGAATCCCAGATGGTTGCTAAGATGTTTCTAGGCTGTTTTGACAGTATCCAAGTTAGTTGCTGAGGAGTTGCTAGGCCGTTGCTATGGTATCCTAAGTGTTTGCTTAAGTGTTGCTAGGCTGTTGCTATGTCATTCCAGGTGGTTGCTAAGGTCTTGCTAGGCCGTTGGTATGGTATCCCAGGATGATATAGCAACGGCCTAACAACACCTTACCAGTAACCTGGGATTCCATGGCAATAGCCCACCAACACCTTAGTTTTATTCAACTTTTATTTTATTGTATGCACTTCTTTTTCTACATTCCACACAGACTGGTGGTTTTGAGATGCTGAATGTCTGACTAATGTATCAGTACTGAATGTGTTTTTTATGTCTTGGGCTATAATGGCAAAAAAAAGTGACTTGACCTTCCAAATGTGTTGCCTGCAATTTCTCCCTATTTTTTGAAAAAGCAAACCTTATTTTAAATTACATTATTGTGGAACTTTTAAAATAACTAAATAACTAAACATACTAATTTGTGAACAGGAGGTTTCCTTACACTGATGAGGCGTTCCTAAAATTCTGGCTTTTGGTCATTATTAGCAGTGAAGACACGACACGAGCAGATAAAGTTCAGGCTGAGACTGTAAATCAGAGGGTTGAGCGGAGGTGGAGGAGAGCAACAGCTGCCAGCTGGCCGAGTTTATTTATACCCCAAAGTCCTGTTTAACCCAGTCAGGAACAGGCGGAGATCAGAGGTCAAAGCAAATGAAAGAAAAACTCCTAAAAAAAATATAAAAAGTTCCTAAGTGGTTGTTGGCTTTGATGTGTGGAGGTTCCTTAAGCTTAAAAATAAATAAATAAATAAATAAAAGGTTCTTCCCCTCACAAAAACGGTTCTGAATAGCAGTCATTCAGAGTGGTTTGGTGTGAAATGGCTGATTGTAGAGACTCAGTTTTCTTTACAGTGGTGGAGATGGGAACCAGGGGTCACAATGACTACAACACAAATACAGACATTTTATTATCTAAAACCACCATTGAGACTAGACGACTTCTGATGACGGTAAAATAGTGTTAAATCTAGAAAAAATCAATTTTGTTTGGGGACTATTTTGCCCCACCATGCCTTGCATGTATCCCTCCACCTTGAGTAGATTTTAAAAACAAGTTTCAGGACAAAATCTTCTCAAAACTATTGCCTTTTTTCAAATAACCATTTCTTGTAACAACTTTCTGTGAGGGAGCTTTTAGGAGGTGGACGTCTGGTTCCATTGACCGCCATTGTGAACAATACTGACTCATTTCACACAAAAACACCCTTTAAATTTGTTTAATGTCTTGCTTGGGGTCACTATGTTATTGTAAGTGTTATTGTAAAGTTATTATAAGTCTTATAATTAGTATGTATAACTGTTAACAGTAGTTACACTAATACTTTCATACTATATTAGTAGATCTTGTATTAGTATTACGACAGAGTAGCCAGCAGCTACAACAGACCAGGCCGTGTAGAATTAGATTAAAACAAACCAACTACATTTAGTTTTGTGACAGCAGTATTTTATACCAAACAGTGAAACATGCAGCTTAAAGAGGATAAAAAAGGATAAAAACAGACCTTCTCAGTTTGTTATTGACCACTAAATGCTGTCTAACTTCATTCTACTACAGCGCATTGTCCTTGAATAAGGGGTCTGCCAAGGACTTCTGCAACAAAGCCTCAGTGTTAGAACAACAACCAGCCTGGGAGTGAAACCTCACCCACTGCGGCTCTCCGACAGCTGCTAATACTCAACAAAGCTCTACTAATTAAAATAATACAGAATTTCCAACAAACTTCACTATTATGTAAAGCTGAATTGGCTTCAGTTTAACCATATTTTAATATATATAACTATAATGTGTAGTTATTTATGTCAAATTGAATATTTAAAAAAAAAAATTGTCAAACAAGAAGCTTCAGTGAAAAGAACAGCATTTTCCAAGTACTTAGCTATAACATGTAACCATAAACTGAATATTTAAGAGACTATTTTTAAAACATTTAACTAAATTATCATCATTCACGTCAAGCTGGCAATATTTACTCGCTGCTTTTAGTTAAAAAAGGTGTTCCAGTTTAAATAATGTACAATTTTCTATATATTTAACTAGAATGTGTAGCCACTGATATCAAACAGTAATCATTTTACATTGCCTTTAGTCAAAAAAAGCTGTTTTTAGCTACAACATAATATTCAAATGTACTACAATGTGTTATGATTCATGTCAAACTGAATATTTGATGCTGCCTTCAGCCAAAAAAATGGTTTTAGTTAAAATAATACTTTTTTTTAACTATTCTTATCTATAATGTGTAGCTGTTTGGGTCAAAGTCTGAATAGTTCAAAAGGTTTTTTAGTTAAAAGTAATAATTTTCAATATGCTTAACTATAGTTTGTAGTTATTCATGTCAAATATGTCAAAATTCAATGCTGCTTTAAGTAAAAAATGCTTTTTATTTCTAAAACTTGACTACAATGTGGAATCACTCAGGCCAAAATATGAATATTTGATTCTTTCTTTAGTTAAAATACACAATATTCAATACACTTAACTACAATATGCAGCTGTTTTAGTCAAAGTGTGAACAGCTGCAAACTGAAGGTGTTTCAGTGACTGTAAGTGATCATTTGCCACAGCTAATCTGCATTTCAGTTGCATTTCTGAACTTTAACCAGAGAGAAAAGAACTATTTAAAGCTGAAGTGTAAATTGCGTCCAGGTGATTTATTCTATTATTCGCTTCTATACACAGAAAGTGTGTGCGCAAGTATTCAGCACTGTGCAAAAGCCAGAGAGCACTCTTCATTTAAATAACGTCCAGTGGGGGGGAAAAAAAAAGCTATGAAGTTATTCTTTCTTCAAAAGACACAATCCACTTGCATGATGAAGGAGAAAGTCAAAGGAAAAATAAGTGAAAAAAACTGATGATTAGCCGCTACAGAGAAAATGGGCCTCTAACAACCACCTGGAAGACCTGGCCGACACCAAAACAGCCCCCATCAGATAAACAGCACTTAAAGCTTTCATCTCTGAGAGAGAGGAGAAAATCAAGCTGCTTCAGATCTGAAAACATCCACAGGTGTTTCTGTCCCATCCTTCCACTGTGAGAAGACGACTCAGCGCTGTGGGTCTGAAAGGATGTGTAGCAGTCAAGAAGAACCTCACTGAGAAAAGGAGACGGACACATCAAACAAAGAAGCTGAACGATGGACTGACCACCCCAGAGTCCAGACCTCAACACCACTGAATGTGTTTGATTACTTCAGAAAACGATCAACCAGCTTCTAAGACTGAACTTTGGAGGTGTGTCTGCAGATTCTTTGAGGAACTGAAAGTGAGTCTCCTGAAAAGAATGGAAGCTGGAATAAAGGTAAAGACTAAAACAAACACTGAAACGTTTTGCAAAAAACAGCCCTGTTTACATTTTGTTGGTTTTAAAAGTGCAAATAAAAAAGCAAAAACATCCAAATTTAAAACATTTTTTCTGCACAATTTCTATTTATATATAATGCATGTTTGAACATTTTATATATAAACATGCAAAGCGCCATCCTTTTGGCCAAACGTGTTTTATTTCTTCTTCCAATATATTAAATTTAAATAAACAAACAGTAATTCTGCATTAAAACGTGCAGAAGTCTGTTCCCTGCAGAGGATGTCGCTTCAAAATTTGACAAAAATATTTTAATTTGCCGGGGGCTCCCAAACTTTTGCACAAGAACGTTTTATATGCGGCTGTTGAGGCTTCTGTGCAGTTTTTCTGTGAACTGTATGTTTTAACTTGTTTACTAAATGGCCGGTTTGAGTGGACAGTGAATAAACAGAGGCCTGACTGCATGTGAAGGACAAGCAGTTTGACATTAGCTGCAAATGAAACCGATCTAAACTCCTTCACACTATTTAGGGAGTTTAATCTCAGTGAGGGAGTTGACACATGCTAAGTGAGTGAGTGTGTGTGTGTGTGTGTGTGAGCCCACTATGTCCCCCCCCTTACCTCACACACTGATGATCTGGTCTATATATAGCCCCAGCGCTCCCTCCCGCGCGCTCTCAGCTGAATACTTTGCCCAGATATGGTTTCTTCTCAGGGTCGCCAACTCGCTCCAACGTGCTGCAGCGAACGGCCGGTGTCCGAGTCCGCGCTACACACACCGCTCTGGAAACACACGCACACGCGCACACACACACAGGAGAAAGCGTACACACAGCGCCGCAGCCCAGCTCTCTCTGTCTCCCACCACTTTTCCTCCAACTTCTGAAAGCCCTGCAGCTCTACTACTGACACTCTGCTCCACAGGAGAGAAGTTACTGAAGCTCCGCCCACTCCAGACAAACCACGCCCACTGATCCACCCCCTCAGAGCCTGCTGCTGTCAGTCAAGTGATGTCACAGCACTGCTATGGGCCTGCTTTACTTGCAAGGAGCTCATGAGCAAGTCTATCTGAGATAACTTCACAACACGACAGCAGTTCAGGGCAAATGTGAGCTATAATTTCTTAGCTACATTAGCTACATGTTCTGGCTGATCAACTACATTAGGAGCAAGAAATGAAGGGGTGGGGCGGGTGGGGGGGTTAAACTATCACTAAAACATACATTTTGATAGTTTTCGCTAAACACCACCACCCCCCACAAATCAGATTTTACACTAAACTTCACTAAATAAAAAAAATAAATAAATAAAAAAAAATTGATGCTTCACTAAAAAAAAAAATCTATTGCTGTAAATAAATTTTTCAAAAAAAAGTATTGTTTAAAAAAAATGTAAAAAATAAATTCCACTTTTCAGTAAACTACGGCTTACAAAAATAAATTTGAGAAAACTACTGCTTTTAAAATACATTTCAATAAACTGTTGCTCTAAAACAAATTGATGTTTCACCAAACTATCTAACTAACGACTTCAAGACTTTTTTAAACTTAAGTTTAAGTTTAAAGTTAAAAATTTTTTTTTGCTTTAAAAATAAACTCAAATTTCCCAGTAGACTATCAAAATGCCTTTTGATTTCTCAGTGAACATATTCCTTTAAAACAGAAACATTAATACATTTTCTTAAATTAATATTCTGAAGACAAACTTGTAGTTTTTAATAAAAAACTGCTTTAAAAAAAAACAAAAAAAAACACAACTTTGGATTTTTTTTTATAACCAGAAAATTGCTTTAGAAAAAAATATTTAAAGGGAAAATTATTTAAGATTTAAACTGTGTTGAACTGTCAACTAACTGCTGATAAGCAAGTCTAAAACTCCACAGTGTGATGATTTACGTATGCAGTTAGCACAGTGCTAATTGGTGGTGTATAAGCTTCCACTACCTGTCAGCTACATCAGCCTCGTAGCTCCAGTGCTAAAAATAAGCAGCAAACTTCAGACAACAAACGCATCTTGGCTGACTGACTACATTCGGGAGGCTTTGTTTAACAGATACTAACAAATAAAGTGATTGAGAAAACTGATTTTCTGATATTGCTTTGCTTTTTTTTTAATAAAAATACAAACAGAACAGTCAAATGAACAGATCCTGACAAAACTGAACATTTTCCCTCACAATTCAGCCACTTTTTCCTTTTTTTTCTTTTACTGGAAACGACACAAATAAGAAAAGTGCAAAACTCAAATCGACCACAGGCAGCAAAAAAGTGCATCACAAACAAACCAAAGACAAAAGAGAACATAAATCAAGCGAACAAAAACAAATGGCTTCACTGTGAATCTGTGAAAAGGAAAAAATGTTCAGTTTTTACGCAGAACAAGTGAAAACTGCGCCTTTAACTCTCCTCAGGACATCCGGAAGAAATATATACACACGAGGCTCCGCCCACCAAGAAGTTCTACTATCTAATACATCCTTTTTTTTTGAGTTTGGTGAAGTTGATATTGGAATTATTGTCCAAAAAGCCTAGACTGAAGTATAAATGGGGGAACTATATCCCCCTGGTGGTGAGAGTGGGGTATTACGCCGCTCTGCTGAGCTCGTCCATAAACTCAGCCATGATGTTGTGGATCCACAGGTCGCTGTCATCCGCCGACGTGTCCACCAGGTAGACAGACAGCCGGGCCTCCCACGGCTGCGCCCCCTCCTGGACGGACTCGATCTGCGCCACCAGCGGCCGTCTCTCCACGTGGTTTCGGAACACCATGGAGGCCTCTTCACCCCATCCTCCCTGACGCACGCCTGACAGACAGACAGACAGATAGACAGACAACTAAATAAACAATATCAATCAGCCTTAATAAATAAGCAACGTTTTTGATTCATACATAGATCAGCCCTCTTGGGTTCACCCCCTTGCATTGTGCCTTAAAGAGAAACTTCACTTGACATTTCGAATTTTCTGCATAATTAAATGGACAATATGTAAACAAAGCCGTTCAGAGTGGTTTGGTGTGAAATGCTCTGTTCTAGAGAAACGTACCGAGTCAGAACTGTTCACAGTGGTGGTGATAGGAACCAGACGTCCACTTCTAAAAGCTCCCTCATAGAAAGTTATTACATGAAATGGTCACGATACGCTGCCTGTCTGAGACACAGTTTCATGACAGTTTTGAGAAGATTTTGCCCTTAAAATCAATTTGTGGTGGAGGGACACATGCAGGGCATTGAGAGGCAAAACAGTTTGAAATATTTTTTTTTTCTGATTTTCCACCTCCCCCCCCATCATCAACACTAAATATAAAAACTCAGAAGACACTGTAGGTTCACTGGTGGTTTTGGATAGTAAATAAAATGGCTATATTTATGTTGTAGACACAGCGGTCCCTGATTCCCATCACCACTGTGGCTGACTGTGTAAATTCAATGGGCAGACTGAAGAAGTACAGTTGTTGTGCAGCTGTGTCTGACCTGCCAGCTGTGCAGGAATCCCCTGGAAGGGCAGCTGTCTGAACTCGTTGATGAGGGGGCGGAGCTGGGAGCAGTGGACCAGCTCGTGTTTCCCATAATCCAGTTCATACACAGAGACTAAAGAGTTCGTCAGAACACCTTTAACCAGCACACGGTGCCAACTATAGGGAAGAGGGGGAGGGGGAGAGAGAGAGAGAGAGAGAGAGAGAGAGAGAGAGAGAGAGAGAGAGAGAGAGAGAGAGGAAAACAAACTGATTATTATAATAATATGCATTTTGTAATCTTACACTATATATGGGATATAACAATGTAACACTGCCGTTTTGTGTCATTTGTCACATACGTACATATATATGTATTAGGGGTGGGAATCTCTAGGCACCTCACGATTCGAATATGATTCAGAGGCTGCGATGCGATCATAAAACGATTATCGATGCATCTTTTTTTTTCTATACATCATTTCTATTTCCTCACTTTGTGAGGACTTGGTAGTTTTAAAGCAAAGTATTTGTAATGATCCATAATGAATTTACTTCCAATATCTTTTATTAATAAAACAAATGGAAGTGATGTGGCAAGTGAACTAGACGGCTCTCATTCACTGCCTTTGGAGCACACGAGGCGCTGCTGCTACTCATCTACGATAAAATGCGCAGTTACGGTGAAATAAGGTCCAGTGGTGATGGATGACCACGCAGTGTGTTACAGCTATTCTACCCGTTTTTTCAGTGATATATTAATAATATTTTTGGTTTTGGTCTCGTTGTAGAGAAAGCGGTGGTGGGGGGGGTCCAGACGGGACGTGTACAACATAGCGTGAAAGCCCTGTTTCGCAACGACTGAGAACTGCCACGCAGACTGCAGGTCACCTAGCAACGATGCGTTATTTGCATTCATATGCAGCGCAGTTGGTTTCCTGGTACGTTAAATCTGCAATGAGAGACTGTCGCACACTAAACAGTTGCGAAGATGAAGTCGCTTCTCTTTCGAATTTTCCCATTCCACCTTAAATGGTGTCGCATTTACATTCTGCGCCTCAGTCAGAATTTAAGGTGGAACGGGAAAATTCGAACATGAAGCTGGAGAATAAGAAGCGACTTCAGCCTCGTAAAACAGTCGAACGTTGAGAGACATTTTACACGACACTGATCGAGTTTTGAGGAAATTTTTTCTGGCGGAGATGGGAGGAAAGCGGCCAAAACTAAGGCTTAAAGCAGAGCGAAGTAAATCTGCGCTCTCGTTTATATTTTTAGCCCATACTAGGACATTATCACACACTGAGACATACTGGACATTAAATGTTGTGGCTCCCAAGGTGGTTTGAATTTGTTGAGAGGACAAAATGGCTCTTCTTAACATTTGTGTTGTGACTCCTGACCTAACCTGGCTTTAATGCAGAGGGAGCCGGTCGGATTTCTCACTCATCCATGTGTGTTTCTGTTATGTGCCGCCACAGACTGTCCGGGCGCTGCACTTCCGCACTTCCAAGTTCAGCCTTTTGCGTTCCATCAACATTACATTATAAATTAAATACTTAGAAAATCGATTTTTGACATTTGTGAATCGATTCAGAATCGTTCACGTCCGCATCGCGATGCATCTAAGAATCGAGTTTTCCCCGCACCCCTAATATATATATACACACACACACACACACACACACATATATATATATGCCAACGTGCTAAACTTCATAATGTTAAAACATAATTTAATTCAACATTAACAGTGTGTTAAATTCAGCAAACAGTGCGCTGAAGCATGCAGAAGTTCGCTCTCTGTTCAGGATTAACTTATTCTCACTTAGAAATGTTTACAAACTTTTCCAGACGACTGTAACTGTTTGGCCACAAACTAATAATATTATGTGTTTTTCACTCACTTGCTGTCGATCTTGGCAGCATAGATGTGGTTCTTCTCCACGCTGATGCGGTTCTCCTCCTGTCGGTTGTAGTAGAGGATCATCTCTCCCATCAGCACCACCAGCTTGTAGAGCTGCTGCCACGGCTGCAGGACGAAGTGTCCCGGGTGACAGGCCACCGACACGAACACGTCCAGGTTCTGTCCCGGCCGAGGCAGCTGCATCAGTGGGGGCAGGACGGAGGGCGCCAGGCCGCCGGCACACAAGGGAGCGTCGCCCGCCTCGGGGAGGACTGGCGCTGTAACCATGGTAACCCCGCTGAGGTGGGCGTTGTGCCGACGCTGCCACAGGCTGGAGGAGGCCAGCTGCAGGTTCACGCTGGAGGAGCAGTCGTGAGGTCCAGCACCACGGAAAAGATAAACATGTACGAGTCCTGCTGAGTCTAGACTTGAAATCTAACAGACACAAACGGGAGAATTAAGACAACATAAAAAGTAAAAAAAAAAAAAAATATCCATCTCTTTTGTGCGATTTTTTAAAAATGAGCATTATATTTCCTGTATGGAAAAACAAGATATTTATTAAAACAAGATAAATTAAAACAACCCTGAAGATATTGCAAGAATAGTTTGTATAACTGGATTAGGTGGAAAAACTGGTTTATCAGTAATGGACAAATGCAGAAAACAGTCATGCAAACTACAGATTTTTTTTAAATAAGAAGTGATGACGTAGCAGGAACGTCAGTTTCCATTCCAATTTAATAATAAACATGGTGGGCAGAGGCGAGAGCAGTAGACTGGCCTATTACTTGCCACAGATGTGAGCATAAAAGAATAAATAAATACATCAATATTTTGTCAAAGTTGAAGCAAAACCTCAAAAATAGCAACTTTAGTCCACTCATTATGAATCAATGAGACCATGGCAGCTTGTATTTTTAAATCATGTTTTATTACAAATCCTGACAGCGATCGTTTATAATATTCTTAACAGAACTTAACAGGAAGAAAAGCTTTTACTATTATTACAGTTTTAAGGGCGATTTCAACAAATGAAAATGACTAGTAAATAACTGTATTAGGTGACTAAAGTGAACGAGTTTAGCGGGAGAGCAAGGACAGCTCTGAGAAAACTGAAAACAGGAGATGAAAACCTACAACTTAATAACTAAACTAAATAAACTAAACTAAAAAAAAAGTTCAACTTTTCGGTCAGTCAGTCGTACACTGGACTGATTAGTTAGCGAAGTTCAAATTACTCCATTCATCTACACCACCTTCATGCTGCAGTCGTCTGCGCTCAGCAGCGTCTCTCTGAGCCACAGGACGGCATCAGGGGGCCACACGCTTCCATCCACCGACAACTCTGCGAGACGGCACTTAACAGCCTGTAAACAAACAAAAACCCAGTCTAAACAGTTCATAAACAGCACTTCACAGCCTGTAAATGAACAAAATCAGTCTAAACAGTTCATAAACAGCACTTTACAGCCTGTAAATGAATAGAATAAATAAGTTTAAACCATCAATAAACAGCTTTTCACAGCCAGTAAACAAACAAAAAATGTTTAAACCACCAATAAACAATTCACTGTGTGTAAACACAAAAACCCAGTCGAAACAACTAATAAACTTCACAGCCTGTAAACAAACAAAAACTAGGTAGCTCTGCCCACCGGACTAAAACATATTTAAGACTGGAAGTTTCTGTTGTTTAATTGAGTTTAAGAAGTGTGATAACTGAGAACTGACAAGCAAACAAGTCTGCAAAGCTCTGTTTAACTAAAACTACTAAAAAAACTTCTAAAATATAAAATTACAACCAGCCGATTTTATTGTTATTGGAATTTTTAGCTAAAAATCTGTATCAGCCGCAAACGTCTTATATCAGCCGGACCCCAACATATCCGTGTGCGCGTACCTGTGGTGGTATGGTGATGAGCTCCCTGAGGAAGACTGGTGGGATTTCTCTCAGCTCGCTGACCTCCAGTGAGGCAGGAAGACCCAAATCCACAAACCGAACGTCCAGAACTCGACTGCCGTGAAGGTTAACGACCTGAAAACCAGAGAAAACCATCCATCCATTTCTTCAGTCAGTTACACCTCCTGAACACGTCTTCTATGAAAGTTAAAGAGGAATTTTACTAAACTGCTGCATTATTAAATGGTTAAGATGTAAACAGTGATTCAGAGCGGTTTGATGTAAAATACCCCGTTAGTTTTATCACAGTTTTACAAAAAACTTGTGGCCTAAAACATTTTTTTAATCTATTCATGATAGAGAGATACATGCAGGACTGTGAGGCAGAACAGTTCCCACAGAAAACTTACTTTATCATCAAGATTCCATATAAATTTAGATTCCCTGGTGGTTTTGGATAGTAAATAAAATGGCTATATTTGTGTTGTAGTCATGGTGACCCCTGGTTCCCATCACCACCACTGTAAAGAAATCTGAGTCTCCACAATCAACAATTTCACACCAAACCACTCTGAATGACTGTTTACATCTCAACCACTAAATTATTCAGAAATTTTAAAGAAGCAGTGTAATTCCTCTTGATCTGAAAACCAAAAATAGTGACTGTTACTCACAAAAATCTTAGACGCTCTTTGTATTATTTTATACAAATAATTTTTACAGAGCAGATCACTGAAGAGACACCATCTGAGATCCAGTTTATCGCTCCGATTTGTGGAAAAACGGGTCGACTTTCAGTAGAAAACAAGTTGTGAGTTCAGCTACTTTTATAATAAAGTTTTAAAATCATCTATATGACTGGAAAGAAGACAGTTACAGCTCTCATATGACTCCCACCTTTTTAATGAAGCTTATGAAATATGAAAGTTATGAAGTAAAGAATATGACAAAGTGCCTTTTGGAACCACCAGTGGTCCCTAAGGAGTTACAAAGGTTAAAAAAATGGTTGGGTCACAAGGTCAATGCATGCAAAACTTGGCAAAAATCTTAATGTGTGTCTCAACATCTCGTACAAAATTTTAGAGACCACCCTAAAAACTTCCCATCACTGCCCATCATTAGTGTGTTCTGCTGGCTTCATAATGGTGCACAGTGCTTGGTCCCCGATGATTGCCATCTGCAATTTTTATAGATGGTCATTTGGCTCTCGCTGCGATATGACAAAGATGAGAACTAAATTAAGGTTGATTGTCTTGGTTGTTAACTATGATAACATACATATGTTAACATTTTTCAATATCTGTGGGTTAGATGATGAGCAGATGACCACCACCATCCTAAAATTAAAATCACCAAATGAATATCATGTTTATCAAAACGGCAAATTTCGCCAAAAGGTAGCTAAGTTTGCATGTTTGTATAAAAGACATTCAGACGTATGAGTAATCCAAATATTGTTCTACTGTACTGCAATCACATTACATTCAAATGAATCACTAATCAATATGAAACAGAAGGAAAACTGGACAGGTCAAAGAAAGCTGCAACAGATCAGTGTGCTTACCTCCACTCTGGCCCATCTGCCTTTGTGTCGAGCCAGGCACACTTTACCACAGAACGGCCGGGACACCAACAGCTCCCACGTCACCTGCACAAATATTAACGCTCCAGTATACAAGATATACAATTTTTACACTGCACTACTTCAGCTAAAGATTTAAAAGAGTAACAGTAAAGCATGGGGCAAGCACTGGGCCTGAGTGACAGCTAAAAATAATTAGCACAATAATTGGCAAATAATTATTTTCTAGCTAAAAACCCAGAAAAAAAGCCTTTCTATTCTATTTTAGTCCATCTGTTTCTCTGCATACTTTGTTAGCCCCCTTTTACCCTGTTCTTCAGTGGTCAGGACCCCCATGGACCCTCACAGAGCAGGTCTAATAGAGTGAACAGTGAGTGGACACAGTGTTTAAACACTCCAGCAGCACTGCTGTGTCTGATCCACTCAGACCAGCACAACACACACTAACACACCACCACCACGTCAGTGTTACTGCAGTGCTGAGAATGACCCACCACCCAAATAGTACCTGCTCTGTGAGGGTCCATGGGGGTCCCGACCACTGAAGAACAGGGTAAAAGGGGGCTAACAAAGTATGCAGAGAAACAGATGGACTACAGTCTGTAACTGTAGAACTACAAAGTGCACCTATATAGTAAGTGGAGCTGATAAAATGGACAGTGAGCGTAGAAACAAGGAGCTGGTCAGAATGTTATGCCTGATCAGTGTATTAAATAACACGATATTGAGTAGCCCAAGTTAAGCGATGTAATCGGTGCGATTTTTATTTCAAAATAAGAGCTTTTTTGTTACGTGGTAACACCAGTGACAACTCCTGGGGACAAGAGCTTTCGTTATATATAATATTTATTTGCCATTTGTCTTCTTTATGTCATTTAGATTATGTAATTCACAGTCATGTATAGATTATTGTAGTTAAAACAGTCTTTATACATGACTGTGAGGACGAGCTCTTCTGTGGTGCTTGGAATTCTAGATAATTGACTTAAAACCCAATATTGCTAAATTGATGAAGAAGGTATAATCATTAAAATAACTTATTGTTTTATTTGAAAATGTAAAAAAAAAATTGTAACCCTAAGGTTTTTTTTTCGCTTGTTTTTTTTTTTTTAATTGTAATATATCTGTAAACACTAGAGACACAAAAATAGACGTTTCTGTAGAATGACCCTAATAATTAAAACAAACACTCCAGCTAGCCAGAGTTGTTGTCTGGGACCCACATAAAACTAAACCCAGTTTAAGGTCAATCAGAGTTTGAAGTTGCTCCATTGTTGCTACTGTTGTTTGTGTCGTTACAGCTAAAGCTAGACTTGCATGAGAAAACCTGAGACCATACAGGCTGAGGACAACTCAGTCTACTTTCATGGTTCTCTTATGCAATGGGACATGGCCAAAAGTACTCAATCAGGGTATGGACAGATCTGGGTTCAGACCTGTAACCATACAGCAAAGCTAAAATTTATATATTTATATAATAATAAAGTTAGCTCAGGGTCAAGGTGATGTCCTGTTGGGTACCTGAGAGAGCAGATATGATTCAATCTTGCTCATGACGTCTCGGAGCTTGGCCAGGCCGCGGGACGGTAGCTGGCAATACACGCTGCCATCTGAACACACGTTTGTCACACAGACGTCAGAGTACAAACTGTTCACCTGAAGAAAACAAAAAGAAAAACAATTGGATTTTAAAAAAAATCCCATCTCTGCACAGTGAGTTGTTAATGGAATCATCTGAGAAAGTTGTGCTCCTTGGTACTACAGCCTGACTGATGCCTACAAAAGAAAGGAAAGCTATAAAAAGATATCCAACTGCGCTCCCGAGTGCCGCAACCGTCTAAGCGTTGGCCCTATTATCAGGAGATCACGAGTTCGATCCCTGGTGATGCTGCAGCCGTCCGTAGCCGGGAGTCCGAGAGAGCACAATTGGCCTCGCTCTCTCTGGGTGGGTAGGATGGCCCCTCCTTCTCCCCCCATCACTTCACGCAGATCTGGCGGTTGGCGCTTTCCTCCGAGCGTGTTCGGCTGTCCAGTGACGTTGCGTGAGCGGCAGTTCGAAAAGATGCGGTGGCTGGTTTCACAGGTCTCGGAGGAAGCCTGTGTTAGCCTTCACCCTCCTAGCGTTGATAGTATCGTGTGATTGGGGGAGTCCTAACTAGCGGGTGGAATTGGAGACGACTAAATTGGGGAGAAAATTGGGTTAAAATCCCAAAAAAAAAAAAAAGATATCCAACTGCTTCTAGCTTACAATTTCCACTGTCCAGCAAGTCATTAAGAAAGTAGAACTGTGGAAATCTAGACAAGACCTGGAAGACCAAGAAAACTCGGAGAGACCTGCTCATATTCTGGCCAGAAAGGCAAAGCAAAACCCCCATATGACAACAAAGGACCTTCAAAGTTCAGCTACTTTCACAAGCTGTTTACATGCAACCTCATCACAAAAGTCAACATCTGAGGTACGTAGAACAACATCCAGATTAGCCAGAGCATTTTGGAAACAAGTGCTGTGTTCTGATAAAGCAAAAATAAAATTTGTTGGCAAAAAAAATCATCAAAAGGTACATTTGGAGAAAAAAGTAGCAGCATTTGATGAAAAGAACAAAGGGGTGGTCCTATTATGCTTTGGGGTTGTGGCATAAGAAAAGTTGCACTGGTAGGTGGAACAATTCCACTAAATATCAGTAAATAAACAGCAGATATTCATTAGAAGTTCTAATGTCAACAGAATCCATCAGTGCAGCCACTGAATAAGTGTTGTGTTTGTAAACTGACCTGAAGGGGGTTCTCCATTGTTTTGTCCTGCAGGGCCTGAAGGCAGGCGGAATTTATGTTAACGTCAGTCTGCTGAGACGTGTCATACAACACCACGAGAGGCGTGGCCTCCCGCTCCACCAGCTCAGCCAATAGCGTCCGTCCACAGGCGATGGACTCTAGAGTCTTCAGGACCACTGGGTCCTCGCTGAACGGCTCCAGACCTCACAAACACAGTCATTCAAACATAAGAAGGTGCAAAATCACACAGATATGCATGAAACAACTAGATCACACACTGCTTCATCCACAAAATCAAAAATACAAATACAATTTGCACCTGGTGTCATTATGAATGATGTGGCAATTGGTTAGGAAGATTTCACATAACAACTAGCAATCATGGTGAAGGAGCTTTCAAGAGATGAATGTCTAAAATTTGCACGCAAGCATATAGTCAAATCAGAACAGTGTACTCTGATCAGATCAAACAAATACAGAACTCTTTAGCAGCAATTCAGCTCGTCATGTTTGGGGAAAGAGGGGTTTCGCGTATGATGCCAAGAACACACACAGTGAAGTATGATGGTGGGAGCATCATGATCTGGAGCTGCTTCTCTGCAATCGGTAAAGGGACCAGTCGTTAAAAAGAGACGTGAATGAAGCGACGTACCAGAGATATTAAAGGAGAATTGAATCTCATCATCCAAGAAAGACAAGATGGACATTTCACAAGACAAACACAGTCAAAATAGTTCAAGATTGCTTTTTAAAAAGCTGAAGGGGCTGGCACAGCCTAGCCAATCTTCCAACCTGAATTCCAATTAAAATTATCTATATAATTATGGAGGTTGATTTTGAAATTGTGAGCACATTGGGGGACCCTCGTAACTTTGGAGAACTGAAGACAGTTTGAGAGGAACGGACTGAAACCGAACCACAACACAGCAGAAACCTAAAAACGTCTTACTGTAAAAATCTCAAAGCTATAATTGTCAACAGTGGCTTTGCAGACAAAGTATTAATGCTATTAATTTGCAGCGTATGAATGTTTTTTCTTCCTATCAATTTTGTTTATTTTTGTTGCTGTATTCATAAGCACAGAGTGTAAATCTGCAGTAGCTACACAGACTGGAAGTGCAGAATAAGAATTATGGGTATTTGATCTTTGGTTGAGCCGCCCCTCTAAATACAGCAGCAAACAAACACGCGTCTATTTAGACACACAAAAAGCTTCAGGTGAGTGTTACCTGCGAGTTGGCAGCTGGTGGCCTGGAAGGGCAGCGTGAGGAACTGGTCACCGAGTTGGAAGAGTTTGTCCCCTCCCACAACCTCTGAGAAACCATGATCCACACAGAACACCTAAACATGTACAGAAACAAAACCATAACTCACGCGCACATGACCACCCGCCCAGCCTACAGCAGTTTACACAGCCTCTCCGGTTCTGTGGGATAAAGAGAGATTGGAAAACTGACTTTAAGAATCTAGTGAAGAATCTACTGTAGCACATATCGAAGAGGTCCCAATCCTTTTTATTTTTATTTTACACCTGATCCAATCGGAATACTTTAACATTGAGTATCAGCCAATTCCGCAAAAGACCCCCGGTCAAATTACAGGTTTTGCTGACTTTCTACATAATAAATAACCCCATCCTCTACTGAGAAGACACTTAAATATGCCATTGTTCTGCTAATTTTAGAGCATAATTTGAGTTTAATATATCAGAAAAAATAAAACGAAATATTAAAGTTTGCAAAAGTGTGTTCTCAGCAGGAGATGTGGTATTTTCACTTAGAAAATCAACAGCATGTCATTTAATAAACTTTTGCATACAACTCTGTGCTAGACTGCTAGTAAATAATATGGTAAAATCACTTAGTTTTTAGTATGTGCATTATGTAACATTCTGGACCTTTTTTAAGGCCTATTTTGTTTCAAATTACCACATTTATAGTGTGTTTAATAATTGCTTGTAACACAATCTGACTTACTGCCATGACGATCTGGCAACCAGTTACTTTAAAGACTCTGTCTACTCATTTTCATGATTTTCTTCCAAATATTATCTACAGCTTTTGTACTGTTTTCACTCTGAACTGGCAGATAAAGAATTCGGTTTGTGTTTTCTTTTGAGAGATTTGGGAAATTACTTTTTCTGTCATTTTCTTCTGTTTGATTTTAGTGGAGACTGAACAAAATTGTCACGGGTGACATCAAGTTTGCCGAAGTACCAGTCAGAGTTAGCAATCTGTATACGTCAGCTACTCGCGTTCCTCTCTCTCACAGAGTGACTGATCTGCTGCCGCTCCACACAAAACACCCAGCAAGTAAGTTATTTAAGTTCAAAATTTGTTAACAGTGCTTGTTATGAAGATTTATTACACTACTGTTTGAAGGGTAGCTTGACGCTGCTCCCTACTTGCATTAGCCACTTGTTGCAGGATCCTACTATATGTGAGAGCTAGTAAACCACCTTAACTTAAGGCATAAAAAAAACAGACATTAATAAAATAAAAACAGACATTAGCTACCCTTCCTATTAAGGCTCATCATGTAAACATTTGAAGTGGATTTGAAGTGAACGGTGGTGCACACTCTGAAGATCTAATGTTTTTGATGGATTAGGATACTGGTGTAAAACATTTATTAGTGTTCTGAATACAATCCACTATGATTTGCTGTAACGCATGTGCATCCAGATCCTTTCTCTTGGCTTTCAACGCTCAGTTTCAACTAATGCCAGTCTAAAAGTGGAAGCGCCACTGTCAACACAGCAGAACGTTCTTGCAACAGTTTGTTTTACACTGGTCGTGACTTGCGAGTGAAAAACATGGTGGTAGTGTATTTCCTGCATTTCAGGAGGCATGACGTTCAGTCAGAAAGTAGACTGAAAGCGTTACAGCTGCTCACGCGCATTTTACAATGAGCTGCATTTTACAAAGGCGGCTCAAACGCAGAGCAAAACGCTGCAGGTCGTGGACAACGTCCCTTTCTGTCGCTTCCACGACAGTCGAGTCAGTGCTGTAAGAAGAACGCAAAACAACAAGAAACGAAGGATCGGAACTGGATCAAGGTTATAACCAATACTCGATTGATTAAACTACGCCTGGATCAGCTCAGATTCCGATCCACTGGATCAGGACATCTCCAGTATATACCCTGATACGTCGTTAGTCTCTCGTACCTTAACGTTGTCCGTCGTGACCTGGTGCACCTGGGCTCGGAGCACAGAGTCATCCTCCAGGGCGACCGCAACCAGCTGACCAATCGTAGGAGAGGGGAGAGAAAGCCCCGCCCCATCACCGCGGTAAAACTCCAACATGGCGTCCTCCATCTTCTCCAGAGCCTTAGAAAAGTCCTCACCCACATACCTAAACGAGTAAACAGTAAACAACACTGCTACACAAATAAACAGCACCATCATACAAGATGATGAATGAACAATCTTATCCACAGGTAAGGAACTTCTCCGCTCAAAAAGCAGCTCTAAACAATATTTAAATACCTAGAAATGAACAAGTAACCAAACAATATTTCATAACCCATGTATGCAAAACATACAAAACAACTGACATCTTCCAGTGACAGTCAGAAACTCTATGACCCCCTCTTTCAATTGGTATGTGATTGGTTCCTAGGCGCCTCACGGTTGTAAAGATATGGCACTTTGAAATCGGATGAATCTTTTTAAAATCACCCTGTATTTTAAATGTTTTATATGTGTTTTATTTTATCCAATATGTTAAGTTCACCAAATAAACAATGATCATGGATTAAAAATGTGCAGAAGTGTGTTCTCTCCAGAAGATGAGTTAACTTATTTTCACTTAGAAAATCAACACCAGGGAATGAGATAATAAAACAAAGAACATAAGCAGTTTTTTAATATTACAGCTTATTGCTCTGTGGCACATTAGGTTTAAAAAAAAATAACAAAAATTATGTATTTAAAGGATGCACTGATGCCGATAATCAGTATTTTTCATGTACATATTAATAGATGTCAATACATTAACATTTTTATAAACATCAGCATGTGGACTAAATCTACCTGGACTAACATTACAGAAAATATTTCTGTGTTACAAATGCAGTAAAATGAATAAAATTAAGATATTTCATCTTTTTATTTTAGTGCAGTAACCCATCGCCACCTAAACATTCTGCTCATCTGGAGTTCAAAAATTACACAAAATATTGGTTTGAAATATCAGTCAGTCAGTCATAAACATCTGTCTGATGCCACAGTTTTTCAGTAAATATCTGCTGATATCAACGTGATTCTGAAATCATCATGCATTTTTACTGCCATCATTAGTAATCCCAGCATTATGCCAATAATAATTATTATTAATAACATTATTGTTTCAGTAGTCGTAACAGCAGCAGCAATAATAATAGTTTAAAAAGCTTAAACGCTTGACAATCTACCTGAATATAATGTTAGTGCTGTTGGCCTCCATCACCAGTACTGAGGGGAACTCCTCTTTGGGCAGAGGCAGCGCAGGCACCTCTGGGTTGCCGTAGCGGGTGATGATGAGGGGGCGTGGCTGTGGCCGTGACCGGGGCTGGGTAACGTTGGGCAGTGCATATAGGATGGCCTTATGGCGGTTATCTGGCATCGGGTACTCGACCACGCAGGTATCGGCCAGCACGGACAGGTCGTCCAGCACGCCCTCGGGAAAATCACACCTGAGGAGGAACAGCAGGTGAATCGACTACACTTACTAAGAAGAATCTGGTACTATATCATAAATCGGAACAATAATGGAGCCAAATACCTCATTTGCATGTCCATTTCTGAGCACACTTAGCTTCTCTACCCATGTTATTCATGTTATGGTGCATCTGTTTTGTGAAACTCTGTCTTTGCTGGACTTGAAGGATGAAACTGTACCAGTGATTCTGGTTATCCTAAATGTTGCCCTTTCTTTTAGCTACACAGAGAAGTTTTTTTTGGTTTTAACATTTCATAGCGAGTCATATTGTGTTCTAAACCATCGACTCATCTGTGCGACCTGAATGAACGGTTTGAGCGAGTGTGGGTTGAGCAGGCTGACAGAGGTTTTAGGGACATATCCGGGGAACCCGTCTGGGTGACTATTGACTCCCAGTGTTTATCTGTTCCATTAGCTTCCTAGCTCCAGCTGTACACTAATGAAGTACAACCCCATTTCCAAAAAAATTGGGACCCTGTGCAGAATGCAAATAAAAATTGGATGCTATGATATGCAAATCATGCGAACCATTTTTTTAAAGGAAAAATACTACAAAGACAACATATCAGATGATGATACTGAGAAATTGTTTTTTTTTTAAATATATGCACTGCTGTAGTTTCAAAAGTGAAATGTTTACTTTTCTTGTTTGATACAGGATTTCAGCTACTCATCAGTTCAGGATCTCATTTGTCATATTTTTCATTACCTGGACCTTTCAGCACCTGGATACAGAGCAATGCTGCTGTAATACATACAGAATGGGGTTTGGCATCGTCTTGCTGAAATAATCAAGGCCTTCCCTGAAAAAGACGTCGTCTGGAGGGCAGCATATGTTGCCAAAACCAGTATATATCGTTCAGCATTCACAGATGTGCGTGTCACCCATGCCATGAGCATGAATGCCCCCTCTGTACCATCATGAATCCTGGCTTTTGAACTGTGCACTGATAACAAGCTGAGTGGTCTTTAGCCCGGAGGACACAGCGTCCATGATTTCCAAAAAGAATTTCAAATGTTGATTTGTTGGACCACAGGACACTTTTCCACTTCACCTCAGTCCATTTTAAATGAGCTCAGGCCCAGAGAAGGTGGCAGCATTTCTGGATCCTGGTTATATATGGTTTCTTCTTTGGGTTTTAGAGATTTAACTTGTATTTGTGGATGCAGTGATGAACTGTTTTCACAGACAGTGTTTTTCAGAAGTGTTTCTGAGTCCATGCAGTGATTTCTTCTACAGAATCATGTCTGTTTTTAATGCAGTGCTGCCTGAAGGCCCAAAGATCACGGCCAGCAAATACTGGTTTTTGGCCTTGTCCCTTGCATACAGAGATTTCTCCAGATTCTCTTAATCTTTTAATGTTATTATGTATCATGATATTGTGTGTTTTAATGTATTATGTAGATGATGAAAAGCAAAAGTTCTTTGCTATTTTATGTTGAGAAACATTATTCTTGAATTGTTGCACTATTTGATCGTGCAGTCTTTCACAGAGTGGTGAACCCCTCCTCATCTTTACTTCTGAAAGACTCCGCCTCTCTGAGATGCTCTTTTTACACCCAATCATGTTACTGACCTGTTGCTCACTAACCACCAGGTGTTAGCATTACACAAATTTACCAGCCTTTTGTTGCCCCCATCCCAACTTTTTTGGAACATGTTGTTGGCATCAAATTCAAAAAGGGCAAATATTTTTCAAAAAACAAAAAAAAATAAAATCTCTCAGTTTCAACATTTGATACATTGTCTTTGTTCTATTTCAATTAAATATATACTTTAAATTATTTGCACATCATTGCATTTTGGTTTTATTTACATTTTGCACAGCGTCCCAACCTTTTTGGAAACGGTGTTGTAAAATTTGGACGCCAAACATGTCGTGGCTAATCAACAGTGTTTGCGGTAAGTATAAAATCATCTGAATTTGATTTTTCACCAAACTATTCCTTTAAATGAGCATCATTATTAAAGAATATGTGTTTCTTCTTGGCAGCACCTAAAGGCCTCCTGGAAGAGGCGGGGCAGTGCATGGGCCCACAGGCCATGACTGTACTTATCCAGCAACTCCCGCAGCTTCTGCTTTACAGCCGGAGACACCGGCACCACTGGAGGAGGCGTGGAGGGCGGGGTGAGCAGAGGCTGGCTCAGAGAGTCAGAGGTGACAGAGGATTTAGGGGTGTCTGGAAGAGAGAAAGATTCACGTTGTGTTTGCTTTGTATTCACTCACATCGTTCAGTAAAGAACTCATAATAACGAACAATAATGAACTGTTTAAACAACCCCTTTCATGCTCAAGAGCCCAAAAGTGCTTAACAAGAAATAATGAAAGAAAAAATGCATGTAAGAGCGTAATTTAAAAAAGCCTAACACATTAATTAAACACACGTGAATAAATTAAATATTTAAAAAAATGTTTACATCTTTTGTTGCTTACTGTATTTTGTATTACATTGAAAAATAAAAACATTTGATTGCAAAAAAAAGGGACACACAGAAGATGGAAAATGATGTAAAATGAATTATTCAAGTATTTATTATGGCAACAATTATTTATTATGGTAAAAACTATACTTTTATTATGGTAAAAGACATTGTAGGTGCTTTACCTTCTCTATTTTAAACAACTCAACAGATGAAATTTTTTTAAAAATTCTCTCTGTGACGTTTCATAGGGTTTGGAAATTACTTTGTTACTGAACTCTGTGCGGGACATTGTAAAGACCACCGCACAGCCACATCATGCAGTAGCATAGGTGGACCTCAAAAAAGCATACCTGAGAAAATATATCAAGTTCTCAAAGAAAAAAGAAGTGCCTGTTCCATTGAACACAGTTCAGTAATTCAGTGTTTTTTATTACATAGTGCTTTATCAAACTTATAGTGATGCTAAAGCATGAATGAATGAATGAATTATTAATTCATTTATTCATTTATCAATAACACAACAGGCTGTGGTGGTTGAAAAGCAGGTGTGAATAGAGGAAAAAAGGCTGCAGAACAGAATCATCACCTTCTCCAGAAGCCGACAGTTTCACACTGACTGGACTGAGCGGTTTAAGAGTAGGCGAAGTTGGAGACGTTGGAGACTGTGGGAGAGAATGTCTATCCATAGAAGATTTTGGAGGGGTTTTGGGGGTTACGGTGGGTTTCAGAGGGGCAAGAGAGGCCACGGTGGGTTTCGGGGGACGCCTCTTTTGCGGGATACACCAGCCGTCCTGCGACGTTACTACAGCCCGGCTTCTCCACCTGAAAACAAGAGCAGATAAAGTGATACATCAATAAGTGATGCTCAAAATCCAAATGTAGTTTCCCTCTTTTACCCCAAACACAGTCTATCAGCCAAGACATGTTTGGTGTCTTATGGCTGCTTCTTTAGTTTTACGCTGGAGCTACAAAGCACACCAACCAACAGTGTGTAAAGCAAAGTGTTTTGGCTCAGTTATTTCCAATAGACTTGAGTTTAGTTTCTGACACCCTGTTATCTATAAACATCAATAAACCAAAGACAGGCTTCAGGATGCTGCTACTACTGTTTTAACCATTAGACAAACTTTCGTCCATGTTTACAGATAATAGCACGGCTTCCAGCAGGGCTCTTCAGTTCCGCCCCTGGAGGGCTGGTGTCCAGCACAGCTCAGTGATTTCTCTGCTATAGGACCTTAAAAGGGCCCATATTATGCAAAACGTCCTCCTTTTATGTTTGAAATAAAGACTCTGATGTAAAATATAAACAAGATGTACCATTTAATCCCCAGCCCATACAGTCCATATAGGGTAGGGGTCGTAACCCAAATGTTAAGAAAAGCCATTTTGCCATTTCAACAAATATCAAACCACTTTGGGAGCCACAACATTTTATGTCTATTTTACCATCTTGGCTGTAAATATGTCTCAGTATGTGCTGATGTTCTAGTATAGACTTAAAAAACATAATATAAACAAAAAGACTTACTTTGCTCTGCTTTAAGCTTTAGCTCAGCTATAGCTGCTTTTCTCGCATCTCCAGCAGGAAACTTTTCCACAAAAGTAGAACAGTTTCTTGTAAAATGTCTCAACGTTTTACTTTTTACGAGGCTGAAGTCGCTTCTCATTCGCCAGCTCCTTGTTCGAATTTTTCCGTTCCACCCTAAATGGTGCCTGAGGCGCCAGAAAGCAACTGCTTTTTTTTTACGGCAGAATGAAAAAATTCGAACAAGAAGCTGGTGAATGACAAATTGAGTTCAACCTCACGACTTTTTTGGTGTTTGACAGTTTCTCGTTGCAGATTAAACGTACGAGGAAACCAGCTGGAGTGATTATAAATGCAAATAAGCCATTTCGTCTCCAAATTATCGATGTTTACCATTTCGTTATCTACTGGCTAGGCGAGATGGCTGTTGTTGCTATGGTGACCAGCAGTCTGCACGCCAATCTTCAGGGTTAAAGGTGAATTAGCAGTTCTACATTAACTGCAGTGTTTAAGACCATTTATTGTTAAAACTGTGTTAAAATGCGCAGCAGAGCTTTATTTTACTGAAAACAAGGATTATTTTATTTTTACCTAAAAATCTGATTCTGCTGTGGAGCCGCAAAAGGGCAGTAAAAGAGCTGCATGTTACCGACCCCTGATACTGGGCAAGGTCAGGGTGTGATAATGGACACGTTTAAGTGTTAGCTGTTCTCACAGTGCAGATGTGCGTCCAGCTCTCCAGCTGTGAGAGCGCGTACGAAGGCAGCTCCTGGCGGAACATGTCTCTGTAGAGCTGAGGCAGTTTTGAGAGCCAGACACCGCTGCAGTGCTTCTGCAGGAGTTGTTTTATTCGGCTCTGAATCAGCGGCAGATCACCACCGTCACCTGCACCGCCCTCTACAGGCATCCGCTGACCTGCAGGAAGACAGAAACAACCCGCGCTGACCAACGCTGGACACAGAGGCTGATCCAGAGCCCCCGTGAGAGTGAATGAGTGAACGAACACTTTACCTGCAGGCTGACTGTTCTTAGACGGATGAGTCGTCAAGTCCTTTTGGAACTTGCAGGCCAAAGCAGCCGTCCTGACTGACCTGAGACGAGCGGAGAGAGTAATAAGAATACATGTAGTTTCAGTCTGAATGTAATGTAATATGAATAAATGTGCATGTGTGATCATGCATAGGACTGGAGTTAAAATCACTGTTCTATCACAGCTCTAAAGCCAGAGAATAAGAAGATACAAAAACAATACTGTTCTATTTCAACAGTGCACACAAAACAAAACAGATTTTGAAACGAAACACATTTGATACAGATGATAACTCCAAATGTATCACACTTTTTCAGAATGTAATGTTAGTGTGTAAATACTACACCACCAACTGCTCCCTTTAAATTCACCGTTTCTGTGACATCACAAAAAATCAGACTCCGCCCTTTCACGCCGACGTTATAAGCAGTGTTTCAGCCCAGACTGTTCTTTAAATGAGGGCAGATCAGAACTGAGCTCGATTAGATACATCAGTCTTGAAGGAACAGTAACAAAATGGACATGCAGAAATGAATTATGGGTGGTTTGGTTCATAAAACCACACAAACATTATAAGTGAACTTTATGGAAATGAAATAAATACATGGCAAATGTACTAAATGGGGCCCTTTAATAACCACACGTTTGTGAGTGAAGCAGAAATAATTAATTGGGGAAAAAAAAAAAACTTAACTGCAATAAATCTCGTTAATAAGGTAATAATAGATTGTAAAGCTGTATACTGTGCGAACTGTTTTTGCTCTTTATAGTGTTGAATACAGCCGAACATGGTTGTATATTCGCAGAGTGTCATGTAGCACCCGAGCATTTATCCCCTCCAGACTCTAATTATATTTTGGGGCACACAAAAATGAAAAATCAAATGCTAATAATCGTTCATAATTAAGCACTAGAACACGAGAGAGAGAGAGAGAGAGAGAGTGCTATTCGTGATAACACACTCCTCAAGTGTTCTATTGCTTTTAATACAACAGTTAAATAAATAAAGAAATTAATGAACTGGGTTGTGAACGCGGCGTTTAATATGTTTTAATGTTCGCAGTTCCTTCACCAAATTATAGATCCTTAACAAGCAGCTTAGTGTCGTCTCATCTTCAGAGTCGGACCAAATCGGCTGTCGGTCAAATGTGATCTTAAAAGTGTCCGTTTTCTGTTTGTGTCAAAGTAAGAAGTAAAAACGTTCAAATAGCTGAATGTCTCCTACAGCTGTCAAAGTCGTTGCTTAGCAACGGCGTCTCAGCGGAGTGATACGGTGTTTGTGAAAAACCGTGATGTTATGGTGAAATAACAGCACAGTTAGAACACCTCTCAACCAATCAGCTCGCGTGGCCGGAGCGAACTGTTGTATAATTCCTGTTAATTGATTCCAATTACAGTGTAGGCATTTAAGAGTTACTGGAAGAAAACCTGAACACAACCCAAATTCACAGTGATTTGATTTGTCCTCACTAACCCCAAGGACTTCATACTCCGGAGGGCGGGAACTCGGTTGGCCTGGAGGTTGGTTAAGTAAACCTGCCGTTGGTCGCCTTGGAAACTGCACCGCGAGTTCCTTAACTGAAGGGCGAAGCTCTGTGTGGGACGAGTCATGTGACCGGGCTGCCGCAGGGACGAGCGCGGTTTAGCTTCAAAATCAAAGACAATACAAACAAACGAGCAAAACAAGCAGAAGACAATTTATACAATACATTAACATAAAAGCAAACACATGTAAATGAGCTCTGTTTTATATAGATGCACTTTGTAGTTCTACAGTTACAGACTGTAGTCCATCTGTTTCTCTGCATACTTTGTTAGCCCCCTTTTACCCTGTTCTTCAGTGGTCAGGACCCCCATGGACCCTCACAGAGCAGGTACTATTTGGGTAGTGGATCATTCTCAGCACTGCAGTAACACTGACGTGGTGGTGGGTGTGTTAGTGTGTGTTGTGCTGGTCTGAGTGGATCAGACACAGCAGTGCTGCTGGAGTTTTTAAACACTGTGTCCACTCACTGTCCACTCTATTAGACACTCCTACCTCGTCAATCCACCTTGTAGATGTGAAGTCAGAGATGATAGCTCATCTGCTGCTGCACAGTTTGTGTTGGTCATCCTCTAGTCCTTCATCAGTGGTCACAGGACGCTGCCCACAGGACGCTGTTGGCTGGATGTTTTTGGTTGGTGGACTATTCTCAGTCCAGCAGTGACACTGAGGTGTTTAAAAACTCCAGCAGCACTGCTGAGTCTGATCCACTCAGACCAGCACAACACACACTAACACACCACCACCACGTCAGAGTTACTGCAGTGCTGAGAATGATCCACCACCCAAACAGTACCTGCTCTGTGAGGGTCCTTGGGGGTCCTGACCACTGAAGAACAGGGTAAAAGGGGGCTAACAAAGTATGCAGAGAAACAGATGGACTACAGTCTGTAACTGTAGATCTACAGAGAGAAAGAGCAGAGCAGAAATTTCACAAACTGACTTGTGGGAAAGGCATCCTATGACTGCCATGTATGATCCATTTTACTGCCAGTGTTTGTCTATGAAGACTGTACGACTAGTGTCCACATACTTTTGGCCACACAGTGTATGACATCAATTTCAGCACATTTAAGAGAAATATTGAAGTGAGTTGTGGTCAGACATGCTGGGCATTTCTAAACCTGACACAAATTCAGTGATACACTTCATGGAAAAGCTGCTCCGAAACAGAGTGGACGTGAGTGTCTGTTACCGCTGTGTGTGAACAGTGAGGAGGACTTGGCCCTCATGTGGCAGTTCAGGAGCTGAGAACGTCCCGTCTTCTTCGCGTTCTTCTGTCGAGCGACCAGCTGGGCAATGTGCGCCGTCTCCTCACAAACAGCCGCAAAGCACACCACCTACCAAACACATTAACTGTTTACACACTGCCAAACCACAATCTCTCTTGGCTACTTTTGTGAGGCTGAATAAGCAGGAAGGGTTTCTGGTTTCTGCACAGCACTGTACCCTTAAAAGTGTGCCTTCTCACGTGCACACACTAGAAAATGAATAACTCACTTGAAAAGTATGTACTTTAGGGCTGCAACAAACGACTAATTTGATAGTCGAATAATCTAACGATTACTGAACCGAATAATGGATTATTCGGATTATAAATCACTACGTTACCAAATAACCTTTATGCGGCTATTGGCTTTTAAATTTACCTTGAGGCTGTTTTATGCATTTGCTAACAACGAAAACAAAAAAGATGAATAACATTCAAGAATTCACAATTTTAATGAACTTACAAAAGATAAAAAAATAAAATTCCAATATATTTTCCTGTCAAACTTTATAACCAAGGATGTGCAAAGTAACAGCAATGAAATAACAAAAACAATCAGTTTTCCTTTAATCAAATAAATAAATAAAAAAATCTATCTAAATTTAAATGTTAACTATAAACAGTGCAGTCTGTGATCTGTGCACTCTGCTGTCTGTCTACACTTTGATGCAAATAAATTCTGCAATCACAGGTCTTCAGTGAAATGGATGTAAGTCAGTGTCTCTCCATGCTCCTGTGAGAGTCTCGCTCTCCTCTGAGAGCAGATACCCCCCCCCCACTGCAGAGAAGATGCGCTTTGATGGAGCGGATGGGAAAGTGGACAACATTTGTGGAAAACTTCTCTATGAACAGTTAAATTTGAACGATTTTGTGTAAACACTTCATTTCAGCAGTAACCCTTCGTCCAGCTGCCCTGTATGTTCAGGCGTCAGAACTGCTGGACTATTTAAGGTGGAACAGGAAAGTTAGCTAGCTAGCTACCGAGGCATTAGCATACTATTAATGATTTTTTTATGCTTGTTATGAAGAAAACGACCAAAATACACTGAAACGACATTAAACTAAGATAAAACAGTGATTATCGTAATTTTTTAATGGAGAAAATTCTCACGTGTGGGTTTCTTTGGTCTCTTGTTCAGCCGTCTTGCCGTTTTTTTCCTCATATCACTCTGTTTGGAGTCTCTGAAAAACCTCCGTTTGGAGGGCCATGTAGCCCTAACACTTCACCCTCCCCCCCATCTCTAAAACGTTCCTAGTGAGCGCGAGAAAGACGCGTAATGATGTCACCAACTAATTGACTACTAAATTAGTTGCCAACTAATTTGGTCGTCGATTTTAGTCGACTAAGTTGAACATTTATTGTACCCCTAATGCACTTTGCACAGTGCACTGCTACAGAGCATCAAACCACATGTTGTCAATCATGGAATATCCACTAAAATATGGAATTTAATCCATTTGTGTTCTATTTCTTCACAGTTATCTCAGAATAAAGTCGGTCACACCAGTGACTTCAGCTAAAAGCTTCAAATGAAATCATGAGCTAAATGAGAAAATCTCTGATAACTGAAAGACACAGTGGACTCACCATGAGCTTTTCTTCATAGATCTACAGAAAACAGGTAAAAGGAAGTCAAGTGATGTCATCAGTGTGACTTTTATTTTAAAATAATTATATATTTTATAATATTTACTTAGCATTTGTTTCCTTTGTCATTTACATCATATATTCCAGTCATGTAGAGATTACTGCAGTTAAAATGGCAGAAAAACATGCTTTTTTTTTTTTTCTTCAAAATATGGCCTCAGCCTTCACACATGACTGTGCGGATGAGCTCTTCTGTGGTGCTTGGAATTCTAGATAATTGATTTAAAATCCAATATTGCTGAATTGTTTTATTTAAAAATATAAATAAACTGTAACCCTAACATGTTTTTCAAGTGTCGTCATGATGACCCCGGCTTCCTATCACCACCACTGTAAAGAGTCTCTAACTGTTTGTTTACGTGTTGACCACTGAATTCTGTAGAAGTTTGGTAAAGTTGTGTAAGTGCGCCTCACCTCTCCGGTGCGTGAGCGTTCGAGGCGCACCACGCTGGGGATGGAGCGCAGGAAACTCTCCAGGCTGGAGTGACCGAGCTGCCTGTGCTGGATAAAGTCTCCGGTCAGAGAGCGGTAATCGGACTGCAGCCGCGTCAGAACCACACCGTGTTTGCTGCTCTGCAGCACGGCGCGCAGCATCTTCTTCACCAGCTCCACGTCGGACATCCTAAAACACACACATTACACCGACATCGTCTTCAGCAGGTCAACATCGGTCACTTGAAACAGGAGCAAAGAAGCAGAACCTTCATCATCAGGTCTAAATCAGTCCAAACATACACAATACACTCTGTGCCCATTTCTCAGACATGGGTTAAGCCCAATCTTGGACTAAACTTAAGCCTCAATGGAGAATCCTTCATCTTAGCCTAGTGTCAGGTTTAAGATGGGCCTGGAAAGCCGGCCCTTTATATCCAAACGTTGGTAGGAGCTTCACTCCTGCTCCTCGAGTCTTTCTTCGGAAATAAAGGTTTTTAATAGGCGGTTTGTCCCCCTTTGCTGCAGTAACAGCCTCTACTCTTCTGGGAAGGCTTTACACGAGATGTGGAACATGCTGTGAGGATCTGATTGCGCATTAGTGAGGTCAGGTATTGATGTTGGATGATCAGTTCTGGGTCAGTCCAACTCATCCCAAAGGTACTGATGGAGCTCCATCAATCTAAAGCACACAGTTCCACAGCCCAGTGCTGGGGGGCTTTGTACCCTTCTAGCCCACGCTTGGCACTGGGTATGGTGACCTTAGGCTCATGCGTGGCTCCTCCAGAGCGTCCCATTTTATTGGTTAGTGCTTTTCCATGGTTTCCATTGTTGATTTTTTTTTAATCTACATAATTAAGTTAGTAAGATGCAAACAAAGTCATTCAGAGCGGTTTGGTGTGAAACGCATCGTTATATAGAACCTTCTAGAGAACTGTTCACAGTGGTGGTGATAGGAACCAGACGTCCACCTCTAAAATCTCCCTCACATAAAGTTATTACATGAAATGGTTACGAATTCACTGCCTGATGTCCGAGACACCGCTTTACGATTGATTTCTGATAACGTTTTGGCTGAAAATGTATTTTAATCCACTTATTTTATTATACACATGGTGGACAGGTACACACAGCGCACTGTGAGACAAAACAGTCCCTTAAGAAAATTTTAACTTATTATTTCAGATTTATGACTTTATCAACAACATTCCATGTAAAACATGAGAAGAGATGTCTAATTTCACTGGTGGTTTTGGATAGTAAATAAAATGTCTATATTTGTGTTGTAGACATAGGAACCGGGGTCACCATCTCCACCACTGTAGTGAAATCTGAGCCTCTACAATCAACCATTTCACACCAAACCACTCTGAATGACTCTGATTACATTTCTCCCACTACACCGGCGTTTTAGGGCCACTGTTGATAAAAATAAAAATAGTAGACTTCGAGAATAAAGTTGTACTATTTCGAGAATAAAGTCATAATATTTGGAGGATAAATTGGGCTAACTGTAGGGGGGCTGCCATAACGTGTTGGGGTCTCGGTTGCTGTACTGGCGCCGGAGCTCCACTCACTCCTGTCTCTCTGTGGATCATTTTGATCATCATTCTCACTGTCTGTGAAACTTCATGCCCTCTTTGAATGGGGGGAGATGTAGCCCCCGATAGCCGTGTAGACGACCCTGCCTGAGATTCTCCTTTCACAGTTTCCTCCGAGTCCGTCTGGCTCTTTATTCTAGATAAACACGGTTTCCTCCGAGTCCGTCTGGCTCTTTATTCTAGATAAACACGGTTTCCTCCGAGTCCGTCTGGCTCTTTATTCTAGATAAACACGGTTTCCTCCGAGTCCGTCTGGCTCTTTATTCTAGATAAACTCGGTTTCCTCCGAGTCCGTCTGGCTCTTTATTCTAGATAAACACGGGTTCCTCCGAGTCCGTCTGGCTCTTTATTCTAGATAAACTCGGTTTCCTCCGAGTCCGTCTGGCTCTTTATTCTAGATAAACTCGGTTTCCTCCGAGTCCGTCTGGCTCTTTATTCTAGATAAACACGGTTTCCTCCGAGTCCGTCTGGCTCTTTATTCTAGATAAACACGGGTTCCTCCGAGTCCGTCTGGCTCGTTATTCTAGATAAGCACAGTTTCCTGCTCAGCCTGGTCTTATCCTAATAACAGGCTGGTGCTGATGTGCAGGAGAGACAGGGAGACTGAGTGTTTCTTTATGGGTGAATCGATATGAAAGTAGAACTTCACCAACTCACCGCCCCTCATTTAACACCAGGAGGCGCTGCTTCCCTTCGCAAAGCCTTTGGCCTCAATATTGCGACCTTTCCTGGTATTGATGCCACTGTAATGTTGTAATTCTATTTTTTTTCTCGAAATATTGCGACTTTATTCTCGAAGTCTACTATTTTTATTTTTATGAACAGCGGCCCTAAAACACCGCCGTACTCCAACTGAATTAAGCAGAAATGTAGAAAAATGAGTGGAATTCCCCTTTAAATTTGCAGCATTTTCACAAAATCAATATTAAACACATTATTAGACACACAATATTTCTTATTTTATACTGTACACAAACCATCTTAAGGACGGAAGCGGTCACAAATTGGTTGATTTTACACGTAAAGCTACACATTATTTGGCCAAAGTCTTCTCCAAAGACTTTACCAGCCAGCTTTTGGCGCCCATCACGCTGACTAACCAAGGCTAATCTAAGCTAAGCTAAACTCGTACATAAAGCCAGTCGAGGTCATAAAACGAAGTCAGTGGTCAAACGTAGGAGTTAAAGTCGCGGTCGAAGTCCGTCCTAGAGGTTTCAAGTATTTACTGACAGACAGACAGTTCGCAGTGATTAATATGAACAAACCGGCTGCTTTTCTAATTCAGCTGGCCGGATAAAGAACCAGCCGTTAGCGATCTAGCTAAAGCTAGCATGTGTAGCTAACGCAACGGCACCTCCGGTGAAACGTCGCTTGTTTAATGTTAATTACGAAGCTAGAACTCAGTCTGGTATTGAGATAAGAGTCTAAAGTAATATCTAACAGATAAGAGCAAAGAGAAAGCTGTTAGTTAGTGTTACTGAGCTTAAACGTCGCTTAGCTAACTTAATGCTAGCGCTAGCCTTACTCGAATTTCCCGTTCCACCTTAAATGGGCCGGCCGTTCCATTCAGCTAACACGCACCTACGAAAAAATCGCCGAATAAACTCGTAAATAAGATGTCAGCTTTTTATTTGTAGGCTAACTGGAGTTTAAAGCGTACAGTAACCGACTAATACCCGATAAAATAACGTCCAGGCTTTCTTTGCCTATGTCTAACCTGATAAAGTCCGCTATAGCTCACAAACCCAGTGTTTACAGACTCACCCGAATTAAACCGTGGATAAAACGTTTTAAAACCAGCACCAGATGCTGTGTTAACGTGTTAAAACGTCTTAAAATCTCACCCGAGAGGCTGTCACTGTGCTGAACTGCGTTAATGAGCTCCTCTAGCTGCCTCTGCACAGCTGAACTCTGGCTGAGGTCGCTGAAGGGTCAAAAGGCGAGAGGGTCCCTCACTGTCTGTGGATTTTAGACCTTTAATTCTTCGGAATAAAGAAGAAAAACGTTGTGGAAAAGATGTGAAAAACATATACAGAATATATTGGATGGTAATCTAAGAAGATTTAACTCACAGTCCAGGACATACATGACTGATCCTCTGGTTTATAAGGACGCATGGATGGATTTATGCCCACTTTCAGTGTAAGAGGAAAAATCTACAGAGCCTTTTAGGAGATATCATTCATTTTTAATAAGGCGTGGCCACAAGTTAATATATTGAGGCCACGAATTACTATACTATGATTGTAACTTTCTCATAAGTCATGGCTTCAACATATTAATTTGTGGCCTTAAAATAGTAATCTGTGGCCTCAATATAGAAATTAGGGCCTAATGTATTTTATATATTTTATAGATTATTTTGTGGCCTTAATATAGTACACCCCCATTTCCAAAAAAAAGTTGGGACGCTGTGCAGAATGTTAATAAATACAAAATGTAATGATGTGCAAATCATTTAAACCATACATTTAATTGAAAATAGTACAAAGACAACAAATCAAATGTTGAAACAGAGGAATTTTTATTGTTTTTTGAAAAATATAATCAATTTTTGTTTGATACAGGATTTCAACTGATCATCAGTTCAGGGTCTCCTTTGTCGTATTTTTCATTTCACAATGCGGCAAATGGTTTCAGTGGTGACAGGTCTGGACTGCAGGCAGGCCAGTTTAGCAGCAGAACTCTTTTAATACAGAGCACTGCTGCTGTAATACATGCAGAATGGGGTTTGACATTGTCCTGCTGAAATAATCAAGGCCTTCCCTGAAAAAGACGTCGTCTGGATGGCAGCATATGTTGCCAAAATATGTATATATCGTTCAGCATTAATGGCGCCTTCACAGATGTGCCAGTCACCCATGCCATGTGCACTAATGATCCCCTATACCATCATGAATCCTGGCTTTTGAACTGTGATAACAAGCTGAGGGGTCTTTAGCCCGGAGGACACAGTGTCCATGATTTCCAAAAAGAATTTCAAATGTTGATTCGTTGGACCACAGGACACTTTTCCACTTCGCCTCAGTCCATTTTAAATAGGCTCAGGCCCAGAGAAGGTGGCAGCGTTTCTAGATCCTGTTTATTTATGATTTCTTCTTTGCATTTAAGAGTTTTAATTAGTGTTTGTGGATGCAGCAACAAACTGTTTTCACAGACAGTGTTTTTTCAGAAGTGTTTCTGAGCCCATGCAGTGATTTCCACTACAGAATCATGCCTGTTTTTAATGCAGTGCCGCCTGAGGGCCCGAAGATCACAGCCAGCAAATGCTATTTTTTGGCCTTGTCCCTTGCATACAGAGATTTTTCCAGATTCTCTGAATCTTTTAATGATATTATGTACCGTAAATGATTAAAGGCAAAAGTTCTTTGCTATTTTATGTTGAGAAACGTTAATCTTGAATTGTTGCAGTCTTTCACAGAGCAGTGAACCTCTCCTCATCTTTACTTCTGAGAGACTCTCTGAGATGCTTTTTATACCCAGTCATGTTACTGACCTGTTGCCAATGAACCACCAGGTGTTTTTTTATTTTTTTTTTAGCATGACACAATTTTACTAGTCTTTTGTTGTCCCCGTCCCAACTTTTTTGGAATGTGTTGTTGGCATCAAATTCAAAATGGGCAAATATTTTTCAAAAAACAATACAATTTCTCAGGTTTAACATCTGTTATGTTGTCTTTTTACCATTTTCAATTAAATATAGGGTTCAAATTATATCCACATCATTGCATTTTGTTTTTATTCACATTTTGCACAGCGGCCTAACTTTTTTGGAAACAGGGTTGTATATTTAAAATATATTAAATACATTTTCCACAGGAGGTATTATTCTATTGAAGCAGAAAGGGCTATATAGGGTAGAGTGTCAGTAAGAGTTTAGAATAGGGAGAGCTTCAGATTTGATACACACTGTTAAACATAAAAAGTCTATAGTTAATTAAAAAAGAAGCACACAGAAGTCCACAGTTGACAGTTTATTTATTTTTCAGCTGCAAAACATCTCTCTCTCTCTCTCTCTCTCTCTCTCTCTCTCTCTCTCTCTCTCTCTCTGTCATACACACACATTATAAAACTGACATTTTCATTATGAAGTATCATCTGACATTTATTGGCACAGGTGGGTTAAATAAACCAGCCTACAGTCGTGCCAGTGCACAGTTACCTTAAAGGGGAAGTGTAACATTCATAATTAAGTGTTTGAGATGTGAACAGCGTCATTCAGACTGGTTTGGTGTAAAATGGTTGATTGTAGAGACTCAGATGTCTTTACAGTGGTGGTGATGGGAACCAGGGGTCTCCAAGACTACAACACAAGCATAGACATTTTATTTACTATCCAAAACCAGCAGTGAAACTACAGGAGTCTTAGAGTTTATTTGGAATGTTGATGATGGTAAAATATAAATCTGAATAAAATAACTTCATAAATCTAAAATAATAAGTTTTCTTTGGGAACTATTTTGCCTAACAACGCCCTGCACTTCATGTATCCCTCCACCATGAATGGATTTTGAGGCCAAAGTCTTCTCAAAACTATCATAAAACGGTGTCTCAGACATCAGGCAGTGAATTTATAACCATTTCATGTAGTAACTTTCTGCGAGGGAGCTTTTAGAGGTGGACGTCTGGTTCCTATCACCACCACTGTGAACCATTCTGCCATTTCACACCAAACCACTCTGAATGATTTTGTTTCCATCAATCAATTACACATAAAAAATGGTGCAGTTCTCCTTTTAATCATGCTGTAAATTTGGACCCGGCTGCAAATCCATTAGAGAAATATTTGTTTCATGCTATATGGATATGGGAAGTATTGAAATGAATAAAACTAAGAAACCAAGATATTATTACTGGTCATTCAAAACTGACCATATAGACATTTTTTAGGCAGTTTATTATTCCTAACTTGTATCTACATGGCCATTTTACAAGAAACACCTTCCATGCAGGTGCACTTTGTAGGTTTACAGTTAAAACTGTAAGAGACTGGTCAGAAACTGACCACTGATGAAGGACTAGAGGATGACCAACTCAAATTGTTGGAGTACAAACAAGGAGATACAAGGGAGGGGTTTCCGATAAAGTGGCCGGTTGTGTGTAGTAGTAATTATTGAGGCAAAATGAGTCTTTCTGAAGTTTTCTTTTAAAGGGCCTGTATCAAAGAAAAAATGAACTTGTTTTTTTTTGTTTGTAAACATTGTAAAAAGGTACAAAACACACCCGTCGCTCTGTCCACACTGTCCATAGTGGGAAACTGAGCTGCGAAAACAGCCCGTTTTGACTCTCACTGATTTTGTGATGTCACAAAAACCAGCTAATTTGCATATATATTCGGCCTACAGCAGTGTAGCCCTGGCCACTCACAGACAGAGTGTTTCAGCACAGACTGCTTTTTGAACAAGGCAATCAGAACAGAGCTCATTTGCATACATCAGTCTTAAAGGTGCAGTAAGGAAAACAGCCTGTTTGGTTCTAAGGGAAAAAGAGAGGCCGGAAAATTGAATCACGGCCTACGATATGTTTTTGAATCATGAACCCACGTAAGCAGAACAGGTGGACCTCAAAAGGAAAAAATAAAGTGTAAGAAAAATGTAGGATTTGGTCACTTTAATTGACCGTACAGGTCCTAGATCAGCACTTCTGCTCCGATCATGACAGCGTAGACTCATATAGCCACTAGGTGGTGCTGCAGGCAGACTAATCATTCCTGCCTTTGTGTAGGACCTCGTGATCTTTAAATCCACCACGGCTCCTTGCCGTGCTCAGGGGTCAGACAGCTTTGGCTGAACCGTCATGCGATCTTGACCATAGAGGTCATCGCCCGGGCGATGGCCAGAGGGTCCTGAGGGACCGGACTCTGTCGCTTCCTCAGCAGGATGAGCTTGGGGTTCTTCAGCAGAGTGTAGAAGAGGAGCCAGCGCACACGAATTCTGCCCCCTCCTGGACAGTCTGAGGGGGACAGGACATATTTACATTTAAAAACGCTTATGTAGGATGGAAGTAGGTGCACGGAACGAATAGAGGGATTACACAACTTTTGAGGCAAAAAAAATGGAGACAAGCGAAAAACATGTCCTTATTTCTCACATTAAGTCGGCACCATGGAAGGGAGCCAAGCACAGGTGGTTAAAGCCGACTCCAGCAAAGCCAAACTCGCTGGAGCCCCGACAGAATTAGCCCCAGGCGGGTCTGAAATGCATCCCTAAAAAGAGAGGTGGACTAGTGGACATGTTGGCGTCCCACTGGCCTTCCATTTCCACCTGCAGCAAACTCACATCAGAACGAACCAGACAGCCCAGAGGGTCTTCACAGTAGGTCAGTGGGCTTTACTATGAAAACTTCACAGTGTAGCTAAACGCTGCAGGCAGACACTTTACACATCAGGCATTACGCCGAATGCTGACTCCCCTTTAGCGTACAGACACCACAAGCTCTGTTTGTTGTTGTTTATTCTGATTATATAATGTTGAATTTATCCAGAGGGGTCCAAAAGTCTGAGACCCCTTTAAAAATCTGGGATGTTTTTCATTTAAACCTGGAAATAATCAACAAAGAAAAGTCGTAACAATTAAAATGAAAAACAAATACGCACTAGATCATTATTCAAATGTATGCAAATTTCAGACACTGACCACGTTAAGGCCTTTAAAAAAGGTCAGATCGTTTGTAGTCTTGTCTCTTCTATTGAAGCTCGTGTTCAGACGACTCTGAGGAGGATTTGATCTACTGATCAGAGGCTTTTGTCGCTGTTAGTGATCAGAGTCGTGCCAGCTTGAGGACCATTATAAAAAAATTCTGAAATTCAGGTAAATATTTCGAAGACTTTAAGTTTCATTCAAATTGTTATCCTGTTAATATCATTTGCAATAAATACTTTGTATTAAGTTAGAAAAAATGCAAAATAGAAGCATTTTCAGACTTTCAGACCTCACTGTTTATGTTTATTAAATAGAAAAAAAAAGAAGAACAGAACTTGAAAGTAATCTAGAGTCCAAATATCTGCATACATGCAAAAGGGATGTTGGATTCAGAAGAGGAGTCCGAATTCAGCACAACACCTGGCTGCCCACGTCATACTGTGTCCTAAACCATATTGACAAGCCTGTGATGAAGACCCGAATGTGGTTTGAGCGTGTTGAGAGACGGTTTGAGGATGTATTTGCAGACAAGATTTGGGTGACTATTGACTTCTAGTGTTTGGTAGCAACATTAGCCTTGTAGCTCTAGCGCTGAACTAAAGAAGCGAAATTTGGACCCCAAACATTTCTCGGACAATCGACTGCTACTAAGGAAAGTGGACAAATATGCACGTTTGATTTTTCGTTGAACTGTTCCTTTAAGCGCAGCACAAAATTCGCAATAAACGAATGAATGTATTATTAATAATCAATACGAACACATCTTCCAACCTGCATTGTCGAACTGTGAGTAAGCATTAGCTGTCCGTCTCTCCAGGGTGCGTTTGAGCAGCAGGTGGCAGAAACAGACCATAACCGGGTTGCTATGGTAATGATCCGCCATGATCATTCCTATCCAGGTACAGTAACCTGGAGAAACAGAATTAATTGATTAATTAATTGATTAAATGCATGTTATTGACAGACTTTCCTTCTAGATTCCTAATTTCCAAATAGTTCAGTTCAGTTATTTGTATGGCACTTTCAATAGACTCGCTTATATATGCAAGTCTATTAGGAATGACTTGAAGGGGTACTCCACCAATATTTCAGAATTCCAATATAATTAAATGGCTAATATGTACATAAACTCATTCAGAGTGGTTTGGTGTAGTTTCACTGGTGGTTTTGGATAGTAAATAAAATGGCTATATTTGTGTTGTAGTCATGGCGACCCCTGGTTCCTGTCAGCACCACTGAAAAGAAAAAGAGTCTCTACAATCAACCATTTCACACCAAACCACTCTGAATGACTCTGTTTACATCTCAACCCCTGAATTATGCAGACTTTTTGGAAAATGGGTGGAATTCCCCTTTCAGTTATGTGGCTAAACTGAGAAATCCTGCTTTATCCTACTCTCAGCTCTAGTTCTACCTGGATCCATGGACTCATAGCCCCGCTGCATGATGGTCCGGTCGATGCGAGACACGAGCCAGGTACCCACAATGCAGCTGTTCAGCAGTCGTAAGATGCAGTTGCTCAGCCCCATGATGACGTTGTAGAAGAAGAAGAAGTAGTTAAAGTTGTGGAAGGCTTTTCTGCAGGAGAGCGAAAATACAGTGTCTGTTATATCAACTGCAGTCTGGCTGTCATACATGATTAACCCTTTAACGACGCTTAATAGTTATATAGAACTTAAAGGGCTCATGTGCTGCATTTTTCCTCTATTTTATTTTGCCCCCAGAGGTCCACTTCTGATGTCTGTGCACTTTTTTGTAAGAGTCAGAATTCATGTTTCCTCCTGTTTCTCATTTACTTTTCCAAATTTCCAACCTATCTTTATCTCTTAGAATTAAGAATTTGTTTCTGTTACCGCACTTTAAGATTGGTATGGATGTGGGCAAATGTTTGAAGATGTTTTGTTCATTTTCAAGTGAAAATAACATATTCTCTAATAATTTTAGTGCACCGATTCTACTCATTCGCTGAGTTTAACATATTGTGGAAAAATAAACCATAAAAAAAACATGAAATGTGCCGTTACTTTTGCACAGACAGCATTTTATGTCATGTTTTTTTTCCCCAATATGTTAAAATCAGCGAATAAATAGAATCTGTGCAGTAATTGTAATTCAAATATGCAGAAGAGTCTTGTCTGTAAAGGATGTGTTCACTTATTTTATTGACTTAGAAAATACATGTAAATTGACCATGGGGCGCCCAAACTTTTGCACACAGCCGTATATGTAAATGAGCTCTGTTCTGATTGGCTATGCCTCGTTCAAAGAACAGTTGAAACTCTCCTTATCACTTCGGCGTGAATGGGTTGAAAATACTGCAGAAGTAAATGTGTGTGACATCACAAAAACATGGATTGATTTAGCAGCTGAGTTTCTGTACCTTACAGTAATCTCTCTTATTCTACCAGTCAGTTTTCCACAGTATCTGCCCTTTAACAGTAGGTACCTGTTGTTGAGCGCGAGGGGCTTCTCCGGGTCCTCGGGTGACAGTTTGTCCTGCAGGAAGAAGATCCGAACCAGCAGAACCTGCAGGACCACCAGGGCGATCACTATGAAGATGGTGAGCCTGAGGACGGTCAACAACACTCGGTATGAGCTCATGCAGATTTACTGATCGTGCTAAAAGCCAGTGCTGTTAAAGTGGGCTCACAGCAAGAGGGCCAGGTGGGAGAACCAGGGCAGGAACCCTCCATTCCGAATGGGCAGCACCACCAGATACACAAAGAGGAGCGCAAACAAAAACTGGACGAAGTGGACGATCAGGTAGCCTGCAGATGACATCGATGGGTGTAATTTCAGTTTCAATAAAATTTTGGTTTCTTTTGATTTTTGATATTTTATGACTCTACAGAGCTCTAATTCTGTTCTAGATTGGTTTGGCTCAGATAAATAAGGGTTCTCCAGTAGAACTTTAACGCCTTCCCAAAAATCGTAGAATTTAGTAGCTCTTCAGAAGAAAAAAAACAGCCGTTTGAGTGTAGGTGTGTCCCCAGTTTAAGCTCCGCCCACTCTGCTCTGACACGATGCATCCAGAGGTCTAGTCAGAGAAGGTGCAGTGAAGAGAATTGACGCTCAAGGGTGGTCAAACACTAGAGGGCGCTACTGAGCCAGTCCAAAATGAATGGGCGCTCATGTACAAAATCTGCAGAGGGGCATCCAGGGGTACCAAAAAAAGAAAAGACAAAAAACTATGTACACATTAAAGACTATTTTAATTCCAGGTGGTTGCTAGGCAGTTGCTATGATATTTCTGGTGGATGCTAGGATGTTGGTTGGTGGTTGCAATGGAATCCCATGTGGTCGCTAAGGTGTTGCTAAGTGTTTGCTATGGTATTTCAGGTGGTTGCTAGGGTGTTGCTAGATGGTTGCAGTGGTATCCCACAAGGTTGCTACGGTGTTGAAAGTGGTTGCTTTGGTATCTTGGATGGTTACTAGGGTGTTGTTAGGTGGTTACAATGCTATTCCATGTGGTTGCTATGATGTTGCTAAACTATTTTGTTGTTGTTAGGGTGTTGATAGGTGTCCAGTGTGGTTTCTAGAGTGTTGCTATGTGTTTGCTATGGTGTCTCTAATTGTTGTTGCTTGGTGGTTGCAATGACATCCCACATAGTAGTTAGTGTGTTGCTAAATGGTTGCTATGAAATCTTTAGTGGTTTCTAGGGTGTTGCTATGTGTTTGCTATGGTGTCTTTAATAGTTGTTAGAGTGTTGCTTGGTGGTAACTATGGTATCTAAGGTGGTTGCTGGGGTGTTGCAAGGTGTTTGCTGTGGTATCCCATGTGGTCAGGTAGTAACTATGGTATCTAAGGTGGTTGCTGGGGTTTTGCAATGTGTTTGCTGTGGTATCCCAGCTGGTCACTAGGATGTTGCTTGGTGGTAACTACGGTATCTAAGGTGTTTGCTGGGGATTTGCAAGGTTTTTGCTGTGGTCTTCCAGGTAGTCACTAATATGTTGCTAGGTGGTTGTTGGGGCATACAAAGTGGTTTCAAGGGTGTTGCTATGTGTTTGCTATGGTATTTCAGGTGGTTGCTAGGGTGTTGCTAGATGGTTGCAGTGGTATCCCACAAGGTTGCTACGGTGTTGAAAGTGATTGCTTTGGTATCTTGGATGGTTACTAGGGTGTTGTTAGGTGGTTGCAATGCTATTCCATGTGGTTGCTATGATGTTGCTAAACTTTTTTTGTTGTTAGGGTGTTGATACGTGTCCAGTGTGGTTTCTAGAGTGTTGCTATGTGTTTGCTATGGTGTCTCTAATTGTTGTTGCTTGGTGGTTGCAATGACATCTCACATAGTAGTTAGTGTGTTGCTAAATGGTTGCTATGAAATCTTTAGTGGTTTCTAGGGTGTTGCTATGTGTTTGCTATGGTGTCTTTAATAGTTGTTAGAGTGTTTCTTGGTGGTAACTATGGTATCTAAGGTGGTTGCTGGGGTGTTGCAAGGTGTTTGCTGTGGTATCCCATGTGGTCAGGTAGTAACTATGGTATCTAAGGTGGTTGCTGGGGTTTTGCAATGTGTTTGCTCTGGTATCCCAGGTGGTCACTAGAATGTTGCTTGGTGGTAACTACGGTATCTAAGGTGTTTGCTGGGGATTTGCAAGGGTTTTTGCTGTGGTCTTCCAGGTAGTCACTAATATGTTGCTAGGTGGTTGTTGGGGCATACAAAGTGGTTTCAAGGGTGTTGCTATGTGTTTGCTATGGTATTTCAGGTGGTTGCTAGGGTGTTGCTAGATGGTTGCAGTGGTATCCCACAAGGTTGCTACGGTGTTGAAAGTGATTGCTTTGGTATCTTGGATGGTTACTAGGGTGTTGTTAGGTGGTTGCAATGCTATTCCATGTGGTTGCTATGATGTTGCTAAACTATTTTGTTGTTGTTAGGGTGTTGATAGGTGTCCAGTGTGGTTTCTAGAGTGTTGCTATGTGTTTGCTATGGTGTCTCTAATTGTTGTTGCTTGGTGGTTGCAATGACATCCCACATAGTAGTTAGTGTGTTGCTAAATGGTTGCTATGAAATCTTTAATGGTTTCTAGGGCATTGCTATGTGTTTGCTATGGTGTCTTTAATAGTTGTGAGAGTGTTGCTTGGTGGTAACTATGGTATCTAAGGTGGTTGCAGGGTTTTGCAATGTGTTTGTTGTGGTATTCCAGGTGGTCACTAGGATGTTGCTTGGTGGTAACTACGGTATCTAAGGTGTTTGCTGGGGTTTTGCAAGGTTTTTTGCTGTGGTCTTCCAGGTAGTCACTAATATGTTGCTAGGTGGTTGTTGGGGCATACAAAGTGGTTTCAAGGGTGTTGCTATGTGTTTGCTATGGTGTCTTTAATAGTTGTTAGAGTGTTGCTAGGTGGTAACTGTGGTATCTCAGGTGGTTGCTGGGGTTTTGCAAGGTGTTTGCTGTGGTATCCCAGGTGGTCACTAGGATATTGCCAGGTAGTTGCTATGGTATCTTACAAAGATGGGTGTTGCTAATGCACTTGTATTATGTTGACATAAGAGCGATGCACAAACATTTTGGTCGGCGTTTATTACTATGGTGAAAAAACACATTATTTAACAACCGAGAGATGGAATTTTCTTAAAGATTGTTTAAAATGATGTTAATAAAAATAATTAAATCTCTTCACGAACCAGGCTAGTCAGACTCTTATTAATAATCAATATAAAATCAGTAAATATCCAATAAGGATCATCATTATGCTTGCAATAAAATAAATGATCAGTTTGGCATCTTATTTAAAATGTATTTTGACATTAGCAATAATAAGTGAGCTGATGCCCTTGACAAGGCCTTAGCTGAGGATAGATATTAGATATTAGATACTTAGATATTTTGTAAAATGTAAAATGCCAACTACCAAAGAGAAAATTAACATTAACAGTGTTAACAGATCTTGTTGGTTATGGGAGCAGGTTTACAGGATCACTCACCCCACAGTGTGAAGGCAATCTGCCAGCCAGAGTAGCGAGTAATAGCAGCCTGGAGGAGAGGAGTTATCAATGATTACTGTTACCTTCACTGTAGCTCTTTGTTTCTAACTCATAGAGAAACATACATACACTGATCCACACGTATACATGGAATCACACTGATGAATAACTCACCACGCTAACAGCTGAGCTGGGTTTGTGGAACCGTTGTGGTAAAAAGCTCTTCTCTCCCACCCACAGCCTTTTGATATGCTTCCTGTGATCAATCAATCAATAAATCAATCAATCAGTTAAACCTAAACTTAAGCTAAAATTAAACTGCATGTCTCTGCATATCTTGTTTATCTTTTCTTTAATAGTTCCCATCACTGTGTATGAGCAAGAGTGGACATTAGGTGTGATGTGCATGAGAACAAAAGGTGATGCCAGGTTTTATACATTGTTGTTAGGTGGTTGCTATGGTATCTCTGGTGGTTGTTAGGGGGTTGCTTTGGCATTGCAGGTGGTTGCTATGGTATTCCAGGTGGTTGCTAAGGTATTTCTGGTGGTTGCCAGGATGTTGCTAGATGGTTTCAATGGCATCCCGTGTGGTTGCTAGGCTGTTGCTAAGTAGTTGCTATGGTAACTCTGGTGGTTGCTGGTTTCTAGGGTATTGCTGTGTGTTTGCTATGGTGTCTTTAAGCAATTCCCTGATATTACTAGGGTGTTGTTAGGTGGTTGCTATTGTATCTCTGGCGGTTGCTAGGGGGTTGCTTTGGCATTGCAGGTGGTTGCTGGGGTGTTGCCAGGTGGTTGTTATGATATCTCTAGTGGTTGCTAAAGGGTTGCTTTGGCATTGCAGGTGGTTGCCAGGGTGTTGCTAGGTGGTTTCAGTGGCATCCCATGTGGCTGCTAGGGTGTTGCTAAGCAGTTGCTATGGTAACTCTTTTGGTTGCTATGGTATCCAAGGTGGTTTCTAGGGTGTTGCTGCATGTTTGCTATGGTGTCCTTAAGCAGTTTCCTGGTGCTGCTCGGGTGTTGTTAGGTGGTTGCCATGTTGTCTGTGGTGGTTGCTAGGGGTTTGCTAGGATGTTTCTCTGGCAGTACAGGTGGTTGCTGGGGTGTTGTAATGGTATTCCAGGCATTTGCTAGGGTGTTTGCTAAGCTGTTGCTATGGTATTCCAGGTGGTTGCTAGGGTGTTTCTAGGTTGTTGTTATGATATCTCTGGTGGTTGCTAGTGTGTTGCTAGGTGTTTGCAATAGAATCCCAGGTGGTTTCTAATCTGCACATATTTAGAGGGTCTGATGATGATCTGTTGTGTTTGAAGCTGAACTATGTTTCAATGTTTTTTTTTACCTGTAACACGCTAACACATGGAAAGTGTAGGTAACTGATGTCAGTGTGGCGAACAACGTTGTGGCAAACCAGGCATCTAGAAAACAAACAATTATATAGATAGATAGATAGATAGATAGATTTTTGTTATAAATAGAAAAATATATTATTGATTTTATCACATTGATATTATTTTATTATAGACATATAGACAGATAGATAGATTTCTGTTATAAATAGAAAATTTTCTTATTTATTTTATTGCACATTAATATTTTTTATTTAAGGTAGATAGATAGATAGATAGATAGATAGATAGATAGATAGATAGATTTGTTATAAATAGAAAAATGCATTATATTTTATTATATATTAATATATTTTTTATTATAGATAGATAGATAGACAGACAGACAGATAGATAGGTTGATTCTATCTCACTCCATGCCACGTGGGTGAACTCCTTCAGATACGGCAGTAGAGTGAAGAACAGATTGTCTGTCTCATTCAGTGAGTGTGTCATGTCCTCCAGAGAGTCCGTCACAGACACCAGTGTAGAGAAGACATAATCACTGAGGCTGTAGTCTACCAGAGTCACCTACACACAGACAGAACACACAAACTCCTTTACTGACTCTTAATGAAGACATAATCACTGACGCTGTGGTCTACCAGAGTCACCTACACACAGACAGAACACACAAACTCCTTTACTGACTCTTAATGAAGACATAATCACTGACGCTGTGGTCTACCAGAGTCACCTACACACAGACAGAACACACAAACCCCTGTACTGACTATTAATGAAGACATAATCACTGACGCTGTGGTCTACCAGAGTCACCTACACACAGACAGAACACACAAACTCCTTTACTGACTATTAATGAAGACATAATCACTGACGCTGTAGTCTACCAAAGTCACCTACACACAGACAGAACACATATTTCTGTACTGACTATTAAAGATATAATCACATACTGAATCTGTATTTTCCTCTTTCAAATTAAGGTCTTGAAAATTCAGGTTTAAAAAATCAAGTTTAAAAATTCTGTTTTAAAAAAATTCAGGTTGTAAAAATTTCAGTTAATAAAAAAAGCAGGTTTAAAAAATTCTGTTTTAAAAAATTCAGGTTGTAAGAAATTCAGATCATAAAATATTCAGGTTTAAAAAAATTCAAGTTAAAAAAATCTGGTTGTAAGAAATTCAGGTTTAAAAAAAATAGGTATAAAACAATTCATCCAAAAGAATGAACTATACAAAATGCAGCAACTGCTGGGTCATTTGGGGAGGGGCTTTGCATAGATAGACCAACAAGGACCCAATGACCTGTGAGCTGCCTAGTGATTGGCCATGATTGAGTTTAATATAAGATCCAGGCAAATGTGCTCTTCTTTAAGTCCTCTAGATGTTTCCCTGAATTTCAAACAACCTGAATTTACACTGCCTTGTGAATATGAGGAGCTGCATTTTATACAGTTAAAATTTTTGCAACCTGAATTTCTAAACCTGATATTTTTCTAACTTGATTTTTATGACCTTAATTTTTTAAACCTGTATTTTTATTTGTATTTTAGACTCAGTATATTCAAATATCTAAACTTCACAATGAACATGTTCCAAAATATCAAATTAGGCATGTTCTACATCATTCTAACTCACAAATCGATGCCTTGGTTTGTACCTTCAATGTTAAAATGAACAGTTTGGTCACAATAGACTTTTATAATAAAACATAATAACAATATAAGCTGGTGATTGAAATAATTATTAGTGATATTACAGCTGAGTGAAGTACATGAAAACTAACACAGCTAGCTAGCTACACTCAGTTCTGACTGTTGTCAGTTTCTGTGGAAGACTTTGAGAGCAAAACCCTGCAAGCCCACACGCACTGACCATGTAGAGTCCGATGAGGGAGATGACGGCGGTGCCGATCATTCTGTTGGGGAATTTAAAATAAGGATCCCAGTCGTAAATCTTCCTCCTGAACCAGCTCTTCTCCACCAACCTGCAGTAGAACACGTAGATCAGGCTGTGTGTGAGGGACTCCACAGTGTCTCCCGGATCTCGCTGCCTTTTTGTGATGGTTGCAGTGGATTTTCTCAATATATGCAGAAATATTCATACATTGTTTGGGGGGAAGTTTGCCTTAAAACTACTGTAGAAGTTTGAGCTGATTGTGAGCCTGATATCTTTCCTCACCTTGGTTTTAATGCTGCATAATTAGTTCCTGATAAAGAACTAGGGAGATATAAATTGGAAATTCGATGCACCTCTGAATAGTACTCCCTAAATAGTGTGCTAGCTATGGAAGTTTAGAAATTCCAGCCTCTACAGCCAAATAGTGCATCATTTATCGAGTATGGCTGCTGTCGAATCCCAAAAACCTATTTTGTAACTATATTTTGCTCTGTTGGGCTGCAGGATCCAGTATTTAAATTACTATGTAGGGAGCAGGGAGCCATTTGAGATTCAGCCCCAGTGTGAGAAGAGGGGCAACAATTTGGTGACCAAAAAGTCAAGTCAAAGTTTATTTATATAGCACTTTTTACCCCATGAGCAAGTCAATGGTAAGGAAAAATCCCTAAGAACCAAGACTCAAAAGGGCACCCATCCTCCTCTGGTCGACACCGGATAGCAAGCAACGTTAGTACAAAATATTAAATATATATACTGTTGTTGGAAGAAAACCATATCTCTATTTTTGTAATTTTTCAGTTTTTGACATAATTTGAAAATGCCTGTTGCCCTTTACATTGTTTGTAAATTTCATGAAGAATAGACCACAAAGAAGCAGGCCCAAATTACTTCGAAAAACGTCTGGTTCCATAGACTTACATTAAAAGTAAAGTAGGTTTTCTTCCTTTTCCTGTAAAGTTTCCATTTTGGAGATACGAGGTTTTCTTCTGACAACAGCGATGTGTAATATATAATAGAATAAAAAAGTACTTAAAAAGCTAAAGCTTTGCTTCACGTTGTGCCTAACAACACCCTTCCCCGTGATAAAATCGCAGTAAAGTACCACTTCTCATGGCTTATTGCTTTAATGTATGTATATAATACAAATTTCAATTACATGCATGATGCAGACCTACTCCTCAACCAAGAATCTGATGTTTTTTTGCAACAATAAACACAAAATCATCCAAAAAGTGACATTTTGACATTTTATGACATTTTACAAGTAATGTTTCAGGATGGAAAAGTACTTGTTTTCTTATGTTTGTGCTCCACAACATTGTTGCCTGTATGAAGCATTTTCCACCCTGCTTTCATGTGAAACATTCGGGAGCCGGTTTGCTCTCATCCTTAGCTGAAATATTAATTGGCTAATGTGATCATCTCTGCATTATAACTTTTCTGTTTTCAAGATGGAATTGTCTTTGTGAGTTCTCTCGTTAAAGGAAAGAAACGTTTGTTATGCTTTAAAATAAAATGTACATTTTGGTTATTTATTTTTTTGAAGACCCCCAGCAAATTTTTTTAGTTTGTTTTGTTTTTTGTTGTTTGGTACCCCTGAGCTTTATCACCGTATGCTTTGTACTGCCTTAATCTTGATTCTGTGCTCAGTAGGTTGTTTGGAGTCACGTAATTCTGATGATACATGAAATCCAAATGTAGGGCAGGAAATGAAAAGCAGTCTGGATGAGATGGACACAAGCCCGTATTGTGCTGGTTTACACAATAATAGCAGAGAAAAATATAAACAGAACCATAACATCAATTCAACGTGATTTTCTGTTTATACATTTCTCTTGTAATATTGTTTAAATAGAAAATAATGTGATCTTTATGTTATGAAGATGAACGATATTTTAACTGAACTGAAAGAGGCAGCAGATACAAGCAGCTACCTCGTCCTTCAGACATCTTTCTAGTCAAGAAAACAAATGAGAGCATACAAAAGTATAGAGGCACAGCTTTATGAGGCTGAAGCTGGCTTTCTATTCAAATTTTCCCGTTCCACCTTAAATTGTCCAGCAGTTATAATTATAACGCCTGACGCAAGACTGTAAGAGCTGCACCATTTAAAGTGGAACAGGAAAATTGGAGCAGGAAGCTGGCATGGCAGGGTAAGTTATTCACATCTGCCTGTTTTTGTGTTAACCCTGATTTCAGTGTTAGTGGTGTTGTTTGTAGTTACTGTTTTAAATCTGAACCGTGAAGAATATAATACTCCACTCTCTGCAGACGAAGGCTTGCAAGCCATTTCTGCCAGAATTTTTGGTCAATGTCTTGCATTTTTCTCCCTTATGAACAACAACTTTTGGTTCTTGATAAAAGCTCCTTGTGGATCTCGGCTAGATCAATTTGAAGGACCATAAACTACGCAAACCATTGGCATTTTGAGAGCTTGGGACAGCTTCCTATGTAGATAATCATTTCCTGCCCTCCATCTGCAGTTCACGGCACAAAAATGCAGTGAAATGATGAAATCATATGCAAACAGGTTATTAAAAAAAAATCTCTGCAGTATCCACGTCTTCCCAGAATGCACTAAAGATGCACATTTACAATAAATGTGAAAGCATCTGTGCGACTTGTTGCATATATAATGCGGCGATTGGATAAAACTGCAAGCCCTTGCAAATATCGTGATGTTTGGCTGAATTTACGTAAGTTTGTTATCACAATTTCTGGGAATGATCATATAAGTGTTAATATATATGTCATATGTGATGATGTGTGTACCGTTCAGTTGGTCGTCTCAGTAGTGTTTGTACATATCTGAACTGATGAGACTGAACGAGCTTCTCTTCTTCCACCTACAACCCAAACACAAACACAGACACACACACACACACACAGGTTGTACTTGTATTCTGAGTTGGATGTTGGCAAAATTTCATGATGTATATGAAGTGTAAGAATAGCACAGCCACAGGTGGCAATTCCAAGGGGTCCAAGCACTTTTACCTATTAAATTACAATTTGCATTTTGAAGAAAATGCAGAGTGATTGCTAGGGTGTTCCTAGATGGTTGCTATGATATCCAAGAGGGTTGCCAGCGTGTATCTATGTGGTTTCTTCACTGTGGCTAAACAGTTGCTATCTTATCCCAGGAGGTGGGATAGTGTGTGGTTGCTATGGTGTCCAAGGTGATTGCTAGGGTGTTGCTGTGCGATTGCTGTGGTATTGGAGATGGTTGCTTGGATGCTCTTAGGTGGATACTATGATATCCTTAGTGGCTGCTAGATGTTGGGTGTCTGTGGTGTTCCAGGTGGTTGCTATGGTATTCCAAGTGGTTGCTAGGGTATTGCTGTGTTGGTAGTGCAGTATTGGAGATGATTGCTAGGGTACTGCTAGATGGTTACTATGGCATCTCTCATGGATTGCTATGGGATTGCTAAGTATTTTCTATGGTGTTGCAGGTGGTTGCTATGCTTTCCTTTGTGGTTGTGCGTTTTGTGCAGTCACTTATAACTGTTACAGCACTGGCTGTAATGCAGTTGTATTTGAGATAATATTTGCATTTTTGTGTATGTTTGGGAAACCTGCTCATTCTGTAGATGTAAACGAATCCGCACATCCTTCACCACCATATAAATGAACCGTCCCATCAGGAAACCCAAACACAGGAAACACGGCCACTGCAGAATTAACATCTCATAATCACCCAGAACCTGCAAGTGCAATGCATAGAGTGACCAATTATAGGAAAAAAACATGTTTTTTAAGGTGTTGGGCCAGATGTTACAAGCCTCTGGGGCTCTAACAGAGAGACAGACCACCATTATTCCAAAAGATCTTCCCTCATCTGGGGTTTTAATGATGGTGCTGCAGAACACGTCAGTCAAAAATCTCCCGTAGGTGTTCAACTGGGTTGTGATCCAGTGACTATAAAGGCTATAGCATATAACATATTCAATAATTTTCTCATTAAACCATTCAATTACATTTTTTCAGGGTTGGAAATTGTCAAAAACGCACATTCAGTGAGTGTTCTAAGTGAAAATGAGTTAAAACATCCTCTACAATGGACAAAAGTCTGCACATTTTAACATATAATTACTGTTTATTTGCTGATTTTAACATATTCAGGAAAAATTATATGTAAAATAAGGCCAGTGCAAATGTTATGGCACCCTCAGCAAATAAGCAGAAATTTGCAGAAAATGTCATAATTAAATTAATTTTCCTGTAGAGGAAATGTAACTGATTTTAACTTAGAAAAGCAACAAAACATGTAACTGGACCAGGGGTGTACATACTTTTGCATACACTTGTATTATATGGTTAAAGAAACTTTAAAGACCCACCTCACCTCCAGGACAGGTGATAACATCCCACAGTCTCACTATCAACCTAAGATACACGTACATATAAAATAATCAGAACTACTTTTATAATAAAATTGTTCTACTATTATAACATTTTAGTGATTTTTTCTTCTCAGTAAGACTGAAAATCAGTTTAACGCTCATCTGGGTTTCCCAGGCAAATAATGTGTGATGTACTGAGTGTGTGTGTGTGTGTGTGTGTGTGTGTGTACCAGGCAAGTGTGTACAGTAATCCCAAAACTCCTCCAAGCGCTCGGTGTGGTGTTGACAGACAGGCAAAGAAAGGCATGTAGGCCACGCCCACCTCCAGAGCACCAATCAGATACACAAAAGCTGAAAGAAACACATATTAGTGTCCAGGCCAGTGGGGCCAGTGAACATGGATCTCTGGCCACCAGGGGTCTCTGATCTCCAGGGGCCTCGGTGGGCTCAACTACGTGAAAACATTGTGGCATAACAATGACCAGCAATGGTAACATAAAACTCAATGTCAAATTATAAGGCATTTAATGACATAACTTATTTTTACTTAACTCAACTTTGAGGACGCCTGAGTTCACCCGAATCAAGCTTTTTAATTTATAATCAAAAGTTTTCCCAACGTGCATTTCTAGTTTCTCAGTTCAGTAAACAATCTAGAATATATGTTTTTTTTCACTCTCTCTTTCAATCACGCAATCCCATCAATCATTTTCTCCTCTTGGGCTTCCAGATATGGATCAATGGGGTCCAAACAAACAGTCTCCTGATGTTGGGGTGAATTCTTAGCCCATTGCACCACATGCTCCTCCTTTTCAAAGATCAAACAAATATTTTTACCGTATTAATAATTTACTGATACAGAAATCAGAAATTTCAGTTTGTGAGCTTGAAATCCAGTGATGTCTTAGCCATCCATAACTTGGAGCCCAAAAGGTTAAAACGCCTGGTGAGATTTTCTGATGGTCCCAGGATACCATAGCAACCATGTAGCAACACCTTAGCAATCACCTATAACACCATGGCAATCACCTAGCAACACCCTAGCAGCTCCCTGAAACCCAACGGTAAGCACCTAGCAACATCCTAACAACTACCAGAGATACCATAGCAACCAGTTTGCAGCACTCTTGCAAACTAGGATACCACTGCAATCGCCTAGCAATGGCCTAGCAAAACATTAGCAACCACTTTGGATAGCCTAGCAATGGCCTAGCAACACTCTAGCTTTGGACACTCTAGCAATGGTGTAGCAACACCTTAACAATCACTTTGGATACCCTAGCAATGGCCTAGCAACACTTTAGCAATCACTTTGGTTACTATAGCAATGGCTATACCATAGCAACCACTTAGCAACACTCTGGCAACCACCTAAATTACCATAACAACACTGTAGTAATCACCTGGGAATTGCTTAAGCTGCAGTATCACTCTGCATGTTCTACAGGAAATGCTAATTAGGTTTAAACAGCATAGAAATGCACTGAATATGAAACTACAATGCTTAGTATTTTACTTTATTAACTTTTCAGAGTAAAATCATATCGTATCATAAAATTTTAATCAACCGTGCATGAAATCATTTGCTGAATTTAGCACGTTGGATAAAAAGAAACATTAAATGTGGCCTGTGCAAAAGTTATGGCTCATTTTTATTAATTTTTTTTTAATATGTTAATTTTTAAATATTGTACCCATGTTGTTGGCACCCATGAACTCCCAATTAAACCCTTTTATTGAACCACAGATGTGTCCTGTATCAGGTACCTTTGGCCCATTTTGGTACAGGAAACGGCGTGTAAGACTCAGAGAACAGCTGGAGAACACTGGGAGCCACAGCACCGAACGCAACGCCGTACGACCAGCGGTTACTCATACTGCTGATAAAGTCCAGCGGCCTGACCAGAACAAACAGAGGGAATAAACGACAGGTAACACATCACACACAGACAGTCCAGTGCAGGTCATTCACTCAGAGGGCACTGCAGGAACAATAAAGCAGCACTGCTGTAAAAAAATTTAGGTGTCTTTTATGCAAAGTACACAGTTTTCATTGTGATATGGGAAACTTTAAAGCTGTGACACTGAAACTTCTCCATTGTCTACAGTAATTATAAATAAGCTTTTTTTGTTTTTGACATAATTTGAAAATGCATGTTACCCTTTACATTGTATGTGAATTTCATGATGAATGGACCAAAAGAAACGACCCAGAATGACTTGGAAAAACGTCTGGTTCCGTTGACTTACATTAAAAGTAAAGAAGTTTTTTACCTTCTCCTGTAAAGTTACCATTTTGGAGATACAAGGTTTTGTTTGGACAATAATGATATATATATATATATGTATATATATATATATATATATATATACACATATATCTCCATTTTTGTTGTTTCAGTTTTTGAAAAAGACTATTTTCATAAAGAATGAACCAAAAGAACAGGTCCAAAATTAGATGAAAAAAGGGCTTGTGAAAAGTGACTTACATTAAAAGTAAAGCATGTTTTTTCATTATGTAAACACAGACAGCAGCGATATGGATCATTCTATTGAATTAGTTTAAACTGTGGTCCCACCATAAAACAAACTATGTAAAAAAAAATAATAATTATGTGTTCATTGTCAAATAATACTTCTTGTTTTAAGTTGTTTTTTAGAAGATCTTATTAATTTTCTTTATAGTGGAGCTAAAAAAGTTCAGATTAATCATATTTATTATAAAAAAAATGTATTCAAAATATTCTGTCCCATGTTGTCACTACCGAGAAACAAATAGTTTTCATCCGTAGGCGAAGCCTTTTTCAGCCACACCCCTGTATTTTAGAGCAGGACGTGAGACTGCATCCCTGTCCCTCATGGCCATATGGTGAGCAGTTAAATCCCATTGTTTTAAAGTAAATGTGTCCCAAAGTCTGAAAATCAGTTTGGAACATTGAAAATTGTCACTAGTGAAACATATTTTCTGAAATTAAGTAAACTTTTTTTTTAAATAAAAAGTTGTTTTAATAAAAAATATGATGATTTTCTGTGTGTACAGCTATTCAAAGCTGTGTTTGCTGGTCATATACTGGCTGTGTTTTTGAGTTCTGCTCAAAATGAGCTAAAATTGTCGCTAATGAAACATTTGGTAAAGTTTCAATAGTGTTGTGATTGTTTTGCTAGTGAGAAAATAGAATATTCAATCATTTGTTTCAATAAAATAAACATAATTAAGGTACAGGGTCACTCAAAGCTAAAGGATTTTAGTGTAAAGTCCACATCAGTTAAAATGTGTCTTCAACTGATTTTAAACCAATTCAATAAAATAACCCATATATTTTACATTAGAATCAAATGGACGACTTCAAGAACTGGTTTTTTATAGTAGAAAACAGTGATTCCAAACTTTTGAATTTTAATGTACAAACACGGAAGTTTAATATCCTTATTTCCAAAAATATTGTGGTGTTGCTGCACTACTGCATGATTTCATTACAGATAGATTTACTTCACAACTGAATCCAGAAAGAAGTTCTAATAAAACTAATATCCAGAAAGAAGTTCTAATAACACTAATATCCAGAATGACGTTCTAATAAAACTAATATACAGAAAAAAGTTCTAATGAAATAAACATCCATAATGAAGTTCTAATAAAACTAATATCCAGAAATGAGTTCTAATAAAACTAATATCCAGAAATGAGTTCTAATAAACTGATTATCCAGAAAGAAGTTTTAATAAAATAAATATCCAGAAACAAGTTCTAATAAAACTAATATCCAGAAAATGTTCTAATAAAATGATTATCCAGAAAGAAGTTCTGATAAAATTAATATTCAGAATGAAATTCTGATAAAATTAACATCCAGAATGAAGTTCTAATAAAATTAACGTTCAGAATGAAGTTCTGACAAAATTAATATTCAGAATGAAATTCTGATCAAATTAACATCCAGAATGAAGTTCTAATAAAATTAACATCCAGAATGGAGTTCTCATAAGATTCATTTTCAGAATTAAGTTCTAATAAAATTAACATCCAGAGTGAAGTTGTAATAAAATTAATGTTCAGAATAAATTGATAATAAAATCAATATCCAAGAAGCTTTATATTTCAAATCTTGAACTCTTGAAAATTACTATAACTATATATTACGATAAAGGAGATAAAGTTTGAACAGGGTTAAAATAGAAAACTACTGAATTACTCTAAAATAGTGCAAATAACAGTAAACTGAAGGATGTTCTTTGGGCATCTTCCAGATGTTTTACAGCACTGTTTGGTGTATTATATAAGATAACTGTAGTGAGTTCACTGAAAATAGTTCTGTGTAAAAACATGTTTATTTAATTGCTCATATCTATAACTTGATCGGCTTTCAGCCAAAATAAAGTGTGTGGAAGGAGACACAGTTCATATTAATCATAACAAACTGGCAGCGGAAGCGGTGCTATCTGGAGTTTGTTTGTCCTGCGTGGGTGCCAGCATGGTCATTTATCCAGTAATGTCTGCTTTAGTTATTATTGGAGGGGGTGTGGAGTTTACTGAGAGCGATTTCATGATTTACTTATTAAGATACACCCAAACTGGCACAAAGCGTAATCACTGTGTTGTATTTTACATGAGGGATAATAAAAGAAGCACATTTTATTGACTTGCATTGAATTATCACTGAAAATGCAATAAATATTTACTCTCTTTACCATTTTACATGGTATTTAACTGCTTTTCTCTCTGCTTTAAAACTATTAGGTGACACTGTACTGTAGGTCATAGTTAATAAGACTACATAAACTCATTATGACAACTGACTTAAATCCATACATTTATAAGTCTTATTCCGATATGCGTCATCTATCATAAAGGCTTAAAAGATTTTGTCATTTTCCAACTTTCTCCATCTTTCAGAATGTTGGTGAAGTTTAGAGTCAGGTGTGTTGGATGGTGTGTTTGGAGATCTCTGGTTTGAGTCTTTGGATTAGTGCCCTTAACTTTGTTTTGAAATAAAAAGCTGTGATTGGTGAATGTTTTCAAGTTTGCTATTGTGGGGCCCAAAGTACTGGTTCTAGAGATGGAGGGATCGATCGGCTATGTATCAGTATTGGCCATTTTTTGACCAAATATCGAATGGCAATCAGCCAGTATTTAGCTAACTTGGCTGATCCTGAAAGCTGATCAGTTGTGTAAAACATATGAGCCATATTTCACCTGAGGCACCAGAATACGACAGTGTTTTAGGCCCACTGTTAATAAAAATAAAAACATTAGACTTTGAGAATAAAGTCGTAATATTTTGAGAATAAAGTCATAATATTTGGAGGATAAAGTGGGCTAACTGTAGGGGGGCTGCCGCAACGCGTTGGGGTCTCGGTTGCTGTACTGGTGCCGGAGCTCCACTCACTCCTGTCTCTCTGTGGATCATTTTGATCTTCATTCTCACTGTCTGTGAAACTTCATGCCCTCTTTGAATGGGGGGAGATGAAGCCCCCGATAGCTGTGTAGACGACCCTGCCTGAGATTCTCCTTCAACAACACAGACAGACAGTTTCCTCCGAGTCGTCTGGCTCTTTATTCTAGATAAACACAGTTTCCTCCGAGTCCGTCTGGCTCTTTATTCTAGATAAATACAGTTTCCTCCGAGTCCGTCTGGCTCTTTATTCTAGATAAACACAGTTTCCTGCTCAGCCGTTTCAGCCGGTTCTTATACTATAACAGGCTGGTGCTGATGTGCAGGAGAGACAGGGAGACTGAGTGTTTCTTTATGGGTGAATCGATATGGAAGTAGAACTCCACCAACTCACCGCCTCTCATTTAACACCAGGAGGCGCTGCTTCCCTTCGCAAAGGCTTTGGCCACAATATTGCGACCTTTCCTGGTATTAATGCCACTTTAATGTCGTAATTCTATGACTTTTTTCTCAAAATATTACGACTTTACTATATTTATTTTTATTAACAGTGGCCCTAAAACGCCGTTGTGCCAGAATGTAACTTAAATGTGCTGCACCATTTAAGGTGGAACGGAGAAATTTGAACAAGAAGCTGGCGAATAGGAAGCCGACTTCAGCTTCGTCATATTTATTTCAGTAATAAGCATTTTCCTGAAGTGCGCCATTACATATTTGGCTCCTATTTCGCTGTAAACTCGCTGAGTGAACATGTAGAGCTGTGATTAACACAGTTTATCGTCAAAGCTTTGAAGATTAGCTTCTGTTAGCACATTAGCATCTGTGTGCTAATCTTAGCTTAGCTTACGCTGCTCTAGCATCATGACTTATGGCTTTGACAGGGACTGAAAATACAAATAAAAGCAGAGCCACAACAGTGATTCTATGTCAGCCCCTGTAGAGCTGTAATTAACATGGTTTATTGTCAAAGCTTTGAGGAGGCTCCAGCTATTTCAGTCGCTATGCTAACCTGAGGTGCCAGAATGTAACTGCTGCACAATTTAAGGCGGACCTGGAAAATTCATTCATTAGAAAGTGGTGAAAAAAGAAGCTGATCTTCATCTTCATCGAGAGTTGAAAGGCATGTAAAGGAATGAAGAGGTTGCTCTGTTTCTGCTTGGTGGGTTGTATTATACTCGCTGTCTCACAGAAACAGTAGGTCACTATTCTTTTTGTTTCGTTTGCTAATGTTTGTAAAAGCTAGTCAAAACTGGTTAGCTTTGCAGTAGCAATTGTAGACAGCTTGCTAGCTAAAATGAGGGTTTTATGGCCACAAAGATCTAAAAAGGTGTCATTTGCCTCAGCAATGTCTATGAATTTGGGGAACAGAGCTGCTGAAGGAGCACTGCGTATTTGTTTTGCTGTTGAACCTCGTCCTTGGTCGGTATTGGCTATCGGACGATTGTGCTAAAAGGCGACTGGCGATTATTATCGGCCCCAGAAACACTAATCGGTCCATCTCTAATTGGTTCATACATTATAGCTAAAGTTAAGCACTTTTCAATGTAGTAAAGCACAATTTCCATAATACTAGTTCCAAAACTACTTTTGAGCACCATGTTAATGTGTGTTTGTGACTCACACCACAAAGCCAAATCGTCCTCTCAGGTAGGGGAAGCGTTCCTCAAAGGGCTGCGTCTTCTCTCTGTGGTGCACGAATGACAGCGCTGCCACGATGCACACCTGCAGGAGGAAAAACAGCACATGGTCACTAGAGGTGAGGACTTCTTAGCATGATTCACAATTCAATTAGATTTCGATTCAGGGAATAAAGATGTGATTTGTGATGCAGCTTCATTATTGACTTCTATAGCCTAGGGTTTGTGAACTCCAGTGCTGGATGGCTGGAGTCCAGCACAGTTTGGTGATTTTCCTACTTATACACACCTGATTTAATTCAGCAATTAATGGTCAGGTTTAGTTGGCATGTTAAGAAACCAATTTTGCTGGATGCTGGCCCTCCAGGACTGCAGTTTGCCACTCTTGGCCTGCATTGTGACTGTTTCTTGGCCTGCATAGTGACTGTTTCTTGGCCTGCATAGTGACTGTTTCTTGGCCTGCATAGTGACTGTTTATTTAGTATACATTATGCTAAGAAACAGTCACTCTTGGCCTGCATAGTGACTGTTTCTTAGCATAATGTACACTAAAGATGAGGTCTTGATTCCAGATACCACGTTGTGGAAACTGATTTAAAGTTAAACTGCATTTAAAGATGTCTGCTACATACATACAGTTGTATGCAAGAGTTTGAACCCCCACATCAAAAATGAATGTTTTGCTGATTTTGTAGGTAAAAATAAGAATTTCATGGGCGCCAACAATGTGGGAACAATAGTCAATGTATAGTATGCAAATAATGTAATGTAAATTTTTGCCCAAAATCATATTTTGTTGAATTTCTAAGTGAAAATAAGTTAACAGATCTTCTACACACAGCAGACTTTTAGAGTGGAATTTCTGTTCAGTTTTTGAGTTTAACATATGGGAAAGAAATAAAATGTAGCAAATGTAGCAAATAAATAGTCATTTGTGTATTAAAATCAACAAAACGTAATAAAAACTATGTCGTCGCTGGTGGGAAAAATCTTATATCTACATAAAGGTAACTTGAGGTAAAGTAAAAAACCTTCTTAACTTGTAATAGAACTTTGACGTGCACCCCAAACACTTGAGATTCAACTTTGACTCGCATCTTGGAGACTTAACTCAGGTTACACGCCAGAGATTCACATCTCAGAGACTTGAAATTCAGCAGAGAAGCCACTTGTGAACATCTCTGCTGTCAAGCGATTAATGTGCTGCCTGTTTGTTGATATCAGTATTATGTCGTACTGACACGCTGTCCAAGTTTTACTGTCAGCGGGGGTCCGACAGGCTTCCCTTAGCTTTCTGGGTCTGCGGCTAAGCACCAGGCATATGCATAAGAGTGAGTTGCCAACAAAGAGCATTCCTACTGGTTGAATTTGCTAGTATTGAAAGCTGGACCAAATAAGGAAGTGCAGACTTTCCATGTCATTGACCTCTGAAATCACCACAAAATCAATACTGCCCAACCTTATCTCCATTAAAATAAACCATTAATGCATAACCTGCTGAATAACAATAGAGAGCCGTCATTGATAATATCTAACCTTGGGGACGGTTTAACTTTAAATTAATTATATTAACGATTAAATCAGCTTGTAACTTACAGAAGGAGCGAGGGACACATGTAGAAACAGGTCCAAAGAAACTGCACACTGGCTTTCCCTGTAAGAGAGAAAGAAAAAGACAGTGAAAGAGAAGAGATGAAATTCGTGTGAGGTCATAGTACATTTTACAGTTCAATAAATACCATGTAGTTCAGGATACCAATGCCAGATTTGGTACATCTGTTAACTGAAATATCCTCTTTCTAATGGTATACATTATTATATGCTAGCCCTTGTTAGACATGAGCAATATGCATTTGAAATGTAGACTTGATATGATTTTTATTTTTAGTGTTTAATGCCTCATAGAGGAGAAATCTTTATGACTTTGAGGCGAATACCAAGTTACCAAAGGAGTATTGTGATATACACCGATCAGGCATAACATTATGACCAGCTCCTTGTTTCCACGCTCATTGTCCATTTTATCAGCTCCACTTACTATATAGGTGCACTTTGTAGTTCTACAGTTACAGACTGTAGTCCATCTGTTTCTCTGCATACTTTGTTAGCCCCCTTTTACCCTGTTCTTCAGTGGTCAGGACCCCCATGGACCCTCACAGAGCAGGTACTATTTGGGTGGTGGATCATTCTCAGCACTGCAGTAACACTGATGTGGTGGTGGTGTGTTAGTGTGTGTTGCGCTGGTCTGAGTTGATCAGACACAGCAGTAGCCCAGGTGGGTATTTAAACAAAAAGAAAAAAGAAAAGAAGGCTGGAAAAACAAAAGAGAGAAATTGCCCCAAAACTACTTAAAAACCAAAAAGAAGGTTTGAGCAAGAAACGGTTCAAAGCCATACCAAAGGTGTTTTCTCCACAAAAGGCAAACAGCTGAAACATAAAGTCTGCCTTCCTCTCATAATCACAGAGGAAGTGTTTTTTGTTTTCTGATGGTCTTTTATTTTACTTTTCTATTTCAGCCTTTGTTTGAGCACGCTGCTTTCAGCGGCCCCTTTGTTTGCCATTTTCCCGCCTTTTTTATTTTCCATTTATTGAGGTGTTTTTCCCGTTTTCACATTTTCCCGCTTTCAGCCTGGCTCTGAGCCACCTCAACTCCAAAATGCCCAATCACCAAATTCACACTCCATCACCTCAATAAATTCATTTAAGACCCTTTCTCACAGGTTTTCCTCTCTGCACTTGGGTCCACCTCCCTGCCGTCCCATAACACAGTGACCTAAAGTGCAAATTTTGTGTGGATGAGAAGCCAAAATGCAGTGGAACTTGTTGAAACTTCAGATTTCAGAAAAGGTCAGTCAGGAATTCTGAAATCAGGTGATTCAAGGCAGATTTACTTACACGTAGAGGTAATCCCATACATGCTGAGCCAAAATATGACCACTCACAGATGAAGCGAATAATGTTGATTATCTCATAACAATGGTGCACGTCAAGGTTTAGGATGTATTAGACAGCAAGCAAACAGTCGGTTCTCATGGTCCGTCTGTTGGATGTGGGAGAAATTGGCAGGCTTGAAGACCTGAGTGACTTTGACAAGATCCAAATCATTATGGCCAGACTGGGTCCAAGCATCTCTGAAATGGCAAGGCTTGTGGGGTGCGCCTCAGTGGTGAGTACCTACCTAAGACCCAAGGCTTATCAATGCATGAGGGCAACAAAGGCTGTCCCATCTGCACCTTGGAAGAAGCTGGTGGAGGGAGTAAGCTGCTCTGGGCAGTCTTCAGCTGGGAAACTCTGGGTCCAGTCATTTGTGGGGATGCTGGTTTGAAACGTGCCACCTACCTGATCATTGTTGCAGACCAGGTACACCCCTTCACAGTCATGGGGTTCCCCAATAGCAGTGGCCTCTTTCAGCAGGATAATGACGTGCCATTCTGTGGGCATTGTTCAGGAATGGTTTGAGGAACATGACAAAGAGTTCAAGGTCTTGCCCAGGCCTCCAAATTCCGCAGTTCTCGATCTGATCAAATCTGTGGGATTTGCTGGAACAAGAAGTCTGATTCGTGGCAGATCTTACAGGACGTAAAGGACCTGCTGCTAATGTCTTGATGCCAGATACCACAAGGCATCTTCAGAGATCTTGTAGAGTCCATGACTTGGCAGGTCAGAGCTGTATTGGCAGCATGTAGAGGACCAACAGGATATTAGGCATGATTTTATGATTTTATATGATTTTGACGCTGTAAAATCATTGTGTATGTAGAACTCACTAGTTTATTAGCTCAACATGGTTCATAAATATAAGATAAGGACTGGCGCCTAACTCTCTGATGACCCACTGACTCTGAAGTCTTTATCAGTACTGTCTTCGCTTCTTCATCGAACAGTTCAACATTCTCTCTAACAGATGGTCATTTGTTCATCTAATGCAGTGGATCTGCAGTGGATCCCAAGACTTTGAGCCCTAATTGACCTTGTGGTATGAGGCTCTTCAAGGCCTGGTCAGTAATCCATCCCTGTCTGAAACTCTCCAGCCAAAAAGAAAATTATATTCTTGGAACAGTCTGTTTAACCCCTTAACAATCCAGGCTTATTTCTGACAAAGGCTTATTATTCAGTACCTACAGGGACTTCAATGCAAACAACTGGAGCTATTCTTAGGTTATAAAATTGTGTAATAAAACTTTGGGCTTGTTAAGGGGTTAAAATAACTGAAACATGGTTTGGCATTTTGTTCCTAACACAATGAACATAATACATTTTGTTGAATGGTTGCATGAGTTTAATTTTTAAATAATAAAACATGCTGTCCCGAAACACAGAGTTTTTGCCCATAGGCGGAGTCTTATTTTAGCCACGCCCCTGCATTTCAGAGCAGGCAGTGAGGCTGCATCCCTGTCCCTCATGGCCACATGATGAGCAATTAGAGCCCAATGTTTTGAAGTAAATGTGTCCCAAAGTCTGAAAATCAGTGTGGAACATTAAGAATTGTCACTAACGAAACACATTTTCTGCAGTTAAGTAAACATTTTTTTGTATTTTAATGAAAAATATGATGATTTTCTATGTGTACAGCTGTTCAAAGCTGTGTTTGATAGTCATGTACTGGTGTTTTTGAGTTCTGCTCAAAATGAGCTAAAATTGTCATTATTGAAACAGTCACTACTGAAACATCTGGTAAAGTTTGGGTTAATGTTATCACTGTGTTGGTAGTGACAAAATGGAATGGTGAATCATTTGTTTTAATGAAATAAACATAATTAAGGTATAGAGTCACTCAAAGCTACAGGATTTTGGTCTAAAGTCCAAGATCGGTTAAAATTCCCAGATGAATTTTCAGCTCTGACTTTGAACCAATTTGAAAGATCTGTATACAAATACTCAGCAATCCTGAGTTCCTCAGAGCTACAACACATTCTAAATCTGCTTGGAATCCAGTAACCTGCTTTATTGATTGGGTTTTCTTGGGAATCTCTTAAGAGTCCAGACATCCTCATTTCACCCCTTCATATGGATTATAATATTTACACTGCATATCTTCTTTCAGCATTGTGAGTATAGACTTCAGCTCCTCTTTCAACATGTGATGAGATATTATTTGTTAGATAGGGAGACCACACTTTGGTTTTCAAAAAAAGAGGACACTGGGAACAAGAGGACAGTATGGGTCATTTTAGGTCATTTAATAATCCCAGCCAGAGTTGAATGTCGCAATAAGAGGACCTGTCCTGGAAAAAGAGGATGTATGGTCACCCTATCGTTAGACCTACATTTAAAGAAGTGAAACTAGCTTTATATAGACAGTTGTGTGGGATTCGTATAAGGTTAATGACAGTTTAACTGAACACACTCAGTAGGCCGACATTCCACCTGTGTCTTAGGCCCAATCCCATTTCTTCCTTTTACCCCTACCCCTTGTTTTCGAGTGTCACCCTAACCCATTGGAACTGAGTTACAAGGGGTAGTGGTTGAAATCTTGCCCTGTGAAATGGGACCCTCAAATAAAAAAACAACAAAAAAAAAACATTACTTCATTAACAGCAACCAGCGCTGCTCTGTAGGCGACCCTGCCAGTCTGCAGTGACAGCAGAGGAGGGTACAGTTCAGCTCCTCACTGCTGGGCTTTAGTTACACTTAGGGCATCATATGCTTTCAAAGAGGGGGGCAATTATTTATTATCATCCACTCCTAATTCTTTGGTGATATGAAGCTGAAGTCAGATATTCACCAGCTTCTTGTTCGAATTTTCCCGTTCCACCTTAAATGGTGCAGCAGTTACATTCTGGCACTTCAGGTGTCAGAACTGCTGGACTATTTAAGGTGGAACGGGAAAGTTAGCTAGCTAGCTACCGAGACATTACCATGCTATTACAGCTTTTTTTTTATGCTTGTTATGAAGAAAACGACCATAATACATTGAAACGACATTAAACTAAGATAAATCAGTGGTTATCATAATTTTTTAACAGAGAAAATTCTCACATTTGTGTGTTTCTTTGGTCTCTTCTTCAGCCATCTCTCCAGTTTTTCTTTTTTTCTCATAACACTCTGTTTGGAGTGACTCTGAAAAACCTCAGTTTGGAGGGCCATGTAGCTCTAACACTTCGCCCTACCCCTCTATCTCAACTAAAATCAGGACACCCTACCCCTAGAGGTGAACATACAAAACAGAGGGGTAAGGGCTGAGTGGTCAGGGTGAGGGGTGAAATGGGATTGGGCCTTAGTTTCCCAGATTAAGCCTAAACCCAGTCTAAAGGCTTTTCAGCAGTCAATCATGATTGGATATTAAAGCTTAATCCTGCACTGGGCTTTATCCATGTCCATGAAACTGGCCAATGTCCATGAAACCAAACAGTCTCAGAAATATAACCCGGCTATTCAAATACCTCTGATAAACTGATAAAAAGTGAATTCGTAAAAAGGCAGAAGTTACTCACATGGTTCCTCACAATCACGTTCCTCAGAGGCAGCGTCTGAAACTCTCTCTTCACTCCAGCGCTGAGGCTGGAAACTCTCAGCTCTAAACGCTCCTGCTTTACCTCACCCAGCTCACTGACACCAGCCTCAGTGTGAAGTTCTAACCACATGATCTGGTGACCTTTGACCCCAGCCTCTTGTGGGGATGTAAACTCACTCACTGCTCTTAAAGTTGTGTGAATGTGTGACGGAGTATTCAAACAGTGATAAGAGCCGGACTGTTTGCTGAAGCTGAAGCTGCTATAATTTCCTGCCCCCGTCTGTAGATCATTATACAGACTCCAACGCGCCACTGCTGGCGTTTGTGGACTGGACAGACCTTCCCGCCAGCCACAGGAGGAAAAAGTCATTGTTTCTGGCAGCAGTGTGTCAAAATTTGGACTTACTATGTCAGAATAATGTCTTAGTATCTTGTAATATGTATCTTGACTTATTATCTCAAAACATTTTTCTTGAAACCCATTAAATGAAATGCTATTTATCACATAGTATTTCGAAATCGTGAGAAAAACAGTCATTATTTTCAGAGAATAAATCATTATTTTGTCAGGATATTCATATTCTTTCCTCAAATTAGAATTAGTAGAATTAATATGCCAAAATAATGACTTGTGTTCTCAGAATGCTGGCTTATTTTTTCAAAACAATAACTTATTTTCTCAAAATATTAACTTACCATGTAGAAATAATGACTTTGTAACTTATTATCTTGCAATAATAATAAAATAATCACAATTTTAAAAACACTATATGCACTATATATACTGGGAAAATAGGTCATTATTTTGAGATACTAATCAATATTTAAAGAAAATAAGTCATTCTTTTCTCATATTAGACTTAGTAGACTACTTTGTCAAAATAATGATTTATTTTCTAAGAAGATTGACTGACTTTCTTAAAATAATGACTTATTTTCTCAAAATATTGACTTTGTAACTTGCAATAATGACTTACTTTGTCATAATGACTTATTTACAAAAGTATTACAATATAGTTACATATCATATAAATAGTGCATTAGAGTTGCTAAGTCAGTATACTGTGACAATAAGTCATTATTTTGAGATTCTAATCAATATTTAAAGAAAATAAGTCATTATTTTGAGATTCTAATCAATATTTAAAGAAAATAAGTCATTATTTTGAGATTCTAATCAATATTTAAAGAGAATAAGTCATTATTTTCAGAGAATAGATCATTATTTTGTCAAGATATTCATATCCTTTTCTCAAATTAGACTTGGTAGAGTTAATATGCCAAACTAATGACTTATTTTCTTAAAACAATGACTAATTTTCTCAAATTATTGACTTACTATGTCAAAACAATGACTTCCTATCTAGCAATAATGACTAATTATGCAAAAATAATTACAATTTTAAAAACACTTAAATAGGGCCTTTGGGTCGAGATGCTAAGTCAATATGCTGAGAAAATAAGTCATTATTTTGAGATAATAATCAATATTTAAAGAAAATAAGTCATTACTTCCACATTGTATATCAACAACTTTGACATACCAGAAACAGAGAAGGAGACAAATAACTTCTCCTCTCCTTTGTGGTGATGGGCTTCCACACCATGATGAACCTCACTGAGATCCAGCAAAAACAGAGACCTGCGAGTAACAACAGCGCCCCCTGCTGAAGCATCCCGTAAGTAAGTAATTACCTTCAGCATCAAAATAGCAGCATCAGAAACACATAACTTTTCATAAGACCATCTCATGCAGAAAGCCTCACCTGCCCCCCCCCCCGCTCACCCTCCTGATGATGCTGGACAAACTCAAACTAGAGCTATTCAATCATAGACTGTTGTTATACTGCCACTACAGTCATTAGCAACAATGGCAGGTCAGCATAAAGGGGGCAGGTGGAGAGACTTGCAGAGACAATCTATCTCTTAGGCCCAATCCCACTTCACCCCTCGCCCCTGACCACTCAGCCCTTAGCCCTCTGTTTTGCGTGTTCATGTCTAGGGGTAGGGTGTCCCAGTTTGTGTTGGATTGAAGGGGTGGGGTAAGGTATTAGGGCTACATGGCCCTCCAAATGGAGGTTTTTCGGAGTCTCACTACAAACAGAGTGAGAAAAAAAGAAAAACCGGTAAGACAGCTGAACAAGAGACCAAAGAAACCCACAAATCTGAGAATTTTCTCTGTTAAAAATTACGATAATCACTGTTTTATCTTAGTTTAACGTCGTTTCAGTGTATTTTGATCGTTTTCTTCATAACAAGCATAAAAAAATCTCTAATAGCATGCTAATGTCTGGGTAGCTAGCTAGCTAACTTTCCTGTTCCACCTTAAATAGTCCAGCAGTTCTGATGCCTGAAGCGCCAGAATGTAACTGCTGCACCATTTAAGGTGGAACGGGAAAGTTTGAATGAGAAGCTGGTGAATATCTGACTTCAGCTTCATATCACTGAAGAATTAGGGGTGGGCGATAATAAATAATTGCCCCCCTCTTTGAAAGCATATGATTCCCTAAATGTTACTAAAGCCCAGCAGTGAGGAGCTGAACTTTACCCTCCTCTGCTGTCACTGCAGACTGGCAGGGTCGCCTACAGAGCAGCGCTAGTAGCTGTTAATGAAGTGATGCTCTTTTTATGTGAGGGTCTCATTTTGTAGGGCAAGATTCAACCACAACCCTGTAACTCAGTTCCAAAGGGTTAGGGTGCCACTCGAAAACAAGGGGTAGCAGTAAAAAGAGGAAATGGGATTGGGCCTTAGTGTTATAAGATGCAGGAGATGATTGTTGACTGTAGGAGGACTCGCAGTGATCACTCTTCACTGCATATCAATGGTTCAACTGTTTAGAGAGTCTAAAGCTCATAGTTCCTTGGTGTGCACATCACCGATGATCTCACCAAGAGCCTCAACACCACCAATAAAGGACAGTTAACAGTAGTCATCATTAATCATTGGTTAACATAAACATTTTTGTCCGATTACAGGTTCATTTTTTTCGGTATTTTTCAAGATTGTGGTTTGATTTTTTGCTGAAACAGGATAAAATGGCTGTTCTTAACATTTCAGCTGCCGACCTCTAATTTAGTCCAAAAAGAAAAAACGTGAAGAAGTTTTTTTCCCCCAAGTGATTTTGGGGCATTTCTAGTAGTCCATAATAGCCTTTTTTTTTGGACAGCGACGATATTCTATATTGTTATGTTGTATTTTTTTCATTTCATTTTATTCCATTACAACCTGTCAGCTCCCTTAAGATGTTAAGTGTTATGTATAACTATTCTGACACACTGTCTTTTTATTATTACTGGTATTATTCTTATTTTATTTTACTTATATTTGAATCCACCAAATTATTATTTTTATTAATTTTTAAAACAATTTTAACAATCTACTGTGTTGTACTTGTGTTTTATACACTTCTTAAGAAACCTTGAATTCTGTCTGTCTCCTCCTTTGTCTCCTCCTCTTTCAGTCTCCGCCCCCTTCTCTCCCTGTCTGTGACATTGTACACACACAAAAGCAGGAAGTGTCTCCTGCTCAGCTGAAAGTCCACTAAGCTGATCTCAGACTGCTGCTCTCTTTCAGTGTGGAAGTTCAGGAAAATGGCCAGCATTTCAGAAGGTCAGGGCCAGTTCAGCTGCCCAGTCTGTCAGGATCTCCTGAAGGATCCAGTGACGGTTCTCTGTGGACACAGTTTCTGTACAGTGTGTATTGATGGCTGCTGGGATCGGGAGGATCAGAGGGGGGTCTACAGCTGCCCCCAGTGCAGGGAGACCTTCACTCCGAGGCCTGTTCTACACAGGAACAAAGTTATGGCCGAAATGTTGGAGAAACTAAAGAAGACTGAAGTCCGAGCAGCTTCTCCTGCGTTCACAGCCCACAAGCTGGTCAAGACCTCCACATATCTGCAAGAGAGGATCTGCTCTCAACATGGCAAACTGACCGAGATCTACTGTCACACTGACCAGAGTGTCATGTGTTATCTGTGTACGATGGATGAACATAAAGTTCATGACACAGTCTCAGCCGCAGCAGGAAGAACCCAAAACAGGTTAGAATAAAAAAATAAATTCATAAAAATAAGTTCTAAAAAAGCAACTCTTGCGAAAAAGAAGCTTAAGTACATAAATAGTACACTTAAAGTACATTCTTTACCTATAAAAGTATATTGTTAAAATACACATTTTAATATATACAGGTGTATTTCATTACTTGTTGAAAAATTTTTGGTTGTTTAAATGCTTAAAAGCTTCCATAATGGTCATAAACTTAAGTGACTTAAGTGTGTTATTTAAAAGTGTTTTTAAAGCAGCGACCTAAAGTAGATTACCATTAAACTCAAACTATTCATCATATATGGGTATCCATATACGCATGGGTATGGGTAGAGTATGAGTGCTTGTAGGCATATAAGATGTACTTTAACATTAATGTTACTTAAATATAAATAAATAAATATAAGTGTACATAAGTTGTGTCTAGACATTGCTAATGATATAATTAAGTGTATGCTTAATTATGACCTTAAAAGGTACACTTAAGTGCATATTCTATTTGTCTTAAGTTAACTTATGTTCGAAAGCAGTACTAAACTACTAAATGCATTTAGTGGATTTTTATATATTTAATCACAGCTTAATTACAATTTAAATACACTTAAGACATCATAAGTTGTTGCTAGATAATACATTTAGTACGTATAAAAGTTTTATTAAAAACATTTATTCAAAACACTGTAAAGTTATTCTTGCTTGGATATTTGAATACTAAAGATAAAATTAGAAAACACTAGCAGTGCTCTTTTACGACCCTAATTATGCACAGTCTTTGCTGATTAATCCAGTTATATCTACACGTTGAAGGTTAATAAAACAGTGAGAGGTGGAGATTCATGGTAGGCATGCTCCCTCCTAAAAAGGGGCTTTGTTTGTTTAAATGTTATTGTTTGTTAGTGTAAAGATGTGATGTGTGTTATTTGTGGTTTATTGTGTCTGGGGGCCTTACTCTGCACTGTGCTACACTGGTGTCAGAAGTGGGATAAGGTGGGATGGAATGATGTTGTTGCTGCCGTCGCTCACTGCTCCGTGGGACTTGTGGGGAATTCTGCCATGTGCAGGAGGAGCTGTGGCAGCAAGGACACAGCCCTGGGCAAAGTCTGGTGGTGCTCACTGCCAAAGAGCTTACTTCCCACAGTGTTAGTGCTGGCCTGGACTTTGCATGCCCAGGAACTGGTGGGTCGCCAGGATAGTTGACCCATTGAAGAGGGGCTATGCAGCGACCTGCTACTGGCTAGTGCTGCCTCCGAGAGGCACGGAGGTGTGGTCTTGCGAGCAGCCATGGGCGAAGGCTCATGGTAGGCTCGTGGCCTTCTACAAAGGGACTTTAATGTAATTTTTTAATAGTGTAATGATGTGTTGTGTGTTATTTGTTGTTCATTGTGTCTGGAGGTGTGGGTGTTTTGGGTGTTTTGTGTTGGTGGTTGGTCACCATGAGGGTGAAGCTTACGGCTGATGGTGACCTCCCCAACAAGTTCAATGGTGTATATGTGCCTTTCTGCCTGGTGTTTGGTAAAGAGCCCTTCTCATGGTGGAGTAACGTCCTCCTTCGGGTCTTATTCTGTGCTGATATTATGATGGAGCAGCTACATTACAACTCACTGAAAACTTTTCACCCCCTCCCCCACCACATTCTTGGGATACTGGGGATCCAAAGTAACCCACATACAACACTGTGGTATAATGTATAGTTCTGAAAACTTGTCAGAGGTTTCTTGGCTTAGTTATACCACAACTGGACAACTGGTATTTAGGAGAATGGTGTAACACCAGTAGTGGTCTGGTTTCCACCAGTCCCTGACAGAACTGATTGCACCAGTCAGTACACAGGTACACTATCAGTAGTGCTGGGCGATATAACCTCAAATCGATATCATGATTAATTGAATATTTTACCTCGATTACGATCAATGAACGATACAGTTCACTGACAAGGTTTGTACTTAATGTAAATCGTCTCAACAGCCAGATCGGAATTCTCTGGATGAGCCACATGAAGCAACGTTAAGCATTGTTCTTTTAAGCATGTGGGTCAGTTTAGGAGCTGATCTGTTCAGACTGAATGTGATCGCATACAGATCACATTTAAAAGATATTGTGAACAGCCAAACAAAAACATCGGATTGGTGAGAAAATCAGATTTAGGCCACTTTTACCTGCTGTGTGAACATAGCCTTAGCTTCTATATCGCAGACTGGACGTGGCGGAGTCACATGATGACACACATGGTAGTAAGTTTTTAAGGGGACAGTACATGAACAAACAGAGTGGGGAAAGGATTAACATAATTAAAAAAAATCAAAATACACAACATGGGCAAGATTGCGTTGGTCAGTTTTCGATTAATTGTCCAGCCTTAACTATCAGAGTCATCTTTTCACTGGTTTTCAATGATTTCAATGATTTTCAAGACATTTTCAAGACTCACTATAAATGCAAACATGCTTTCTCACATAGGGCACCAAATTAAACAAGCAAGACCACTTCTCAGTACCTGCTGAGCCACTTTATTTGTTTTAACCAAGTCTGTTTTTGTTCTAACACCGTTTTTCACATCACACAGTAACAACGGCCTGGCAGTTTGCATCAGCCAAATGACCGCTTCTGGTCAAACTAGGCACTTCTTGGCCACTCTGAGCCATGAAACCCACCAGACTCTCTGGCTCACAACACTATTTCAGCTTTAAACAGACCTGCATCTTTACCCAGCTGTTGTCCTAACAGAGCTCCGCACAGGCAGCAGTGGAGGACAGTGAGAGGATCTTCACTGATCTGATCCACATCATCGAGAAGATGCGCTCAGAGATAACAGAGCTGATCCGAGTTCAGGAGAATGTCGAACTGGGTCAAGCTGAAGGACTCCTGGACAAACTGGAGCAGGAGATTGATGATCTGAAGAGAAGACAGACTGAGCTGGAACAGCTTTCACACACAGAGGATGACATCCATTTCCTCCAGGTAACGGTCACTGATCTACAGATGGACCTGTTTCTCATAAAGTCTCAAAGTTAATCCAGGCAGTAAAAAACTACTTGTCTCAAATCACAGGTATGTCTTTGGCTTAACGTTCATGTCTCCATTCCATTCTTGCCTATAGAGTTTCCAGTCTCTCTGTGTATCTTCTGGATCTGAGGACTCACCCGTCACCACTGTCAGTCAGCATCTCTCATCTGAAGAACTGAGGAAGCATCTCTCTGATTTGAAAGAGTGACTAGAGGAATTCTGCGAAGAGGAATTCAGCAAAATTCCCTCACCTGGTAAGAGGAGCATCCCACTGTGAAACAAGGGTTTTGAAATCTTTACCTACTTGGGACGAAGGAGGTGCATCCTCTTCACCCCCTGCTTTCAGGGATGAAAAATAATACAAAAAGACAGTAGAGATATAAAGTCACTTATCCCTCAATTCTGATGGTCAGCTTGGTTGTTTTACCTGCTCTAATTTGAAGAAATAATGTTTCGCCCATTACACTCACTGTAGTCTAATTTGCTATCAAGATCAGGGACAGACTGTGGTCTTATTTTCGAACCCTTGGCCAACCGTGCTTGCACACAGAGGAATTTGACCTCTACCGGAAGATCGCCGGTTCGATCCCCTTACCTGACAATATGTGACTGAAGTGCTCTTGAGCAGGGCATCTAACCCCAACTGCTCCCCAGGTGCTGTGGATAGGGTAGATTGTTGGCTCAGGAGATCGAACCGGCAACCTTCCGGGTAACAAGGCTGGTTTGCCAACCTCCAGCCCACGACTGCACCCTGTCTTGTGAGGCACTTTGGTGGAAGTCTCGTTGGAGGCCACTTGTAATTATAACTACAACAATTATTTGTAATAAATAAATAAATAAAAGACCTGTAATATCCTACTGCGTCTACATCCTATCAAGGTAACAGCTACATCCTAGGAGCTGTGAGTCATGGTCAATGGGCCTGAAAACAGATTTCTTCATTCATTTCAATCATTCGGTCATTTGTACACATTCAACACCTAATTAACTGGTCTTTGCGTCTACATTGGATTGTCCCAAGGATTTGACCCACCACAAGCCTTGTAATCTGAGGTCTCACTAAGGCCCTTGGCAGTCAGAGGCCTCTGGGCACTGGCCCCATTGGCCCAGTCAGTTATCCATACTTTATCAAGATGAGCCTCATTAATCAAATTTCATGAAGCTGCAAAAGAGAATTTCAGATTTTTTATTGAACACCCCAGTCAAACTGAAATTGGTCATTCACTAAGCTCCACCCTACTACTTGCTTAGTTTGTGTGACAAGCTTTCGAGCCCAACAGGTCAACTATAGCATTAAATCATGATTAGTATTATTATTATAATAAGAAGTATTATTATTATTATATTAATCTTACAAGCACTTAAAAGTTAATAAATGATACAAGACTCCTTTTTAACTTCAAAAACCCAAACACTATAAGAGAGTTTGAAACTACAAGGTTTGGTTTGGTTAAACAAATATCCATTCATTCGCCTGAAATGCTGCTTGTATTTTAAATAAAGATCCAATCCACTGTTTGTAATGCTGGTGTGTTTAAACATGAATGTGCCATTTTCATAAAATCTTACACAATTTTTCTCCACAGTTGCAGCAGAGGAGCTGATTTTACCCTCAGAGCCAAAAACCAGAGAAGACTTTCTGAGGTGTATGTGGACCACACACACAAACACACACACGGTTTTATAGTTGTATCAAACGACTAGCTAACTTTTTTTTAGATCTTCGTGGCCATTAAACCTTTGGTAAACGCTGTACAGACAAATATCATGAGGTAATATTAAAGCGACCATTAACACAGCAAATAACGTAATTGACATTAGCCAGGTTGTGGGTTAGCAACCTGTAGCTACAGTCGCTGCTGTGAAGCTAACCAGTTGCTATCACAAATATTAGCAAACTGGACAAGACAATACTGACCTGCTGGTTGTGTGAAACAGAAAAAGTAAGTTAATGTTACCAACCTGTCCAGCAGAAACAGAGCAACATCCTCATTCCACTTCATGCCTTTCAACTCTCTCTCAGCTTCTTTTTCGCCAGCTTCTTGTTCGAATTTTCTCGTTCCACCTTAAATGGTACAGCAGTTACATTCAAGCGCCTCAGAGCTGCACATTTTAAGGTGGAACATGAAAACGCAAATACAAAGCCTAGTCAACGTCAGGGAACATTTGGTGAAGGAATATTTAGAAGGCCTGAACGTTTCCTACTGTGCTCCGCCATCTTGCATGGACAATGCTGTGTGGGTGGTCACTGTCTGTCTCCTAGGGAGGGCAAAACAAAATGAGGGAAAAGACCTATGTTTTCACAGGACTAACATGTACATGTAGCCGGACCGGCTATCGAAACAAAAACAGAGTAGCTCGGATTCCAACACCCACAGAGGAGATGTGACTTCATTCTCTGCTCAGGACGCTACACCTCTGTCTTTACATAGAACAGGGTGCACAACTCCAGTCCTGGAGGGCTGGTGTCCAGCACACTTTAGTGATTTACCTGCTCCAACACACCTGATTACACTTACCTGTTAATTGTCAGGTTAAGTGGGTGTGTTTGAGCTGGGAAACCGTTGTGCACCCCTGACATAGAAAATAGTTGTTTGCTGCTGTATTGATGTTTAGAATGTCTTATATATAACCTTAAGTGCTGTTTATGGAAGCCTACCAGGTCTTCCGGGTGGTTGTTAGGAGCCCCATTTCCTTTGTAGCTTACTCCTGTTTTTCCTTTGACTTTCCCTAAGCTTGTACTTAATGGCCATTTTGACTGGACCTCAAATAACCGAAGTCTCTTAACTTGTACACAGTAAAATTCTTTCTTTTCATTGTTTCTTTATTTTCATTTCAAAGATCACCATAAACTCTGGATCCCAACACAGTAAATCATGAGCTCTGTCTATATGAGAAGAACAGAGTGGTGAGGTGGAGAGGGATAGTCCAGCGACAACCTGATCATCCAGACAGATTTGACTTCAAGCCTCAGGTGCTGTGTAAGGAGGGGGTGTGTGGACGGTGTTACTGGGAGGTCGAGTGGAACACTGAAGAGTATGAATGTGTGTCCATATCAGTCTCATATAAAGGGATCTGGAGTGTCATTCAGCACACTATTTCTGGCACTACAATAATGGGAAAGAGCTCCCAGGGCCTTCGTCCTCCAGAATAGGGGTCTACGTGGATCACAGTGCAGGAACTCTGTCCTTCTACAGAGTCTCTGACACAACGACCCTCCTGCACACAGTCCACACCACATTCACTCATCCACTCTATGCTGGGTTTGGGATCAGCAGTACGGATATGTTTCATAATGATGGGGGTTATGTGACGTTATGTAAGCTAAAATGATACGTTTGTTGTGTTAGACACCAATAGAAACAGAAATAGATGGAATAGATAGCAGAATATGAAAATTTTATGTATTGGTTATTAAATTTGAAGCATTGTCTCTGTATGGTTTGGTTGATGTTTGTGTGCTTTAATTATGAAAACCTCAGTTTGCATTGTTGGATCATTTTAACTACTAATAATTATACACTATATGGCCAAAAGTATGTGGACACCTGAACATCCCACCTATATGACCTTGTTGGATGTCCCAAGTCAAAACCCTGGTCATTAATATGGAGTTGACCACCTTTGTGGCTATAACAGCCTCCACTCTTCTGATTTTGGAGAGATTTTGGAGTGTGCGTCTGGGGGAATTTGTGCCCATTCAGTTGTGAGGTCAGGCATTGATGTTGGACAAGAGGGCCTGACTCACAACTGACATTCCAATTTATTCCAAAGGTGTTCAGTGAGGTCAGGGCTCTGTGCAGGCCACTGGAGTTCCTCCACACCAAATTCATCACAGCATCTCATCTCAGTGCTGCTCTCTCTCTCAATGTAGAAGTTCACAAAAATGGCTAGTATTTCAGAAGGTCAAGACCAGTTCAGCTGTGTGACCATTCACAGTGGACACATTTCTGTATGGTGTATTGATGGCTGCTGGGATAAGGAGGATCACAGCTGCCCACAGTGCAGGGAGACCTTCACTCTGAGGCCTGTTCTACACAGGAACAACATACTGGCTGAGGTGGTGGAGAAACTTAAGACAGAAGTCCAAACTTCTTCTGGTCAGTGTTATGCTGGACCTAGAATAAATCGGTTCTCTTCAATTGGTTAATTTATGGGGTTAGTTGTCAAAAGGCTTACATGTAAATATGTTAGAAGTAAGAAATATTATGTTTGTTATTAACCACAACAATAAATTAGTCGGATGGGTCAGAGAACTTTTGACCAGCCAGCACTCATTTTACAGCCTTTTTATAACACAGTGTCAAAGTCCTGGAAACCTTGAAAAATTCTGGAAATGAATACATTTTGGACACCCCAGACAACTTTTGTTCTATTCTGAAGTGAAAATAAGTAAACAAAACCTCTGCAGCACTAAACTATTTTTAAAAAGGACATTTTTCTGCAAATGTTAATGTTAAGAAAAAAAAGGAGCAGCATTTGATGAAAGGAACACCGTGCCAACTGTTGAGCAACGAGGTGGATGTATTATATGTTGGGGTTGTGTGGCAGCCAGAAGCACAGGAAACACTGCACAGGTAGGTGGTAGCCATGTGACTATATATACAATAATTGCCTATTCTTTTATCGCGGTTTACGATATTATCATTTTGTCATTTTTAAATAGCAGCCTATGTATGCAATATTAACAATAGGAAAATTAATCAACAAAATAAAAAGCTGCTCACACAATGATGCTCACTGAGATGTTTTTTGAGAGCTGTGAAGCTGCTCCATTACATAATAAAGCATGGAACATACTACTACAGGGAGATTCACTCGAAAGAGGCCCAGAATATTCTGTTGTAACTCCCGTTAGGATAAAGCAATCTGAACCAAAAACTACATATCTTGACGTATGTGTAATCAATTGCATTACATGCGAGGCTGCAATTGATCTCTGTTTTCTGCCAGACGCATGAAGGGGTACGGCGGTATGCACCCGGAAGTTGCAAACGAACACTAAACATCGCGACGGCTGTCCAGCGCCTACCTCATCGCTCCGACGCAGGGGCATCCCGGCTTGTTCGAAGCTCCATATACTGAGGAGCACATTGCACATTGTTTGGTTCAGATTGCTTCGTCCTAGCGAAAGTTATTACAGAATATTCGGGGCGTCTTTCGAGTGAATCTCCCTGTAGTACCTGTAATGGACCACCAGAAAAATGGCACATATACATTAATTGTCATCGTATGTTCAATTCAAGAAACCAAGAAACGTGACATTCCAGTTGTTTTGCCTTATTTTCCTACCAAAAAAAGGCATGAGATTCAATAGGCTGTAGCATTGGTGTACGTTTGCATATGGACGGTAGGGACATGTCCCCACCAATATTTTGGGCAGACAGAATTGTTCCTACCAATATTTGAGCAAACTCATCGTCCTTATCTTTGGACTGAAGTCATATTAGATCATTCCATCGTGCCATCTCAAAGGCTATGGCTGTGTCCAAAACCACCTACAGCTACACTATACATACTAGACCAATGAATGGACTTCTGATGGTGGTGTACTAGTTTTGACTAATGTGGTTTTGGACGCAGCATACATCTCCAAGATGACCAGTTTAGGCATGCTAGTGTTTGACTGGCCAAAAGGGAAGGGTGCTATCTGAAGGATCAGGTCACAATGTGCAAATATCATGCTAACTGCCAGACATGGAGGAGGTCAGTGTACTGACCGCGGTAAGTTATCAGCCTTGTCAGTCCGTACCTTAAAAACAGGGGGAACATTTAGTTTTTCAGATGACTTGCTCCTTTTTTTTACCACCCAGAGCTTAAGTAATCATAGAAAACTAACTAGCCAGTAGCTGCATTGATTTAGGAACCCTGCTAGCTAGCTAACGTCACCAGCCTTTCCACTGTGAAAAATAACGACTGCTGTTAGTTAACCATGTTAGCTAGCATTAACTAGCAAGCTAACCCTGGCTTCCAGCCATCCATCTTGTTGCTGGTTTTTGTCTTCCTCTTTTACCTTCAACTGTTACACGCGTAACTAGTTTCTCTAATTAACTGGTTCTTCTCATAAGCTTCATTTTGGCCGTCTTCTTTGCAAACAAACATCTAGCATTCTAAATATATTTCACCCAGTCAATATTCGTCTTAATGGCTGTTTGACTCTGTTTCAGCTTTGACGGTTCATATATAACTCGCAGTTTAGAAATATATGTTTACAAATCATATGTAGAAATAATCAAGCAACATGCAGAAACATCTGAGGATCATAACAAAACAGATTTGGTGAAAATCGGTTGGGTATTAAGAAAGTTATGGCCGATTTAATGAGGAGAACTCATCATGTCTCAGTGCACGTGTATTTGTTTACAAGCAGATCTTGACCGCGCCAACATGGCGGACGCGCATGCGTGTTGGCTCACAGAGAACTACAGCTAACACTTAAACTGAAGCAAAACGTAGTACACAACATCATATGCCTGCAAATACACATATAACAGTGTACATATACATCAATACATTTGCTGGGGGGACAAACAGAACTGTTTAAAGAGAAGTAAATACGTGCTTTAACAGTTCTAATAGCCCTTTGTTTTTAAGAGGGCTGGATTAATTCGATATAATGATCCAAAGGCAGCAGAATATTACACTTATGTATATAAAACACAATTTATCAAATAAACGTGTTTATTTCGCTCTATGATTTTCCAGAAGACCAAATAATAAATGTTTCATGTTTCAGATTCACATTAATGTAGTGCAATTTTTTAGCTGGGCGTATTTTATGTGTAGGTTTATATGGCACATCTGTAACGTTATTAGTATTGAGGTGTCTGTCAGGAATTAGTCCGATCTTCCTCTGAACGACAGACAGCGTGGCTTGTGTTTATACAGACCTGCGTGCACGTTGCGCTCATCCATACGTGAAGGCCACGCCCTCTTCCCCGCTCTGGACACGCCCGCTGTATTCCTGCACAATAGGCGCACCGCACAGCACGAGAGCTCTTACAGTAGGACTCGATCCACAGCCCTTTGCTCCAGAGGCGCGATGGACCCGGGAGACACTGTAAGTTTAAGCTCGCTTTTGTGACCAAACTTCAGCTCTGCGTCCGCGAAGAAGCGCGGTTTCTCATTCGAACTGCCCGTTCCACCTTAAATGATGCAGCCACCGCTGCACCACTTAAGGTGGAACGGAGAATTCGGATAAGAAGCCAGCTCGATGTCTGTTCACCGCAACTAAATCCACATTTTGGTTAGTCAGCCACCTGGATCGAAGCTGCAGTTTGACCAAAAAAACGCTTTTCTGAAACTTTTATATCTGAATCATTTACAGTTCGGATCTTTTGAGGTTCACCGCGCTAAAACATCGCGTGTAAAACCTCTGCTTTGGCCATTTTGGGAGTGGCACGAGAGGTAAAACTGAGTTTTTGTTGTCTGTTTTTTGTTTTCCCTGTGTTTTTGTGCGTAGATCTCACAGTGATGTGGCTTTGGTGAACGACTCGGTTCTTCTAAACGACTCTTTGGAGCCGAGTCCGCCACGCTTTGATGATTTTTGATTCAATATTCGTCTTTTCGGCGCCGATAACTCCTGAACGGACTCTGCTGACCGTAGTGGGTGTTTTTCAGTGCGCGGTTCAGACAATAGCCGGTAATGCAGTGACGCACAGCTGCAGGTATTTGTTTTGCCATGATTTGCGGCTTCGGGTGACGTCACTCTCCTCCACGCCAAAATCCCGACTATATAATGGGCCTAAAATCTGATTGGCTGAGCCGCGGTCGAAGCCGTGGTAACATACAATATAAATGCGCAGCTCTGACCGCCTCACAGCTGCTGAGCTCTGTATTACTGCGCCAGGGCACGGAAAATCCTCTGAGGTGCCCAGAAACCTTAAAATGTGGGTCCAATTTTTTTTTTACTGGGCACTCAGAAAAGGGAAAAACATGGTCATCAGGCCAGACTAGCTCTCGCTGTCAGCCTGGTATCTTGAAGATGTTCTGTTGATACATTACTTACTTTAATTAGATATGTTGTTAACATGTTACGTCCATCACCCGACACCAACCCTAACCCTGGCCCTAATCCTAACCCTGGTCCCCAACCCTAACCCTGGTCCCTAACCCTAACCCTAACCTTAACCTCAACCCAAAACCTAATCCTAACTCTCACCCTGGCCCTAATCCTAATCCTAACCTCAATCTTAACCTAAAACTAACCCTAATATCACCCTGGCCCTAATCCTAACCTTAACTTTAACCCAAAACCTAATCCTGGCCCTAATCCTAACCCTGGTCCTAATCCTATCCCTCATGTGTTACTGAGAGTCTGTTGAGTGTTCATTTAATCTAAAGGACGGTTCAGAATAAAGTGTCACCAAATGAAATAACCTGAAAACAGTTGTTTGTTTCTGATAAAAACTTGAGAAAAGAAGCAAAAATGAGCATTTC